CATTACCAATGCTGCCACTGAAAATATTTGCTTTAAAACACTACCCCCCCCCCTTTCTCCCTAACCCCGACCCTACACCCCCCCCCCCCCCCGTGAAAGCAGCCTCCTCTTAATTATTTCTTAGTTACCTCCTGTAAGTTTAAAATCGAACTAAATTACCTGCCCCTAATAGAAACCCGGCTCTACGGCTCTACGATTTGTAAACATTTAGCTTTGTAAACATTTAGTGTGACCACAGCTTACCAGACAATGTGGGGGTGGGGTGGGGGTGGTAGTGATAGTGATAGAGAGAAAGAGAGGGGACTGCAAGGAGGCGCTTGCAGCTTGTTTTCTAACGGCTCCCAGAAGAGAATTATATATATAGAAATTAGGAAGATGAGCAAAGTATAATATAGCCCTATATATACTTACATATCTCTCTCCATATATATATATATATATATATATATATATATATATATATATATACATATATATATATATATTCCCGTTCGTGCCAAAGACACACTGGGCAGACGAAGTAGAGTTCATCTGTTTCAGAGATTTCGGCATATGAATGGATATTGTGGTCAGTACTATGCCCAGCCGCCTTTGTTAGAGCGGGGAGGGCTCATGGAAATTCTACTGATTTGAACCTGGATTCAAACTGGAGACTTTCGGGTTAGCAGTCTAGCTCTCTGCCGCTAGGCCAAACCGATCCATATACGTAGTATGTATATGTGAAAAAAGGTGGTGACAGACTGTGCCCATGTAAATATTTCGCTCACATTTGCAACGAATCTATCAGCCTCTCTGTTATACAGAGGTGCAGCGAAATTACAAAACGACTAGGCTCGAAACTATTGTACTGTACCTGGCCAGAAGAATCTTGACCAGTTGACCAGCTGGCAGATGGTTCCAATACAACTCGTCCCCCATTCGTCTTAAAGTGGCCGCACACCTCTTGCATTCTACTTCACGGCGCGAGGCACTTCCAACATACGGGCAGAAAATAAGTGTCAACATCTTAGACATTACAGTCTACACAATCAGAAGATAAAGTTTTGAGCTCACACACTGTATACAGTGGCGTAGCCAGGATCATCTCATGGGGGGGTGAATTTTTTTCCAGCATTATATAATATATATATATATATATATATATATATATATATATATATATATATATATATATATATATATATATATATATGTGTGTGTGTGTGTGTGTGTGTGTGTGTTTGTGTGTAGAATACAGGTTGTATATATACCACATGAAACTTTATGAATTTGTATTTGTATACGTAGATACGTAACTCTAGACTATACAATGAGAATGCATATATATATATATATATATATATATATATATATATATATATATATATATATATATATATATATATATATATATATATATAGCGTTTTTGTTTGCTATGAAAAACAATTGACAATATATAATAGAAACCACTCATTTCCACGGCCAAAACACAGAAAAATATATAATCGAGTTCCTGCACAAAATTTATTAAAGAACTTGACAACAGGTGGCACAGTAGATCTGACCGTTGGGGTGGACCCTGGCTTTTATAGCTGGCGTTAACTAGTCGTCTGACACTGTTGCATGCTCACTCGGGAGAAAATGGGGTCAGCAGCACAATGGACGCGGCGTCCGGCTCCGGACATATCTTCGGTTGCTGAGGAGTAAACCGCATAATTTGATTGGTCACAAAGCCGCGTGGAATGCCGTAACGAAGGCTGTGATTAGTCGGCGAATGAGAAATAAGGTCGCCGATGAAAAAAGAAGAGCCCGCGAAAAGCCGATATTCAAATTAGGAATAACCCAAATCAGCATCGGTGGAATGTTCATCTTTTACTTCGTTAAAAGTGTTAATCATAATCAACGGTACAGCCTGCAGTGCTCGGAAACCACTTTTAATCGGCTTCATAGCATGGATTTTCACATAGGGGCCTATTTATATGTCTAAATAGAAACTTCAATTTTAAGTTTTTTAAATCGATATGGAATATATATTCTATGCAGTGGCGTAGCAAGGTTTGGGTATCACCCGGTGCGGCACTTAATGGTGTCTCCCCCCAGAGGCGTAGCGATTTTCACCCCCTCCACTCAAACTTTCGTTTTGCACCCCTCCCCTCAAACTGTCGATTTGCACCCACCCCCCCCTCCACCGTTGTTGGGATTTGTCAAATTTGCTCTATTTAACACTCGAATGAATCACTTAATTAAGTGGAATTATAATTTTTCTCTCTATATTGTGCTATTTTTTGCCTTGGTGTCACACCTTAAATGGTGTCACCCGGTGCGGTCCACACCCCCCACCCCGCCCCCCCCCTCGCTACGCCACTGATTCTATATATAAAACCATATATATATATATATATATATATATATATATATATACATACATACATACATATATATATATATATATATATATATATATATATATATATATATATATATATATATATATATATATATATATATATACTAGGCATGCTGCCCAGCTTCGCTTAGGCTTTCGAAAACATTGAGAATTTGAATGCTTAATTAAATCGCCCATATAAGGCGCCGATCAGTCGAGGTCAGTTTTGACCCCCTCATCGTAGACTTTTCGGCAAACCGGCCCCCGTGTTCTGTCGCCCCAAGGCAAGATCCTGCCAAATTTGAAGCGCCTGCGGCGCCGGCAAGTGCCCTATCGGGCACCCGACAACTTATCTTTATAGATCATCTAGGTCTAGATCTAGAATCTCTAGATCTATATGTCACTATATGATCTAGAATATATAGATCTAGATGATCTAGAATATCTAGATCTAGATCAATATCTAGATCTAGAATCTCTAGATCTAGAATCAAAATAGATAAAATATTTTTTTTAAGTTTAGGCCGAGAAAATCGTATTGTATACATTTCATAGCGTACATAGCTCTAAATCATATTTGAATAAAATTCATAAAAAACGTTTTAATAACAAGCTTTTATGTAATGATGCACTAAAAAGTAGAAAATAAATTATAGACTGCTATTTAAATAACTATAAAGAAAAGCGTGGGTCACTTTAGTATCTATTGGATACCTTTACTAATGTTAAGGAAGACACCCACGCTTTTCTTTATAGTTATTTAAATAGTAGTCTATAATTTATTTTCTACTTTTTAGTGCATCATTACATAAAAGCTTGTTATTAAAACGTTTTTTATGAATTTTTTTTCAGTACTTTACATGTTTTATTTACAATAGAGTTACATGACTAAAAACCATTGCGCGCCTACTGAACATCACGTTCAGTAGGCGCGCAATTGTTTTTGAACGCAGCCATTACGTGATGGCGCAGCTATTGAAGGTGATGACGCGTGTGGTGTGGTTGGCTAGACATGCCTACTAATTCGGTCCAAATCTTAATTAATTAATAAAAAATTAATTAGGCATCCAATTAAGTCAAATTTAGTTTCAGATTGCATTGTCTTCATGTCTTGACCCACGTGCCAACTGTGAATCGTATCGGTCAAGTAGAACTGTCCGAATTTTCACTCCTGCGTTTCCGTCTAGACAGACTGACGACAGACTGACGACAGACTGACGAGGAAGTGAGTTAAATAAAAGCTTGTAAAAACAGTTCATTTCTTTTTATTCTAAACTCGGAAGATGACGTCGTCAGTTTCGTGCTCTTTTTTTAGTGTAAACAATAAGCGACGTCATTGTTAAATGCGTTCTTGTCCCAAGTTTAAACACTTTTCCGGTTGCATACATAATACTGTTTCTCTACATTCGAATACCCCTTTATTTTTTATTTTTCTTCTTTAAATAAAATTGTGGTTATACATTTAAAACATCTTACATATTATTTTCAACAAAAGTCCGTATAAAGGTATCCATATATGGCTGCCGATTCTGACGTGATGTCCGGCGAAAATATTTTGCGGACAGAGAGAGAGAGAGAGAGAGAAGAGCGCACATGGCCTTTTATATATTAGGATATATATATATATATATATATATATATATATATATATATATATATATATATATATATATATATATATATATGTGTGTGTGTGTGTGTATGTGTGTGTGTTTATATGCCTATTTTAATTTATATCGAATTTAATCATTCATAGCTACCGAAAGATGATTGATCGGTGTCTTATAAGTGGTAATCCCAAAAATGAATAACTCTTGCCAGCTCTTAAATTTAGCGAGGGAAAATCATATTTTGTTTCCACACTATTTGGGTCGATCTCTATTAAAATTAGGCCAAGCGTTACGTTATGTAATCAAATCTTCACAGGTCGTGACCCGATAACGGAGACAAATGCTGCTATTAACCATCGAATGTATCGTCTCGCTGACCTAAAACCAACTCCCTACTGAATGAGAACTAAAAAGCCAATTTGGCACATACAAATCCATACCGCGATTTGGCCTGTTTTGTTTTGTCTCTTTGTGTCCTGCCTCAGTAAATAAGTTTATACATTTGCAAATAATAACGAAACAAAGTTTTAAAATTATAAAAAAAACTTGATAATATTGATATGAAAATAAAAAAAACAATTAAATGTTGATTGTACTAAAGTATAAAAATCGAAAAATGTAATATATAAATGAGTAGATTTTGAAATTGCTCTTGCACGAATTAGCGAGAATTTTGTCTGCTCAATCGAGCAGTACTAAAACAAACTTCCTACTGAGTGAGAACTAAAATGCCTATTTCGTACATTCAAATCAATGTCAGCCATTCGGCCTGGTTTTTTCCCTTTGTGTTTTGTACAAGTAAACACATTCATACAACTGAAAACTGTAACGAGACAGAAATTTTCAATGTTCATTAACAAAAAAAAAAAAAAAACACAATTTTTAAAGAGCTGCTGATTTTTAATACTTATATATATATATATATATATATATATATATAAATATATATATATATATATATATATATATATATATATATATATATATATATATATATATATATATATATATATATACAGAGAGAGAGATATGTAAGTATATATAGGGCTATATATACTTTGCTCATCTTCCTAATATGAAATACAAACTTTTTTGTAAAAACGAAACATTCTATTAAAACGATATAATCTAATAGCTGAGGCGAACGAATCTTGGTGCTGTCCCAAATCACGATTTTCACTGCTCAGTTTTAGAGTTGTATTTACATAGCCATACTAGTAGTGTTTTATTCCCAATTCCTTGTCTCTGTGTAAAAAAAACTTGGCTTTAGAGACGAGTAAATAAAATATATTCAAAGGTAAAAGATCGCTGATAAATGGCGTACTCTCCTGTGCAGAGTTTCTTCCAGGCATCTTTTCGGGGGAAGGAGCCCCCTCCCAGTGTTCCCTCTAAGCTGCGCGGCTGCGCGGCCGCGCAGCACTTTCAAATGTGCCGCGCAGACATTTTCTGATGCCGCGCACAGATTATCAGAAAGTCGGGCAAGCCTGATTCACTAAACAAATTGTGGCCAGTGGCTTGAATTAAGCGACATTTTTAGTACCTGTTTTGTTAAACGAACAGTCTTTGTGTTTTGGGGCCTCGACCAAACTGATACTTAAAGCTTGTGACCCCTGGGGGAGGGGGTGACCTCGGTTGTCATACCACAGGTCTAGTTAATGACTTAACTCTCAACTGAGCGGGGCGGGTACCGATGTGATGTCTGGGTGACCTTCCCCCTGCTTGATTTAATGGTTTACCCCAAAACTGACCGTAAAAGGGATTGTGGCTAGTAGCTGACCATGCAAGGTTTTATTTTCTATTGTCACTGCCCTCCCCCATCTCCCAACCCCACCCACCTCTTTGATACTATGACGGTTTATCCAAGTCAGATGCAAATTCTAGGTTACTTAAGGTGGATGTGTTTTACTCTGTTGGTTTAAGGATTTATATAATGTATATCCAATTCTTGGGATTATTACGTGCACCTGGATCGAACTGTTTCAGTATTCACAGACTGGTTTAGTAAATAAGGAATAAAAGTTTACTACTCTGTGCTATTTGAAAATGTTGAAAAGAAAAATGTGTGCAACAAGCGGTAAAACAATGCAGCAAAAAAAAAAAAAAGCGAGATATTCGTTTAAACTGGAATGGCTCAAAGTTAAAGTAACAACCGATACGCCAGATTCTAAGAATGTTTCAGTTGAATTAAGAAGCATCTATGAATATTTAGATGAGATTGGACTGAAGTGTAAGTTCTGTGCTGCTAGTACTTGTAACAAAACCAACAAAGACAACGAATTTGTCACAGGAAAGCGTTAGGAATCATGGAAGCTTGACTACTGTAAACGTCATTTGTCTCGTGTTCACGTATAAAATGTTGCGATTGTGTACAACCGCTCAAATGGGACTGGTCTTAAACGTCTGCTGGTTGAAACTTACACTGAGCGAGAAGAACGAATTGAACAAAATGAGCGCCAGCGGTCAAACGAGGATCAAGTTCGAATTCTAATGGATAATGTTCTTCTTACCATAAGGATGCACGCCTCGATGCTGTCGGTACAACTGATTCATAACCACATGGTGAAGTATGTTTCTATACCAGACAGTTGACAGAACTTCGAGTAGCATCGTTCCACACGCTTATAGTTGATGAAAGTACTGACATAACAGTACATAAAATGCTAATCTTTTATTTTCAATTTCGTCCTCAATTCTTTATTCTACAAAACCGTTTTTGGTGGAATAATTCAGCTTACCGCATGTGATGCCTCAGCTCTGGAGGCAGCCATAACACAGTACTACACTGAACATCAACTTGAAATGAACCGCTTGGTAATGATAACATCAGACGGGGCATCGGTTATGTTGGGCCGTAGGAAGGGATTAGCTGCTTTACTGAAGGCTAAGGTCCCCCATCTTGTTGAACAGCACTGTGTTGCTCATCGATAAGACTTGGCACTTTCTGACGCTTGGAAAGATGTTAATTTGTTTAAAAATATTGAGGTTCTCTTACGCACGGTTTACACTTTATTTAGTCGATCTTCAGTTAAAAAGGGCGCACTTGAAGAATTGGCCAAGGTGCATGATATGGATGTAATTTCTTTTCGACCAATTCATGAAGTTCGTTGGTTGTCACGTCACTTTGCTGTCAGTGCTTTGGTTAGAAATATTGATGTTTTAGCTGCTTACTGTGAAGAACAAGTCCAAGACTGCAATGATCCTGTTTGTTGTTATGTTTTGAAATCATTAAGAGATCCCCTGTATCAAGTTGCTCTGTATACCGTTAATGATGTATTAACTGAATTAGCTAATCTATCAATGTTGTTGCAGCGAAGTAATTTATCATCTATTGAAGCACATCAATTTTGCATTTCTAAAATACGCAAATTAGAAGCACAATACCTGAGTGAAGATGTATATTGGAATGATAATGCCAAGAAAATTTTGAATGAAAACGTAGGAATCGACACAAGACAAATCACACAGTTTATACGATCGGTCTGCGATCATTTAAATGTAAGGTTTCCAGGAGATTAATTGCAGTTTTGGTCAGCTTTTGATCATACTGGTTTAAAAAATTGTGCGTTTGAGTTTGGCGTCAAAGAGATCAAACAACTGTGCGTTAAGTGCAAAGACTTGTTACAAACAACAAATGAAGAGTCATTTATCACGCAATACAATGACTTCAAATTTCAGATCAGTGAAAAACTCAAATCAGGTTCAGTAAATTCACTAACTGAAATCGCAGGAGTTACTTTAAACGATGAACAAATTAGCTCACTGGCAAAGTTAATTGACATATGCTGTACTTTTCAAGCATCCAGCGCTGATTGCAAGCGAGGTTTTAGTCTTATGAACAGCATTAAAGTGCAAGCACGAAATAGACTTGAAGTCACACATTTGGAGAATCTAATGCGAATTAAATTATATCTAAATGCTGGAGAGGATGTGGATTTAAACAAAGCATATAAGGTGTGGAAGCAAGGCAAGGTTAGACGCGAGAAATTGCAATAAATGCCCATGAAAGGTTAGCTAATTTTGTTTTCAAGTCAGCTTTTTAAAATGGTTAACATGTTAAACTGTTGTATTTGTATTACCGTTATGGTATTAACATTATTAACATATGATTGCAATACACTAACATAGTAAGTCGACCATATAACATGTTGTCTAAGTATAACTCTGAAAGTTTCTGTTGTGTATTTTATTTTATTTTGATGGGATTCGTATCTTCTTTTAATTGCATACGTTTCACTAGTCCTACACATTATACTATTAATTTATCAAAATGCATGCCTTCATTACTCTGCTTAATTGCAAGCCTAAACATACATATAAAGTTGCCCAAGTCATTTTTAGCACCGCGCACACAACATATTTTTTGCAAACACACTCTGGGTCCTTAGAGGGAACATTGCCCCCTCCCCCCGAAGAAAGTCTACCGCCCCCCCACCCCCGAACGAAATGAAATTTATATAGAAAATATATACTTTTAACGGTGTCGCCCCCACCCCCCCCCCCCCCCCCCCCGAAATTTTCAAGTGCCCCCTTGGAGAAAAAAGTCTGGAAGAAACACTGCTCCTGTGGGAGGAAGGTTAGGTTGGATTGTAAAGCGTGACGTCATTTCTGTACAAAACCCAACAGTAAATAATAAAAAGTTAACGTTTTGGAAATATGCTACGGTGTGTGTAGGCAATGTGTTGGTCAAGACAGCTAGACACAGGCCACATCTTGCACAATTTACACAGACGTAATGTGTAGTTCAAGTGTTCATACAGGCAGCGAATCTGGTCCAAATAAATAAGATCATCCATCCTTCAATTAAATCCATACATATACATACACTCAAACACATGAGTATGCGTGTGTATTTGTGTATGTTTGTGTGCCTGTGTACAACTCACTTCTTCCACTGTTTAGCACATTTAGCGTTTTTCTTCGGGTCTGCCACAAAATTTCCCTTCTGCTGATGGACTAAAGATGGCGCTAGCTCCAGCCTTAGTTTATCGGTTGACATGATTAGCTGTAACAAAAATAGTTTTATTCCGTAATGTGTCGGTGGACATGATTAGCTGTAACAAAAATAGTTTTATTCCGTAATGTGTCGGTGGACATGATTAGCTGTAACAAAAATAGTTTTATTAGGTAATGTGTACTTGCTGTGTGTAAAAGTATGATACTAATAGATTTGTAATTGTAAATAGATTTTTTTTTTTTAAAATATTGATTGAAATCATTTTAATATTTCTCACGATGTTTATATGACACTCCACTGTAGTATGAGTGAGGTCACTAGTGTGTGTATGTGTGTGTGCATGTGTGTATGTGTGTATGTGTGTGTGTGTGTGTGCGTGCGCGAGATAATATGTATCCGCATTGGGTGACTACATAAGATAATTGTCTGGTGAAATCTAGAAGTCATATTATCCCTAAGATAACTTTCTACTTTCATTGTTGTTTTGCCAATCTTTTTTTTTCCATTATAACAAAACGTTTACATTTTTAATTGACTACTTCTTTCCCTTCTGAACTGTGAAAGTGTACTCTTTTACCTTATGGCTTTCTCTCGCCCTTTCTTTCTGAGACAAGAGATTTGAATGGTGAGCTAGTACGTGATGATGAATGCTTTTTTCTGGGAGGTTTTTATCACAAAAGCAGCAACTGAAGTTGGTTTCGCTGTTGTGTTTTTCCGTGTAGTGTCGATGTAAGTCATTGTGAATTTTTGCATCATTACAGAAGTTGCATTGTTTGAGATAAGTGTGTTCTGTTCTTTCGTGATTTAGTACTTCCTTAACTGTTTGGTACGAGCTTGGGCAGAAGCTGCATGTTAGGTGATCGTGGATTAGTTTCTCGATTTTTTTGGATTTAGTTATTTTTTCTTGTTCTGTGGGACTCGTTTGATATTTCCTTTTTGTTGACGAGGCGGTTTCTATTTCTGAATCCGGGTCTGTTGCTTCTGTCTCTGGGTCTTTTGCTGCGTCCTTGGTTGGATGGTTTTGGATTTTGCTTGATGATGGAGCTTGTGGTGCAGTATTTTGCGCTGAAGATTGGTCCTTGGGCGTTAACTCTGGGTTGAAAGCTTGGCATTGGTTGGTCCAATGAAGAGTTGAGGAGCAGAATTGGCACGCCTGCCTTCTTCCAGCAACTGCTATAAGGATGTTCAGTGATTTATTTGTGTAATTTAGTTGAATGTAATGTGGGATGGTTGTTGGGTTGTCGGTGTATATAGTGAAGCTGCGGTTACTAGTGTGGGGGATCGTAGTTATGGATGGTTCTTTGTTGCTGTAGGGTCGTAATGCTTGTATGAGAGTGTCGTTGTTGAGCGTGGGGGGTACCCATCTAAGGGTCCCATTGATCTTGTTTTTTTCGTGTAGTGTGAAGTGCAGTGTGTATGGGCCGTGAGTTTTGTGTGTGTTGTGTAACGTGGTAACATCAAAGGCTTGAGAGGTGAAAAACCAAGTGTCTGCTCTGCCATAATTTAGAAGAAGGATCTGCTGGTTGCTGATTAGTTGTCTTAAGATGTGGCCTCGCAGGTTTGGTTGACCTTTTGAGGTGATCAGAACTTGAATAGTGGGTGTTTCTGCTGGGTACAGGTCTGGGCACTCTTCCTTAGGTAGGTTCAGGATTGTTGTAGTTTTGGCTGAAAAGGATTGGGCCCAGGATTTCATTAAGCCACCCGAATCGTAGTCCGGGTGGCTCCTCTCCAGGTCTCTCGACTCAGAGGGAACAATCAAGGGTGCAACCCCTCTTTCCTCGCTGGTAATTTTTGCATACGACATCGTAGAGTTGAGGAATCTAATACATATACCTAATATATAAAGCTCAATTCTGTATGTAAAAATAGATTTTTGTGTAGCATTATTTTTTTAAAATACTTTTATTTGCAATTAAAACAAGTACATCAACATCACATTTTTTACATAGTTTCAAATGAAAACTAAAGGTTTTGAACATGTACATAATGAATATTTACATGATGTCATGTATATGATTATAAAAAAATTGCAAAGGATGACAGTGTAGCATTAATTTTTAAAACTGATGAGTACTAAATTATTACTTAAAACGATGAAATCGTCTAATATAAGCATTTGCATTACAGTAGTTGTTACTGTATCGCACGGCTGCGTAGAAGAGATTTTGTCACGGAAAATGGGTCATAGACTATCGGATTTAGTGATTTAATTTCTTTCTGTAGTGTTTGTTGTTGTTTTTTGTTGTTGTTTTTTTCAACCCACCGGTTCGAGGTGATACTGGTCGCGCGATTTCTTGTTTGGAGATTTTGATCTGCTTCTCTCCCTTGTAACACTGGGTAAGCGTGGAGTTACCTCCCCTGTCCCATCTGTCGTGTCGGGCTCGACTTCTTGGTAGTCCGTCCAGAGGTGGGCGTTGTCCAGGGCCACACGGTCGCCGTCCTCAGCCTGTTGGACGGCCTGTGGGAGACGTTTTCAATTGGAGTCAGCTGTGACAGTTTTAATTGGAGTCAGTTGTGACAGTTTTAATTGGAGTCAGTTGTGACAGTTTTAATTGGAGTCAGTTGTGACAGTTCTAATTGGAGTCAGTTGTGACAGTTTTAATTGGAGTCAGCCGTGACAGTTTTAATTGGAGTCAGTTGTGACAGTTTTAATTGGAGTCAGTTGTGACAGTTTTAATTGGAGTCAGCTGTGACAGTTTTAATTGGAGTCAGCTGTGACAGTTTTAATTGGAGTCAGCTGTGACAGTTTTAATTGGAGTCAGTTGTGACAGTTTTAATTGGAGTCAGCTGTGACAGTTTTAATTGGTGTCAGCTGTGACAGTTTTAATTGGAGTCAGTTGTGACAGTTTTAATTGGAGTCAGTTGTGATTGTGGCTTTGATAACGGGAGGGTAAACAAACACACGCATGAGTCTGGTCACTGCAAATACTAGAAGGCAGTGGCGTAGCGAGGTCGGGTGTCACCCGGTGCGGCACTTAATGGTGTCACCCCCCCCCCCCCCAGAGGCGTTGCGACCCTTCCCGGGGACAAACTTTCAAGTTTTCGCTTTGCACCCCCCCCCCCTCAAACTTTCGATTTGCACCCCCCAATCAAGTTTTCGATTTGCACCCCCCCCTCAAACTTTCGATTTGCACCCCCCCCCTCAAGTTTTTCTCTATATATTTTGCTATTTTTTGCCTTGGTGTAACCCCCCTAAATGGTGTCACCCGGTGCGGTCCGCCCCCCCGCCCCCCCCTTGCTACGCCCCTGCTAGAAGGCAATGTGTGGTATAATGTCTTTAATATTCCTTGAGATGGTCGGTGTAGCTACAATGAAGTCAGAGAATGGATTATTTGCGTCATCTAGGTTGGTGGACTACATAAGTCATGTGAGTCTAGGTGGGTGGGGGTGGGCGGACTAGTAATCAAATACTGCCACATGTAGAGATACGAGTCAAATACTGGCACATGTAGAGAAACAAGTCAAATACTGACACATTTAGAAGAACGAGTCAAATACTGGCACATATAGAGAAACAAGTCAAATACTGTCACATGAAGAGAAACTAGTCAAATACTGGCACATATAGAGAAACAAGTCAAATACTGGCACAAGTAGAGATACAAGTCAAATACTGGCACATGTATAGACTATAGAAACAAGTCAAATACCGTCACATGTAGAGAAACAAGTCAAATACTGGCACATGTAGAGAAACAATTCAAATACCGTCACATGTAGAGAAACAAGTCAAATACTGGCACATGTAGAGAAACAAGTCAAATACTGCCATGTGTAGAGAAACAAGTCAAATACCGGCACATGTAGAGAAACAAGTCAAATACTGGCACATGTAGAGAAACAAGTCAAATACTGGCATATGTAGAGAAACAAGTCAAATACCGTCACATGTAGAGAAACAAGTCAAATACCGTCACATGTAGAGAAACAAGTCAAATACTGTCACATGTAGAGAAACCAACCTTGGCCATGGCCTGGTACTTAGCCGCACGAATCTGCTCCTTGATGGTCTTGTAGTCGCATCCTTCAGGGGAGGTAAATCTCTCCCGCCGCCATATTGCTTGGGCTGTTGTTTTGGTTTTCTTCGCCTCGAGCTTCTTAAAGGCTTGTGGCGAAAACTGGCGCCCTCTGGCGTTGCTGCCTTGCAAAAACTTGTTCAGACAAACAGGTATTAGAAAATCTACTAAGAAAGAAACATAATATATTCTAACAAAAAAGTCTGTTCGGGACAGAGTTTCTTCCAGGCATCTCTTCGAGATGGAATTTATATAGTAAACATATACTTTTACTATTGTCCCCCCCCCCCCGGGAAATGTAGACCGCCCCTCCCCGGAAATATCAAGTCTACCCCCCTCCCCCGAACTAAATGGAATTTATATAGAAATATATACTTTTATATACTCTTCAGTGTGATAAGCCACCCATCCGTTCATTCTTTGCGCTCTTTCTGAAAAAATAGATCAAGCAGATCGCAAAATGCCGCTGCAGCCAGAGTTTCTTCCAGGCATCTCTTTTTTACCGCCCCCCCCCCCCCCGAACGAAATGAAATTTATATAATTTATATAGAAAATATGTACTTTTAACAGTGTCCGCCCCCCCCCCCCGAAGAAAGTTTACCGCCCCCCCCGAAAATTTCAAGTCCCCCCCCCCCCCCCCCGGAGAAAAAAGTCTGGAAGAAACACTGAGAAACACAATACCTAATAAGTCCCTTGTTCAAGTTAGAGTAGTTAATTTTTATTTTTAAAAAGTCAAGTGTATGAATACAAACATATTAAGGAATTATTTTTTTCAAGAAAACATAATCCTCTTTTTTCTTTTCAGATTAAGTCGCCGTGTACGTTTTCACTAAAATTTCGCTTTGCCGCTAAACTGTCTAAACGGTAAGTGGACGCTACCTGATAGTGGTCACTGACGACTTCCGCTTTCAACACTTCGAAAGGTTTCACTCGGTAGGCATAGGGTCCTGTGTAGGGGGGTAGACTTCCAAGGTAGCGACAGTCGTCTGCTTCAGTTTTGGTCCTCTTCGTCTTGGGTCGCTCGTTCGGGCGGATGTAGGTGGCGCCATATATGCTGTGTGTTTTGATGACGCGTTTTTCCAACTCAGACGGGCCTGCCCTCTCCTGAGCTTTGAGTTTGAGGAGAGTTGGGGAAGTTTCCTGGAGGTGAAAACAATTAGGCCTAGTTAATGTATTAGTCGTGAGGTTGGTTGAACCAATTGAATAGGGGTCGCGCTGTGCTTATGTAATCTTATCAACTTTTGCCCTCCTCTACCTCCCACCTGCTATCGCTTTTATGTCGTCATAAAAGCCCCCTCCCCCAAATTAATTATTAAGGCCTTGTTCCACCACACCCCCCCCCCCCCACTTAAAACTACACACCTCCACTCCCCCAGTTTTCATGCCATTAATGGACATCACCTAGTGGTCTATATACCAATTGTATGAGTGGCTGGCGATCTTTGACTGGACGTTTAAAATATGCTGCATTTATTATTATCACACAAAAAAACACAAACATATTGGACCATTTTAATACACCACATAACACAGACACATGTTTAAAAATGTTAGTTATAATAAAGCATATCAAAATTGTCAGACGTGACTTAACACAAACACGCACATCACACAAGTCAGACATGACCACACACAAGTCAGACATGACCTAACACACACATCACACATATCAGACATGACCTCACACAGACACACACATCACACACGTAAGACATGACCTAACACACACATCACACATCAGACATGACCTCACACAGACACACATCAGACATGACCTCACACACACATCACACATCAGACATGACCTCACACAGACACACATCACACACGTAAGACATGACCTCACACACACATCACACATCAGACATGACCTCACACAGACACACATCACACACGTAAGACATGACCTTACACACACATCACACATCAGACATGACCTCACATAGACACACACATCACACAACTCAGACATGACCTCACACAAGTCATACATGACCTAACACAGACACCTACAGAACGGAGCTTGAAGGCCTGGATTGGGACGGGTACGGGGTTGAGATAGATCCTAGCAACTCTCTCGTCCTTCAGTAACTGGCGCTGCTCGCTGTCCAGCTCCTCACACAGAATTTCTTTTCTCCTGCCAACACATAGGGTCATACTCGTCTAATTACAGTGTGTCATACTGCCAACACAGAGAGTCATACTCGTCTAATTACAGTGTGTCATACTCTAGTGAGACAAGTACACACTCAGGGACGTTTTGTTGACTTGAAACCGGATTCGACCTCGAGACTTTCGGGTTAGCAGTCGTATGCTCTACCATTTGACCACGTCAAGATCACAGAAACAGGTGAACTCTACTTGACCTGCCCCATACTCTTGTTATTAGACAGTTTAGCATTTGGTTTCTTCTTCTTCTTCTTCGTTCTTAATTGAGAATATGATGGAGGATTTAGACAACAAGCTCAACTTCGTGAACAAACCGGACTGTGGTCTCCAGATCAGCAGGTGCCCTATATAATTTTTCCCTGAGTGGGGTGAGTAGGGGCCAGTGTCTGACTCGCGCCTGGCTATATAAAGAACATTCCTGAAGGACGTGCTCCGTATTCTCCGGGGCCTTGCCACAAGGGCATATTTCGCCACACCCAATTTTTAGTTTTTTTTATGCATGTGCTGATTTAGTCTGTTGTGGCCTGTTCTGAGTCGAAAGATTATGTATTGTTGTTTTCGTGTCAAAGAATAAATCTTTTTACTTATTTGTGTAGCTTAAGTTGACATAGCCAACTGTGTGTGTAGGCTAACTTATAGAGTTGTTTGGAGGTCAGGTACCCATTAGAGGTGGGTATTGTCAGGAGACTACATATTTTATCAGTGCTCTATCAGAGAACTCTGAGAGAAATATCGTTTGAGATAGTATGTGGATAAAAATGAAGAATAGAAGTAGGTATAATGTTGGGGATTTAATATACACACACAGACACAGACCCAAAGAACACACACACACAGACACAGACAGTCAAACACACACACAGACATACACACAGACATACACACCGACCAACCTTTTGTACAAGAGACCTGGAAGATATTTTTGGGGTATCACCGGAAGATGCTGATACAAGCTTGGTGGAATTTCATTATACCAAAACTGTTTCTTTCTCGCTGAAGAGGTTAAAAAATATGCATTACCAAATACTACAGCTCAAGCGAATTCTTCCACCTCCACCCCTACTCCCTCATACTCTGAAACTATTAAACTGCTATTTAGTATTGAGAACAAAATTAACATAACAAACTTCATAACGAGTTTGTTGTTTTCTGTAATGTTAGATCTTTTAATTATGCCCTCTGGGATTTTAGAAATCGAGTTCAGTTCTCCATAGGTGTGAATTCGATGAAGTCATTGAGCCAGAGGCGTAGCGATGGGGGGCGGAGGGGGGGGGGTACATATGTCCCCGGGCGCTGACCTTAGGGGGCGCCAAAATGGGTTGGAAAAACATTTTAAAATGTCATGTTAGCTGCATTTTTGCCTTAACATTTTTATGGGGGTGCAAATCGAAAGTTTGAGGGGGGGGGGGGGGGCTGCAAATCGAAAGTTTGAGGGGGGGGGGGTCCAAATTGAAAATTTTCTCCTGAGGGGGGTGCCAAATTGAAAGTTTGTCCCCGGGCGCCGGGAAGGGTCGCTACGCCTCTGCATTGAGCCCACCCAGTTCTGTGTGGTAACTGATTACAGACGCTTCTAGAAAACAGTTACATTTTATAGGTACACCAACAATTTAGCTGAGGTTTTTGTTTAGTAAATGGTATTGTTATTTAGATCAGTTTAAGTGGCAGGGTCCTAGAAAGGTTCACGGCTAAGATTTTGTGTTAAGGTACGTTAACACATAGGTCATTATCTTACTCCCAGTGCCTAGACATAACTTGATATTAGCCTAACATCTTGACCATTGTCCTACTCCCAGTGCCTAGACCTAAGTTTATATTAGCCTAACATCTTGACCATTGTCCTGCTCCCAGTGCCTAGACCTAAGTTTATATTAGCCTAACATCTTGACCATTGTCCTACTCCCAGTGCCTAGACCTAACTTGATATTAGCCTAACATCTTGACCATTGTCCTGTTCCCAGTGGGTGCCAACGACATGACCTTAACCTACCAGTGGGTGCCACATGACCTTAACCTACCAGTGGGTGCCACATGACCTTAACCTACCAGTGGGTGCCACATGACCTTAACCTACCAGTGGGTGCCACATGACCTTAACCTACCAGTGGGTGCCACATGACCTTAACCTACCAGTGGGTGCCACATGACCTTAACCTACCAGTGGGTGCCACGACATGACCTTAACCTACCAGTGGGTGCCACATGACCTTAACCTACCAGTGGGTGCCACATGACCTTAACCTACCAGTGGGTGCCACATGACCTTAACCTACCAGTGGGTGCCACGACATGACCTTAACCTACCAGTGGGTGCCACGACATGACCTTAACCTACCAGTGGGTGCCACGACGTGACCTTAACCTACCAGTGGGTGCCTCGACCTTAACCTACCAGTGGGTGCCTCGACCTTAACCTACCAGTGGGTGCCACGACATGACCTTAACCTACCAGTGGGTGCCACGACCTTAACCTACCCGTGGGTGCCACGACATGACCTTAACCTACCAATGGGTGCCACGACATGACCTTAACCTACCAGTGGGTGCCACGACACGACCTTAACCTACCAGTGGGTGCCACGACATGACCTTAACCTACCAGTGGGTGCCACGACACGACCTTAACCTACCAGTGGGTGCCACGACATGACCTTAACCTACCAGTGGGTGCCTCGACGTGACCTTAACCTACCAGTGGGTGCCACGACATGACCTTAACCTACCAGTGGGTGCCACGACATGACCTTAACCTACCAGTGGGTGCCACGACATGACCTTAACCTACCAGTGGGTGCCTCGACCTTAACCTACCAGTGGGTGACACGACCTTAACCTACCAGTGAGTGCCACGACATGACCTTAACCTACCAGTGGGTGCCTCGACGTGACCTTAACCTACCAGTGGGTGCCACGACATGACCTTAACCTACCAGTGGGTGCCACGACATGACCTTAACCTACCAGTGGGTGCCACGACATGACCTTAACCTACCAGTGGGTGCCTCGACCTTAACCTACCAGTGGGTGACACGACCTTAACCTACCAGTGGGTGCCACGACACGACCTTAACCTACCAGTGGGTGCCACGACATGACCTTAACCTACCAGTGGGTGCCACGACATGACCTTAACCTACCAGTGGGTGCCACGACATGACCTTAACCTACCAGTGGGTGCCACGACATGACCTTAACCTACCAGTGGGTGCCACGACACGACCTTAACCTACCAGTGGGTGCCACGACACGACCTTAACCTACCAGTGGGTGCCACGACATGACCTTAACCTACCAGTGGGTGCCTCGACCTTAACCTACCAGTGGGTGCCTCGACCTTAACCTACCAGTGGGTGCCACGACATGAGCTTAACCTACCAGTGGGTGCCACGACATGACCTTAACCTACCAGTGGGTGCCACGACATGACCTTAACCTACCAGTGGGTGCCACGACATGACCTTAACCTACCAGTGGGTGCCTCGACCTTAACCTACCAGTGGGTGCCACGACATGACCTTAACCTACCAGTGGGTGCCTCGACCTTAACCTACCAGTGGGTGCCACGACATGACCTTAACCTACCAGTGGGTGCCACGACATGACCTTAACCTACCAGTGGGTGCCACGACATGACCTTAACCTACCAGTGGGTGCCACGACATGACCTTAACCTACCAGTGGGTGCCACGACATGACCTTAACCTACCAGTGGGTGCCACGACATGACCTTAACCTACCAGTGGGTGCCACGACATGACCTTAACCTACCAGTGGGTGCCACGACATGACCTTAACCTACCAGTGGGTGCCACGACATGACCTTAACCTACCAGTGGGTGCCACGACCTTAACCTACCCGTGGGTGCCACGACATGACCTTAACCTACCAATGGGTGCCACGACATGACCTTAACCTACCAGTGGGTGCCACGACATGACCTTAACCTACCAGTGGGTGGCATCCTGACCTTTGGATTCGAGCTGGATGGATCCGATCCTTCAGTCACAACTTCCTGTTGAAGATCTTGTAGTGATTGAAAAAATTAATTAATTAAAAAAGGGAAGTCGCTCATTCATTTGATTACATTCTTTATCTATTGCTGCCATTACGTGAGCACGAGTTGCTGTTTTTCCCCGTCATAGAAATAAAACAGTTTCTATTTATCTCTTTGGCATCTCCCCCCCCCCCCCCCCCCATCCATACACCAAGGCCACTCCCAACACTCAAGTTCATGACCAGCTACATTGGTACATCCCATTTGTAGGCTCAAGTTCTTGTGAACTTTCACTAAACTTCCCTGCTACCAACACCAAGGAGTAGGAACACCCCCCCCCCCCTTCCTCCCCAAACGTTGACTCACCTGACTTTAAACTATGGGAAGGAGGGAGCGATGATGCTTCAGATGTGTAGTGTATGGTTGAACGACGATCTGCGCTTTGAAATGAGACTCGGGTATTCTCGCTTGAACTATCCGGCTTGGAACTTCCGGTGATTTTCGGCGAAGTGGTGTCTTCAGATTTGTACACAATACTTTCAAAAGGGTTAGGACTCATTTCGGTCACTTCAGCGGGACTTATTTTTGCGGAATTCAGTTGCGACGTTTTGTTTTGGAAATCCTGATCCGTGTTTTGTAGATTTCGGCTGTTTTCTGTGAGATTGGGATCTGTTTGGTCAGTGTTTTGTAAACGTGGGCTGTTGTTTTCCGATATATTTGGATCTAATTGTGGTATGTCTTGGTCAGTGTTTTGTAGATTGGGACTGTTTCTTTCGGACAACTTGGGACTTATTTGGTTTAGATCATTGCGACGTAGTTTACTGCTGCTAGTTTTAGGCGAGTTATGATCGGATGGAGGCAAGCTTTGGTCGGTGTTGGGCAGATTTGGGCTGTTGTTCTGGGTAGTGTTGGGATCAGTTTGAAGGAGGCTCTTGTCAGTAGTCTGCTGAACGGCACTGTTGACGTCAGCGTAGTCTTGTTGAGATGTTTCTGGCGACGGGTTGAGTTCATTATTTGATGATTTGTTTCGGTCAAAGTTTTTATTCCTCTTTGTAATTCGGTCAAAGTTTTTGATTCTTTCTGTAACTCTAGGTTTGTCCTCAGCTATCGTGTTCCCTAGCAGACTGTTACCTACTCTTTTCGCGTTTTCTAATGAGTTATCCATAGCTAAAAATGCGTTTTTGGCAGTTTATTACTACTAGTAAATTAAATTCAAGCTAGATTTCATTATACTACACGTAAGTCTATTAACCACTTAAAATTATTAATTAAAAATATAATCTAAAATAATTTTTAAAAATATCTCACGTTGATAATCTTTACAATAAGTTAGCAGTTAACTGTTCCATGTTTAAATTTTCTGAATGCAACAACTAAACAGATACAGTCCGTCTGAAATGTATAGACGGGCTGATTTCTAATTCAAACAATGGAGTTTTGTTCTTTCGGCAGTGGCCGCGGCAGACGGATGGAGAGACGATGACTGTGCAGACGTCTTGTAGAAAGAGCGTTTCTAACTTCATTCTGGAGAGTATCCAACCCATGGTTCATTTAAGCAGTTCTTTTAATTCTTGTTAGAAAAGGTTCAGGAAATGGAAGCTGCGTGTTTTTATCTCCACTGTTTTTAGTATCACGCACTGCGTACACACCACTTCCGTTTCCGCACTGTCACTTTGTATTTACATTACATCGGAAAACTCCGAAAGTAGCAGATATAGAAATAGTATAGCAAACCACTCAAGAGTTTTATTTTAATTATTATTAAACACTAGCGTACCCGACCCCGCGCGTTGCCGCGGGAATAGAAAAAAAGTCCGACGAATATATAAGGGTTTCATCCATGCGTCAGTGGCGTAGGCAGGGGGGGGGGGTTAGGGGGGGGGTCATAACCCCCCCATAGACCCCTCGGTATATATATAAAGTATGAGGGGGGGGGTGCAAATCGAAAGTTTGGGGGGGGTGCAAATCAAAAGTCTGAGGGGGGGTGCAAATCGTAAGTTTGAGGGAGGGTGCAAATCAAACGTCTGGGGGGGGGGGGGTCAAATCAAAAGTCTCAGGGGGTGGGGGGTGTGCAAATCAAAAGTTTGTCCCCGGGTAAAAATTGGACCCCCCCCCAGAGACGATCATGGCTACGCCAGTGCCATGCGTTACCAATCATATATTCTTAAACTCGTGACCTTGTTTTTTAAAAGTGAGTTATTTAAATGTAAACAATGCCTGCATTTGGATGATAAATATCGGGACACTACCGTATGAAAACCGTGAGTGTACATTAATAACTCACCGAAATAATGTGGTAGAACACACTTCGGTGACCGCCCATGTGTCAGGGACGTAGAGTGGCGCTCTCAGGAGCCGCCCCCCCCCCCCCACCCCGATTACACTACCGCGTACGGCCCCTGGCTCCCTAAAACTAACAGGCGCCATCGTGCCAAATAGCATCCTGTTAACAATGATGCAGATTGCGTCATTCGCTAAAGTGACACAAATGAACAAGAGTTTTTTCTTTGACACGTAAATGAGGTAGAACACACTACGGTGACAGCCCATGTGTCAGGGACGTATTGTGGCGCTCTCAGGAACCGCACCCTCCCGTGGCACCGCCCTTGCGAATTTAAAAATGATTTTTGTTTTACAAAAACACTTCCCCAAAGTGTTCTAGTAACTCATCAAAGTTTGATGGCGATCGGATTAATGCTGTGAAACCGCAATCGACGTTTATTTGTATATACCGTATATAGAGAAAAATCGCACCCTCCCGTGGCGCCGCCCTTGCTAAATTAATTTTTTTTTTTTTTTGCAGCACCCTTCCATAGAGTTTTATAATGAACTCCTCAAAGTTTCATGCCTATCGGATGAACTATGTCACTTCAACTTTTATTATTTTTATAAACAGTATATAGAGGAAAATCGCACCCTCCCGTGGCGCCGCCCATGCGAAATTAAAAAAAATATAATTTTACAGAACCCTTCCCTAGAGTGTTATAATGAACTCCCCAAAGTCTCATGGCTATCGGATGAACAATGTCAAACCAAAATCGACTTTTTTTAATATACCGTACATAGAGAAAATCGCACCCTCCCTTCACTGAATTGCTCTAATCAACTCCCCAAAGTTTGAAGGCGATTGGATGAAGTGTGAATCTGCAATCGATTCTTATTTTTATATACCGTATATAGAGAAAAAACAAATCGCGCCCTGCCGGGGCGCCACCCCCGCGAATTAATGTGAATTTTTTTTTCCGCAAAAACCTCCCCAGCAATATTCTGAACAACTTCCCAAAGTTCGACGGCGATGTGATAAGAGGTGTGGTAATGCATAAAAGACACACACACAGACACACATACATTGCTTTATATATATATAGATTTGTTACATTCCCACATGATTTACAAACCATATTATGATCTTGTCCAGATAAACCCCTGCTAAAACCGTAAACCACCGCCATCCAAAAAATATATTACAAAAACAAGGAAACGAAACAAGTACTTTTAGTTTTTAACCCTAACCCAACCCATTACCTTAATGCGAACCCTATTCTTTACCCTAACCATAGAGGTGGATAAGTTGTTTTTGTTTAAATATTCAGATGTCTAGACAACAGAAATAGGTCTAGGTTGCGTGCGTGTATTAAATTGGAGCTGGCAAAAGTGGTGGGGCTTAACTGTTCACCAGTGTTTTTTCCAGGCTTTTTTCTCCGGGGAGGGGGGGGGGGGGAGACGACGACAACGGTAAAAGTATATGTTTTCTATATAATATACATTAGTGGCAGGGGTTTATATAGACAAGATCCCAATATTAATATGTATTAATATATAGATTCCGGACATTAGCTTATTAAGTCCGAATAAAAAATTCAGCGCGCCGAACTGCTCGATTTTTAACCAAGTATTTGGAAGTATCGAATGCCTCCGCTCCACACACAATTACAGCCCATTGAGCGAAGGGAGGTAATTGTGTGTTGGCCACGGAAGACGACTTTCGCTTCCAAGCAGAAACCTTTCCAATCTCCATAGCAACACTGGATTAACATGGTAACTAAGGGGTCATTTGGTAACGATGTCGCGCTTTTTTTTTTACGAGTTTTACCTCCCCTTGCCCACAAAAAGACAAATCCCTAAAATGATATCACACCTCAACCTAGTCCTACCCCCCCCCCCCTCCTCAAAATTCGTTTTTCTTTCAAACCTTGATTTCGTTCTATATTTACTGAGCTCGATCAACATTCATTTCTATTACAATTTTCAAAATCAAGTCTTTAAAAACACGATATAACGGCCAAACCAAGAATGACTAATTTTAGAATTTCAACAAGAGACCTCTGGAAAACACGACCTTTCTCATTCTGTCCACCGTTTAGACTAAGTGTGACCAAACCAGTTTCTTCCAGGCATCTCTTCCATTGGCAAAAAAAGTCTGCTGCCCCCTCCCGAACGAAAATTTAAATAGAAAAAATATAAATTTACCAGTGTCCGCCAACTCGGAAAAATTAGTAGTCCACACTCCCCCCCCCCCCCCCCTCGGAGAAAAAAAGTCTGAAAGAAACACTGGGCCAAACTAGTCAACACTAAGCTGTACTAAGGCTTCCGCGGCGTGTGAATTTCATGGCGCTAGGCCTACTTTCTTGCCCTGATATTCTTCAATGTGACCATGACAACGTCTTAGAGAAAAAAAAAAAAAAAAAAACTCTATTCTACCACATCCTCAGCAAACCCGAGTCATTCGAGGTTTGGGTGAGGGGCGGGTCGAAATACAAAGGAATAAAAAATTCACATTTTATAGCACTAAAGATGGGTGATCAGAAAAAGACAAGGCGGAAGTTTAAAAAAGTCACGGTGACATTATCCACATCCAAGACAGTAACATCTTGAATCTGTCGCTTGGTTATTGATTGTACTGCAGCATTCTTAAACTCATATCATTGATTCAGCTATTTTAGGGGTCATCCATTTATGATGTCCACAATTTTTTATTTAGGACCCCCCTCCCCAAAAATCCACTTTTTTCCTTAGAAAAGTCCATTTGCGTCCACAAAAGTCAGTTTTTTTCGGACCCCCCCCCCCCCCCCCCCCGTGTGGACGTCATAAATGTATGACCCCTTACTTGCATCTTAATAATTTTTAATGTCATAAAATGGGCCTCTTGTAAAATGTAAATGGGGGTCATTCATAAATGACGTCACGCTTTTTTGGACATTTACCCCCCCCCTTTCCACACACATTGCACCAAAAAGCCGACCCCCATAGAATGACGTCAAACCTCAACCTACAACCCCCCCCCCCCCCCCGAAATTGCAGAGTTGAATTTTTCTTAGAACATCGATATTTTTCCAAAATCTTGTCTGAACTCTGTCAAAGTATTTTAATCAATCCCTGTTACTATTTATTAAGAATCTATAACGCGAAATTACGGCTAAAACTAGTTTACTAACATTGCTTTTTTTATAATGCAAGTGTGACATCACACCATCTGACACCCCCCATAACAAAATTACGGACCCTCCTCCGAGTGTGTATGGACAACCCCCTAACCTACTGTTACTAAAAATACAACTAGTCATGCCAGGTGGTCTAAATAACAGAATGTAATGCACGTTGTTTTCTCAACCAATGTACGCAGAAACATGATAGTATTGATAGCACAGTCATGTGATACCAAAGACAAACAGCTAAAAATAACTTACACCTTTATCATGTCTACTTGGCGTGTCAACATAATTTCAAAAATATTCTTGCAGCAAATTATTAATGAAAACCTTTCCCCGCAAGTAATCTTTTTGAAAAAAAAAAGTAACAGGGTAATGTAATAGAAAAAAAAATTGTTTTAATATTCACTTAACCAAATACAGTGTATGTTAAAGTTGATCAGCAGCAACCATCTTTACCAAACAAGGCACTATCAACCCCCCCCCCCCCCCCTACAAATCTGATAACTAAGCAATTAATATAAAAACAAAAACAGTTAAAACAACAAAGTTGTTGCCAATAAAACCTTACACTAAGCAATTAATTAAACACTCAAAATTTTAAAAACCCAAAATAAATTAACAGAAGACCACCCTAGTTTCTCACTAATAACCTAGGCACATGATTAATTAATTAATCCCATTACTACCACTGATAAAGATTATCCAAATAATCAGAAACACTCAGATCTGTTTAACAAACATCAATATAGAAAAAAAAATGGCCAGAATCAGAATGACATGGATGGAATAACAGGATGATTGAGTTTCTACCCACATTACAAACTATGTTGCCATTCATTTAATACTGTACAATTACCAATCATTTAGAATACAAAACTTTGTTAGAACAAATAAAAGAACTTGGCATAAAGTGACCAGTAAAATAATTACAAATCACACATTTACAAGATAAGTTTGGTTCATGTAAAGACTTTAATATTTGTTAAATAAACTATTTCATACAAATTATCATACACAAATGATTTGACTTGGACCAAAGTTGATAGAATAAGACTGATGGGACTGTACAGAGTTTTGGTCGGTCCAGGATGCAGAGTGCCTGAATGGTGCTAGAGGAAGTAGTCAGGTTGTGGCTTCTTTGATGGGATGCCTCGGGATTCCTGGTTTCAAGAAATTAATTCAGAGGGGTATCAATAATGAGAATTTAAAATGCATCTATAAGTATAAGATTAACAGCCAATTTGTAAGTTTCTTTGATTTTTATGACTGAGTACAACATGCAAGTAAATGTAAGCAGCCTTTGTTTGATTAATGGTTCAGTACATGACATCCCTTAAATAACAGGTTCCCAAATTTTTTATGAGCGGTGACCCTTTTTTTTTAATTATAAAAGTCAAGTGAAGTCAAGTGACCCACAACTCTCATAATTGAAAAAAAAAGTATTTTTGCCTGGATTATTTTACAAGTCGGCCTTAAATAATCTATAAATATGAGACCTAAAAATGAGAATAGAGCGTGACAAACCTGTGGTGCTGCTTCAAATATTGTAAAATCTCTTTTCAAGTTTTCATCTAATTCAAGGATAGCTGCCACGTTGCCACACCTATGAATAAAAAAATCAAACATAGCAATGAAGGAAAAAAGTCCAACTAAAATGAGTACTATTTAAAACTTCAACTGAAACCTTTTTAAAAACTGTAATGGTTTTCGTAAAAATAAAACAATATTTAGAATATGAAAATAAAGATTAGCTTACCTATAACAGTAGTTTGGTGCTGACCAAACAGTGAGGACCATTTCACCAAAGTGCCATTTATAACCCTCCATCACAAGTTGGTGTGCACGACATATCAAGTCTACCTCATTTTCTTGGCAAAACGAGTTGACAACATCACTTCCAAACAAATAGCCCGCACCTCTAGGACTGACACCCCAACCTTGCATGTCTAAATAAAAGCAGTCAAATATGGTCTTTATTGCGGCTTACTAAATCAGTTAACACATTATTCATGCTAGGGAATGAGTAAAAAAAAATTGGACATGACCACAATAAATTACACCTGGGAACATCACGAGTTACCTCTCACTAAACCAGCTAACAAATTATTCATGCTAAAGAATGATTAAAAATAAATGAATGCCAACAAACCTTCTGGATCTGACCACAATAAATCACACATGGGTCCATCATGAGGAACCTCTTGTTTTCTGTCTATTTGTCTTATTTGGTCTAGAGATGTTATAGATGGTGACAAGCCACCGTGCACGCAGAATATCTAACAAAAAGAAAGTAAACTAGGAAATAAAATACTAACAAGAAGAGATAATTAAAAATCATAAAGACAACAAACCACATTTCTATCATATAAATGTGTGATTATGGGGTAACAGATGAAAATTGAAGTTTTGGAAATTAATTTTGTAATAAAATAATTAGATTGTACAACATAGAGATTACCTTTCCATCTACTATTGCTGAAAGACTGAGGTAATCAAAGATTTCTGTACAGTAGCGCCATACTGTGATGGATCCATATTTTCTTAAACACTCATCATAAAACCCGTACACTTGTGTAATCTGTCTGCTTTCATGATTACCTCTGATTAGTGTGATACGATCAGGATACCGCACCTAAAGAAAATAATGAATCAGTTTGATATTTTTCAATCAAAGGAAACGTGAGTGAAAATGCGCAAGTAATTAGAGCACTTCATATAAAAACCATACCTTCAGGGCTAAAAGTAAAAGAAAAGTTTCCACGCTGTAAAATCCTCTGTCAACAAAGTCTCCCATGAATAAGTAGTTTGTCTCTGGCACCTTACCACCCACTTTGAACAATTCTTTTAAATCATAAAACTGGCCATGAATATCACCACAAACCTTGAAGGAAAACATAAAAACAGTTTTTGCACACTTCTCATAATTAACAAGTTGAGACAAAAAAATTACTATATAAATGCAAAAAAACAAACAAAAGAGATTGAGCTTTAACACTGCATGAGTCATACTAAAGTCAACATCATAAATCATTATAAAATCATCTATGTTATAGATTTTTAGGTATGCTTACTGTGACTGGAGCATCTACTGCCTGTACATTTCCTTCCTCTACCAGAATTTCTCTAGCTTTAGCACAAAGGGCTTTAACTTCACTTTCCTTGATTACTTCACATCTTTGTAGCTGCTCTATTTGTCTGAAAACAAAATTTTACAACTGCAGACAATCACAGTTTTAATAGACTTGCTGCCAAATTGGCAAATATGTGATGTATAATAAAGACAAAAATTACATAGTTAACAAAGCCATACATAAGTCAACATACCTATCTAAATCACTCATGTCACTCATTCTTGAAGTTAAAGAGTTTCACACCTGCATTGGAAATAGATATAGAATAGAATTAAAACATGCCATTAAAAAAAAAAAAACAAGTTGGTTCTTGGCTTTTTTTTTTGTAACAAAAAATATTCTAGATGAGGATACTTAAGTGAAATTTCTCATAAATAAATTTATAATTAAATGTCAGTGTGTGTGCACCTAAGTTGAAAACGAAATTTCAGGAGATAAGAAATATGGTGAGGTGGTAAATTGCAAGAAGGGTGTGAAAACCACAGTTCACATGACATTTTTGTCGCACATCTTTCCCCCACCTGAAACTTACGCTAGGTGGGGGTAAAAAGCGAAGATGTCTGCGAAAATTATACCATCCGAGTTACAATGAACCTTGATGCAGACTTCAAAGACATTTGTATTGTTATAACATCCTATGTTTACATTGCGACTTCTTTCTTTTGTGTGGAGCACCAGAGCTTCCCTATATATCAATATAACATCAGTTTACTAAAACAAAATCGCTGATGCTGCAAACATGTATTGTCGCAAAGAGGTTTTGTATTACTACTGCTTGCGATTTATGTTTTCATCGTATAAATATCAATTTTGTTGATGTTTAAAAATGCTTTTAATTAAAATTACATAGCCTAATAAAAAATTACACTTTTTAAATTGTTTATTTATACTTCTACGCTTTCTACAAGTACAACAATACAAAAAGTTGAATATCGGAAGATATTGGCCTTATATTAATAATGTGTAGTATTGCTCGCTAGCCTGGAGGCGGGGCTAATTGCCAACAACAATATGACGTCAACATCAGACGCATGACTACCGACGATTTTTCGTCTTAGTTGCAGTGACCTTCCTTCTTAGAATTACTTTTTAAAATATTGACAAGCAAAATGGCGAATCATTCACATTATAAAAACAAACTATGGGTGGCAGGGCAATATAAGCCAAAGGAGCATTTCAAAATTTGCTTTGGAGAATGTATCTTTTCATAGACATTTATTTTTTAAAAACCACGTGACCGCTATTTGGCTCATCACTAGTGAGGAACTATAGTGCATAGCCAATTAAAAAGTGAAACCGATTCGTGGTTTGCAGAGGCTTCAGACGAAAGTTGTGTTGTCATGGAGTAGTGTGTCGTGTCATCGCAGTGAGTGACAATACATATTAAATTAAGTAGGCCTAGGCCTAATTTAGTTTAAAATGAACTAAAAACTTCAAGATTAGTGCCTAATGGATTAAATATGGATGTCTATTATTCAGTGGTCATGTTTAAATTGAAAATTGCGTAAATTTCAGATTAAGTGAGAAAATCTATCAAAATAATATCTTTAGGAACTCAGTGACCAATTGACTGAAGCTGTATTTTTCTAATGCAGACAAGAAAACATGAGTGGGTGATCCTAGAAGTACTTAACTTAGGCCTATGTTTTGATTTTTTAAATATTAATATTATTAAAAACATTTGAAGTAGGCCTATTTCTTGCACATCCGGAAAAAAAAGACTACCAAAAGCATGAAAGAAAGGGTAATCTATCGTTTTGGGTACGTAAAATCGCCCGCGATTTGTAATGTGAAAAACAGGTGACTCCTTAAATTTTAATAATTATTTCACATTTTGAGGAGGATTTATGTTTTTAAAAATTCAAAAATGTTTCCTTGATTCATTTATGTACCTGTTTTTAAACAATTGAATTAAAACTTTTCCGTAATAAATGAAGACTAGCGATGTTTCCAACAGATGCAACCATGCTCATTTACTATAGCAGCCATCTTGTCAAAGTTTTATTTTTATAAGCTTTTAGCGCCAGATTCAGGGGGAAGCCACTCTATTTTACAAATGGCTGCTGTTTATATAGCAAATCTTGCTCTCAGACACTGCTGTTTAAAGTTAATTTCTGGCCTATATCGATATATTTAGCCATTGATTTAGGTTTATTATTCATTTATCTATAATATTTGACACAAAAGTATGACAATATACTTCTATTAAAGCCTTGACAACGAGGTAACGTTTTCGTACATAAATAGCCGCGGGCGATTTTACGTACCCAAAACGATAGATTACCAAAGAAAGAAATGTCTCTCAAATTGTATCTCGTAATTAACACTGTGATTCTGCAGGTATGTCTAGCATTTTCTTCTTGCAATTTACCACCTCTTGTCATTTCACAAATTGTTGAATTTATTTTATCAACAACACCTAGATCTAGACTAGATCTAAATCTAGAGCAAATTACACTGTCCGGACACACACCGCGAAAAAACGCAACTTAAAACTTCCATGCGGTCTCATTCAGTAACCGCTTAACATAGGAAGGAAAAAAAAGTATCATATCTATCCGCAATCATTCTACTTTAATAATGTGTGTGTCATTTTGTATTCATACGCATAGAACTTTAGCTATTCTTGTTATAGTGACTGGGGGGTCTTAACGTGTGTTCGGACACATGTAATACAATTTCAAATGTGTTCGGACAACTTTACCCGTCATCGGACAAAGCACTTTTTGTTCATTTAGAATAATTTAAAGTCAATTTAATGAATAAAAACATATATTATATGCATTTATATTGTGTTATTGATTGTGAGGTAATTTTAATAGTATAAAACCTTTTTCCCACACTCCCAAAGTTCATCCCATTCAGCCATTGCGGCTCGCGCAGTACGCTGCTAAGCCAGCCAGGTCACATGATTCCCCCTCCTCTTTCGCATTCCACTGCCTTCTTGACCTTATTTTGACCCTTTCCCTTCAATAACCAGCCCCTTTTATGCTCTAAATTCTTATTTAATAATATTTTTGTGTTGCTGTCCGGTCCCATGTAAGGTCAAAAAAGTTAGCGAACACCCCTTTTTTATTGTTCAAGCACAAAATAACCCATTAACCTTGACATTTACGATGTTCCATACATATATAGAAGCTATTTATAGTGTAACCTTTTAGCTAAGCGTTGATTGGTTCAAGTTTTGCCCCTAAGTCCAACCCTAGGTCACTTCATCCGGCTGGTGTAAAAATAGAAATGTGCGTACCATGCAACGTTAAAAATTTTCTAAAAATAATTCTTGAGAGAGGAAACGGAAGTACTTGACACGGAAGTGTTCATAAATGAACAGTTTACGTGCAGGCGCCGTGGTTTCGCATGAGACATGCTAATTAAAGTTTCTATGAGCCAAAAACCGACGAAGTGTTCGGTCCCACGTAGTGTTCGGACAATGTAATTTGCTCTAGTAGTCTAGGCCTATTCAAAAACAATTTTTAAAATTTCTACACTGACTTAGTCACTTAACTGACTGTCCACAGAATCACAATTCCTAACTAGATCTATTTGTCGAGAGTCTAAACTCTAAACATTGCAGAGTAACGAAAGATAAGAAACTTAACTATATTATAAGTTATAACTATAATAATATTACTAAACATTCAAAAACACAGATGGGAGTGTCCACTAGATTCTCTAGTCTCTAGACTAGAGAATCATTTTTTAAAATTTCACTGGACCAGTCTGAGTCACGAACCAAATAAAATTTTTACTTTTTTAATAGGCCTACACAGACAATATTATAGAGTCTAGATCAAAGTAGTTAACATTATATTTCATTATACCTAAATTTTGAATGCGTCAACTTTAGAAACTTCCTATGGTGAAAATGAACAAATTAAATCCTAATAACAGTGACGCACAGGATATTTTTACTCGGGTCTAGAAATGAGTATTCCACCATATCTCGTCGTTTCACACAGGAAGTCCTTGCAGATTTTAAAATATTTTAATGCCAAATATCTTGGCCCTAGAAAACTCACTATAACAATTCGAAGTAATGTTAAATGCAATAATTATTATTTAAAATGCAATACTTTTATTTTGCTACAATGTATTTTGCTTAATTTAATATAAAACAAAAGGAATTACTGAGTTTTTAAGTGTTACAATATTACTTCAACTATGTATTATTATTATTTTCCCCGATGCCGTATAATACAGTGTGTATGATCTTGCTGCTATTTTTTTTTAAAAATTAGTCTATGTTTATTGTGATGCTTTTATGATTACATGTATCTAATTATTTAATTGTGAAAATTGTAAAATAATTGTATCGTCTTATTTCAAAATATACTATAATATATAGATCTAGATCTATAATATAGATCTTCATTTCTATTGCCTTGGGCCTAGGCTTTTTTTGTACAAGCCTTTTTTGCCCAACATAAGTACATCTCGTGTCGACGAGAGTTTACTGGGATTATCAAGGATTGTTTATAAACTGCAGGTATAATCGTATTCCCTGCACATAAACATTGGGTATTTATTTTGTCAAAATGGGAAATATTCATACAACTGGACCCAACGAGGCCTTAGTAATTTCAGGTATGAACTGCATGAAATATGAAAACTTTTAATGCGTAAAGTAATAACTAATAAGACTCACAACTTGGATAACATAGATCTAGTTAAATCTAGTTTTTTAAAATGTCTTTTATTTTTTTTATGTAGGGGCCTAGGCCTAGCCTAATTTTTTTTTTTTTTACTTCAATCATGTTTCATTATTAATTCAACAATTAGATATAGTTAGTTAGCCTAATAATTTTATATTAATGATATGGCTATTTGATTGTTAATTATTTAATATTTATTAGGGGCCCAGGCCTATAACTGATATTATTATTATAATTAGGCCCCTATTATTATTAGCATTAGCATTAGGCCATTAGGCCTATAAAATAGTATTATTAGTATTATAGTACTTTTAGTAGGCCCCTATTAAGTATATATTAGTATAAGTTATAATAAGTATAACTGGTTGTGGTTTCCTCAATGTTCAACCTATTCTATTTATTAGTACATTGTATTGTTACATTGTATGATTGTAGGGTGTATAGTGTATAGTTTCAAATGTAACATAAATAGGTAATTTATTAAAAATTACAGGTGGCTGTTGTGGAGCTGAGGGAAGAAAATACATTATTGGAGGCTGGGGATGGGCATGGTGGCTTGTTACAGATACTCAAACGTAAGTCATAAAAAACTGTTCTTAGGGTTTAATGTTGTTTGTAGCATTCATTCAAACTCCTTTTGTGATTCCTCTTTTTCTGACTTAATAGATAAGTACCCTGTTTTTATTAACTTTTAATCTTACACTGGTTTTTATGTTCAGCTATTTAATTAAACTCTATCATATTATTTTTAATAGCATTTCCCTTGAGGTAATGACACTAAATCCAGTTTGTGAAAGTGTTGAAACTTCCGAAGGTGTGCCTGTAACAGTCACAGGTGTTGCTCAGTGTAAAATCATGAGATCTCCAGACATACTAAAGAAGGCTTGTGAGCAGTTTTTGGGGAAGTCCCCTCAGCACATTGAGCACGTAATCCTTCAGACCCTTGAGGGTCATCTTAGGGCTATTTTGGGTAAGTTATTTAATATTCCCTTACTACGTTTCTTGTTTACCCCTCCATTTTAAAATTGTATTCAAGGTTTACAATCATATACTTGTACAATAATTTTTGTCACATTTTAGGTACTCTTAGTGTTGAGGCTATTTATCAGGATCGTGATCAGTTTGCACAGCTGGTCAGGGAAGTGGCAGCACCTGATGTAGGCAAGATGGGCATTGAGATCCTCAGCTTCACCATCAAGGACATCTTCGACAAAGTCGAGTATCTCTCCTCCCTTGGGCGTGCCCAGACTGCCAATGTCAAAAGAGATGCTGATATTGGTGTTGCTGAAGCTAACAGGGACGCTGGCATCAGGGTTGGTAGTCTACATTGATATTTTATTTTTTGTGATTCTGCATCACTGTAGAACTATATGGTTTTAATAGGTAAATGTATATAGAATATTAAAATGCTTAGGGTATGACAAATCTTTCTATCAATGTATTTCAAGCCATATTTTAATTGTTCTTGTTGCACATTTTTATAACTGTTTAAGGCTTCTCAATTGACCAAAGTACCGTTTCTCTATTGAGTAACAAATAGCACACATACTACCATCACATTTGAATGGGTTATTTTTCAATTAAAATGTGATGTTAGATTTTTATTTTTATCGTATTTGTTACTTAAATTTCAGGAAGCAGAGTGTGAAAAACTGAGGATGGATGCAAAGTACAGGGCTGATGCCATCATCGCAGACTCTTCTAGAGAATATCTGATGCAAAAAGCTAATTTCGATATGGAGGTTAATGCCAGGGTGAGCGTCTTTAAGGCTTCAAATTACTAAATGCATGGTTACTGTAAAGAAAATCTTTGTTTAACTGTTGAAAATCTGTGCATGAAGTTGAGGTTGAGGTTTTTTTATACAGAACTATTACTGCACAAGATTGTATTAAGCTAGGGTCCTAACATCACCATCATTGAGATGCTTTTGAACTCATCTTTGATTGCAATATCACATCCAGTTATTCTTAAACTTAATATGTACATTTTGTAGTTAACTTGGAAAAATTAAAATACTTTTTAGGAAATATTTTTGCAGAATATAATACATTTGGTTAATATCTACTTAGTATAAATGTAATCTATTTATATATTTTACCAAATGTTTTGGCGTTATCTTATTTCATAATTATGGGACTGCTACTCTGAATGTTTTGGGTTGAGATCCCACTAAGACATGTATCAATATTTGCTCACCATCCCTCAGAACACTATTTACACTTAGGGATGGTGTGGTGGAATGATCGAGTGTTAGACTGCTAATCCTAAAATATCAAGTTTAGACCCCGGGCTTTGAGTCTATATGACGTCCCTGAGTCCAGTTCTGATGGATAGCTGTCTGATTTTATGGAAAGTAAAATCAGCTTGGTATAGAACTGCCCACACTATCCCTTCATATGCTGCATTCATGGAAACAAGCAAACTCTACTTCACCTGTTATTTTGATCAAGTTTGTAAAGGTATCATTATTTTAGTCTTTAAAAGTAATTGCTATTTTTGCAGAGAGCTGAAGCTGAACTGGCTTATGAACTTCAGGCAGCAAAAGAAAAACAGAAGATTCGAAGCGAAGAGATGGAAATTGAAGTTGTTGAAAGAAGGAAGCAAATTGATGTGGAGGAAAAAGAGATATTGAGAAAAGAGAAAGAACTGATTGCAACAGTCAAACGTCCAGCAGAAGCACAGGCTTACAAGATGGGTCAGGTTGCAGAGGGACAAAGGTTGGTTGTTTCTTGATGGTAATTGTTCTAAGAACTTTAGAGGCATTTTTTTGGTAACAGGATTTGTAAATAGGATTGATAAATGCTGGATCAGCATATAACAAAAGGAATACATTTTATCATAAAGCTAAAATACAAAAATAATATATTTTTTACCCACTTGGTCATTAGCTTGGTAAAAACATTTAGATTAAACTGATAACTAGAATTAATGTAACGAAATGAAAATTGCAGGACACAGACTGTTGAGGCAGCCAGAGCCGAGGCTGAAAAGATCCGACTTATTGGTGCCTCAGAAGCTGCTGCTATTGAAGCTGTAGGTAAAGCAGAAGCTGAGAGGATGAGACTGAAGGCCGCAGCCTACAAACAGTACGGTGATGCTGCCATGTTGCACCTGGTCATGGAAACCCTACCCAAAGTGAGTCTCTTAATGACCCCTGCAACTTGTTTGATTTTGTTATAGAGCAGTGGTTCTGAACTTTTTTGGAAGTACCAAACCCCACCAGTTGTATATGTGCGTTCACTGAACCCTTCTTAATAGCTCAACCGTACGCACTGAAAAAATCCGATTGTGAATCATATGAGTTGGGTGTGTGTCTTGACCTCTGTTGAACCCCTAAGACAGAATCACCGAACCTCTAAGGGTTCAATCAAACCCAGGTTAAGAACCACTGTTATAGGGTAAAGGATTACTAACTCAAAAGTCTCAGACTCTATGCTCAGTTTCTTGGGAGAGTCCTGTCCACCCATATCTGATAATTTCTGTTTAATTAGGGTAGCTAAGATGGACCTGTATAGCGTTGACCACACAACTCCCTTTATAAGCTGAGGCAATTAAAACGTTGAAACTATTTTATTTGACCTATGGACTCGCATGAGTACAACATTATATCACAAGAGTTCTTGTCAATACATTTTTTAACCATGTGTTATTCAAGATTTTATACAGATTGATCAACTACATTTTTTGTTGCGATAGATTGCAGCTGAGGTATCTGCCCCTCTCTCCAAGACTGATGAGATAGTGTTGTTGGGTGATGACCGCGTGACTGGAGAGGTCAGTCGTCTGCTCTGTCAGCTGCCGCCTGCTGTTCAAGCTTTGACTGGGGTGGACCTGTCCAAGGTTTCTTTCATTTTTTTTTTTTTTTACATTTTACAAAATTTTTCTAGTTCAAGTTAGTAGAATGTCCCTGAGTCCACCCAGCTCTGATGAGTACCTAACTAAGCATAGTGCTGACCACACTAACCCTTCTTATGCTGAGTTCTCTGAAACAGATGAACTCTACTTCATCTGTACCATGTACCTTGGGCATGAACTGAAAAAAATATGAGATGATGAGGGGGTATCAAATTTTAGAAAAATCAGATTATTTTACATTTCTTTGGTTCTGGAGTTATATTGCTATTAATTTATGGTTGTTTTGGTATTTTCATCATACATGCATTAGTTTAATTAATATCCTCTCTCACATCAAATTTTATATCAAATTTTAGAAAATTAAATTATTTTACATTTCTTAGGTTCTGGATAGGTTTATGCTATTAATAGATGGTTGTTTTGATATTTCCATCATTCATACATTAGTTTAATTAATATCCTCTCTCCCAGGTTCTCGGAAAAATCCCTGGTGCTCAACAGGCTTAAGTCACACACTACCAAGTTATGCCTTTTTTTAGGAGCTGATCTAACCAGGCAATGGAATGTTAGCTGTTAGAAATAAACATAACAATTCACAGCTTAGTAAAAGATCTTAACAGAGGTTTGTAAGTTAATCACAGGTACCTTGTGAGTTAGACTTACCCAGATGCACTTTTTAAAATTTTTAGCATCTCGTGAGAAACAAACGTTTTTTTGTGTCCTTTATCACTGGTCAAAATAATTTTTATTTGATGTTTTAACAATGAACAAAAGAATGTTTTAACTTTTTAATTAAGGCAACACATCACAATTAAGGTATTTTTTATGCCACAAAGTACTCAATTTTTCCCCATTATTATAATGAACAGCTCATTGAGATATTCCATATTTGTCATTTTTTTGTGCAATTTTAGTCAAATATTTGTATATTTTTGGCTTTACCATTCTTAAATTTAAGTAATCAGTATGAATATTTTTCTAGCAATACAATTTTAAGTATTTAATGTGTAACCTCTTAGTATTGCCATTTTAATGCATCTATCTCTCTCTCTATGTATAACTGTTCACCTTGATATCATGTTTTTTAAACATTTTCATGTATTGTTTCACTTACTATCTTTGTCAACATTTTATTCATCCCACATAAACCCTGCTTCACCTACCTTTACCTGTACTCCACTGTAATCTCATTGCTTTTCTATTTGTTCCAAATATTTAGTCATTTATTGAGTATTGTAAATGAATGGAATGTTGTTTTACTATTCATATTCATCAATGTGACATTATTTCAAATTGTTGTTAACTATGTGCTATAGTGATTAATGCCCCTTTTTTGACTAACTTTATGAGGTTATCTACCCTGCTGCTACTAGAGATTTTTTGCATAATTTTTTTTTTGGTATTAAGTTTTGATTCTTGCTCAATACAAAGGTTACAGTTATGTTGAGCGGTTGTGATTTGCTAAAAGTCAATTTTACAGACAACACAGATTCCAAAAAAGGTTTTAAGTTAAGTTTAGTAATGTCAAGCTGTTATTTTTATTTCTAGTAAGACAAATGGCAACTATATAACTTATTAGTGTGATAAGTAAACATAGATTAGCTTTTATGTTGTTTATTCTAAATCAGATTAAACAAAATCAAACATGGTTCTGATATTACTCAACAAAAATACCTGAGATTACTTTTTGATAACAAGATATTAACATTAGAACACTTTTTTTTTTCATTTATTTTCATTTTCCCCAGTTGTAATTAGTTTCAGAAAACTGCAAGGAACACAGTGATTAAATTGAAATCTTAACATAAGGAGCTTATATAAAGGAACAGATTAATTCACCTTCTAATTTAAGTATTATTTTATTTAAAAACAACCTAAATCTGGTTTAAAGAATTTCTAGGTCATGCTGTAGTTTGTTTGATTTATTGTCTTATAAACAACTTCTACGCATAGTTGCTGTCCCAAATAATGATCAGTCCAAATTGTTATTTATAGTATTTAGATTTTTCTCAAAAGAAGTTTAATTATATCACTTCCTGTCAAGTAATTGAATTTTAATAACACCAATCTTTGAGCATCTTGTGTGTATGGTCTTGTTCTAATCTATAATTTTAATGGCAGCTTTAGCATTGTAACAACTTATGTAAATAGTTTGTTTCTTAACTTTTTACATTACAAAGTGCCCACATTAGACAACTGATAAAGTAGATTTGTTGAATTGATAACTCTGTTGTTTTACTTGATTGGTATTTGTTTTTTAAAAAAACGGAAAGACATCAGTTAAAAGGCATTTAGAATATACTTGTTTATGGAATTTGTTTTTAAAATCTGGAGAAAGGCATTTAGAATATACTTGTTTACGATATTTGTTTTTAAAATCTGGAGAAAGCCATCAGTTAAAAGGCATTTAGAATAGACTTGCTCTTTATATTCTAAGCATGGAACATTATTTTTTAATCTTTAAGTATTTGGATTAATTTTCTCTTGGTATATTTTATGTTTCATCACTTAGCATTTCATAATTCAAAAATTCATCGCAAATAAAATTAACGATTTCATTTTAATTGTAAATATTTTTTCTACTGTATGAAAAAAATTACTTAGTTATTAATCCTTGGAGTCAACAATGATTTTAAAGATAATTTTCTACAGAAATAAATTAAAGCTTTATAATTTTTCTGTGATGTGATTAATTATTTTAATTTTGTATTTAACAACAAGGCCTGTCACATAATAGCAGTGATAGTTTGTGATTGTTGTCAATTTTTTCAATGTCATTAATTTATTGTTTTATTTTTTATTTATCTAATATTTGTTTATGTTATACAACAATTGATTCTACTTCTAGACTTTATTTTTAAAAACAATAAACAAGTATTTGATAAGTCTTTATCATAACGTCACACTTTTCTATCCCACCTACTGTGTTTGGTTTCATTCCTGGTTGTTGAGAGATGCAGTGTCAGTTATGCTAAAAATAAATTGTCCTTCCTTTTACGTCACTTCTATTTCAATTCACCCTAGGCTTGGCTTCATTCATCATGTGTTCAACTCTAGAATTTCTCTACTGGTAATCATGAAAACAACACTAGATTTTTTTTTAAAGTTCAGATATAACTTGAGCAAGTGTACCATATAAATTACTGTTGCTGTCCTTAATAATATTCATAACATATGGTATCCCTTAATACAACCACTGACAGTATTATCATGCCATTATTACACATTGCTCTATGCATACTTTCAAAACACAATAGCTGGACTTTTTTTTTTACATCAAACTACTCACATCTCTTAACAAGACAATGTTTGGTTGTTTCAGTTTTATTCATTTAATTTGTTCCATTAAATCACCCACATTTTTGAATAACCATTAAATAAACCCCTTTAATTAAAAGAATGATAAAAATTTCTCATGTAACATTAACAACGTAAGGATTTGTAAGGGTGAAATGGATGTAAATGTAACATTTAATAGTTGTAAACGAGTTGGTCTTTGTAAATATAATCAACCCTGTCAATGTTTATTTTCTAGAAATAGTCATTGTAACATTTTTTGTTGTTTCTGAGCTGTTTTCTTTTTTAAAAATAATTGATTATATTTATAGGTCAATCTTTAATTATGTTTAAATATTATTAAATCTTTATTACCTTAAGACTTGCGTGTTGGGTTTTTCTTTTTTTGGGGCTATTGGTTTAAAGGGAGATAATTGCAGATAACCTTGACAGGATTAAACATTGGAAAAAACAAAAGGAACAAATGAGCCTCGATTAGTTTATATGCATGCAGGTATGTTATTATTAGATGTTTAAAAATTTAATGGCAAAACATTCCCTAGTTTTGGGCTATTGTACTCACTCAGCGTTACCTATTTGCGTGGAAGATGTTTTGACAGTTGCCAGTCGCTTAGATGGATGTATGTATGTAAAGATTCCTCTATAGCAGTGGTTCCCAACCTTTTTCGAGTGGCGACCCCCTTTTATAAAAATTAAGTGACCCGCGACCCCCATAGAATTAAAAAGCCGAAATTAGTATGAAAATTAATAAGCACTAAAATAAGATTTTCTATTAGACTTTCAATATGAACTACTCTTGATAACTATTTTAAAAGCATGAGTAAAATTGCATACTATTCACTAAACCTTCGTGGTTAAGTTTTTTATTAACAACCATTTTTGTTAACGCCAACCTATGTCATTATAATTATCTTAATTTTGTTTTTAATCAAAGAATAGTGTTGAAAATATAATCTCGAAAAGTCAATCAATTTTACGTTTGGGTATGAATGGTGAATACTACACCGAAATTGTGTATACAGTTTTTCATTTTACGCGGAATCATTCTGTAAATCAGATAATAATAATCTTGTAATTCATCGGGAATGCTGGCAACATCAAGGGAAGAAGAGAATGGGTAATGCGTCAATGTAGATTCTTCTTTTTTCAGCTCAGAGAAATAGCGATGCAGTTCGTTTTCAAGAGATTCAAGATGCCCAGAAATCGCTTCTTTCAAAATTTTAATTATCTCACAATCAGATTCAGATTTCCAAGATTTATTTTCTTTACCGATTTTACAGCTTTGATAAAAATGCCCCGAGATTATCATGGAAAGTTATAATATTCGTTCATTTTCCCTAAAGCTTCAGGTTAAGCTTATCTTGATGTTCGAACACATCTGCTAGGTATGAAACTCTCTCCAATCACTCTATGTCGTTTTAAGTATACCAAAAAGTCTTGTTTCCTTTGCACTTCCAAGAACAATTTGATTTCAGATTTCGTTTGACAGCCAGCGTACTGCAGTGTAGAAGAGCAGAACCTCGTGATCTATATCAATGTTTTTGCTCAGTTCTTTGAAGGCTCCAGATTTTATATAATTTACGACTTATACTAGCAATGGACTATTGGTGTCGATTGGTTAGGGCAGTGGTTAGGGAGCTAAATCTTTTCTGCTTTCTGAAAGCCCGATTTTGAGCTAAACATAGATGGCGCACCATCCGTACAAACCCACATAGCCGTTCTAACCCATTTTAATCATCCAGTTTCAAAAATGGTATTTATTTTCTCCATGCTATCTTCACAAAAGAGCAACTCTTCTTTGCTATCATCCGCATGAATATAGACATAGACCAGCAACTGCGAACACGAACTCACGTCTGTTGATTTATCAACTTGAAAAGCAAACAATGGTGAAAGCTTAATTTCGATAAAAATGTGTTATTTAACATTTACGTACATGCAGCGTTTGATGAGATTTTCCCTTATTGTTTTTTTTTTTGCTTGGCATTTTCTATCCCGACTTCATTTGATGCTTGCACTAATGTTGGTGAAAACTTCCAGTTCGATCAAGTCTCTGGCGTTTGCAACTAGCTTCTTGCCGACGAAAGAACTCCATATGTTTTCGGTGTGTTCCGAATGACTCGTCTCAAATGGAGTTTTAGTTTTGAAGATTTCATAGATTCGTGACTGAGAACAACTTTGTACAGTGCGCTTTGTTTCTTCTCTATTACATTTTCAGTGATGTTAATGAAGCCGAATTTTAAAAAAATCTTCTAAATATTTATGTTTTGTTTCAAATTACTAAGGTTTAGTATACCAGTTGGCGACCCCCCAGAAAGACCTTCGCGACCCCCAGGGGGGTCGCGACCCCCAGGTTGGGAACCCGTGCTCTATAGATCTAGCGATCCATTGGGGGAGATGAAGTAGAGTTTGTGAAGTAGAGATGAAGTGATAATGTGGTCAGCACTATGCCCAGTCGCCTTTAACTTTCCCTCACGTGAATTAGGTACCCATCAGAGCTGGGTGGACTAAGGGACGTTCAACTGACTTAAGCCCAGATTCGAACTTACGACTTTCGGGTTAGCAGACTAGCGCTCTACCGCTAGGCGACGTCGTCCCATGTAGGCTATATATAACTAGTTCGCCTCGGGCGCCTGAAGAGGTCACTACTCTGCTGGAACCGTATCGCATTTGGTTTCTTGCGCTGCCGGATGATCAAGGTTACAAGCTTGACGCATACCAACCAGCAGAGAGAGAGAGAGACCAAAATAGGTGCGCAACTACTACACCGCAGGCATCAATGGCAAATAACGGAGCAACAGTTTCAAGAGTAATGTCGTACCCCCACCAGCACACACGTCAGGCCATTGAAGGCAGTACTACACTGGGGCTCACAAACTTGGGGGTTACAAAATCAAATACCATCAGTATACAAACCACCACAAATAGATGCCTACGACAAATCTTCAAGATAAATCGGCCAGAAAAAAAATGTCCAATGGCTACCTGTGGCAAGTCACAAAGCAAAATTCAATAGGCTGGAGTATCAAAAAGTAAAGTTTCCTTTTTAGACCCTAATATGTTTCTTGTCCTCGGCATATGAAGGGATGGTGTGGTCAACACCATGCCCAGCCGCCTTTACTATTCCCAACGTAAGTCAGGTACTCATCAGAGCTGGGTGGACTCAGATACGTCCGAAACGAGATCCGAACTCGAGATCTTCGCGATGACATCTAAACGCTCTACCATTCTTGCTCCAGCTGCTAAACGAATCCACTGTCTTTGTTGAACGCCAAGTCTTAATTTGGTCAAGGTTGTGGATTTTGTTGACGAAGCTCATATTCTTCATTTGTTTAAGGCCCCAGTATCACCCTGACAATGGAAAATTGACAAAAAAATTGGCCGAAAAAAAAAACAACTATTATTAATTTTTTACAATAATAGTTACTATCAAGGAGCTATAAAACAGCACATAAAAGTAAGTCAATTTTATGATGCAAACATTTTTTATAAATAATTTAACCCAAAAAAATTAATCAGAAATTTTCGGCTGCGATTTCCAACATTCAGGCCCTTCCTACAGAAAATACTCAAGGAGATGCTTAACATGGTTGCCTAATGTTTGAACTAGAAGATATCCATTGTACCAAATTATAAATTTTTTTGAAATTTTCGAAGTCAGACAACCTGGTGGCAGATCTAGATCTAAATTAGAAATTTTCTAAAAAAAAAAATTTTTTTTTATTTTTTTTTTTAATACTTTTATTTGCAATTAAAACAAGTAGGCCTACATCAACATCACATTTTTTACATGGTTAAAAAAAAAAATCTCGCGCGAGAATGCCACGAGAGAGGATGCAATAATACATTTCCACGTAAAGAAGCTTTATACCAAATTTTAAGTATTTTCTTATCGTTTTAAAAATTGTTTACAAAAAGCTTAGAAATGTTAAAAAATATTGACGAATTAAATATTAGAAGAATTGTTGCTATACTTATACTTCTCAATTTATATGCTGTATTAAAACTGAAGACACGTTACTACCACTGTAAAAATTTGACATATGTATGTCTATTAGTTATTTTTTAAAATATTTTTACTTCTCTCCCTTAGTCTGGGTGATACTGCCCCCTTAATTAATTGAAAAATTGTTCAAAATCTATAAAATCTTTCTAAAATTTAAAAAAAAATTCTTTAAAAAAATTAGAAGCGATAAAATTTATGTTGAATTTTAAAATTTTTGTTTTTAACAAAAAAGCTTTCGGACTTTAGTGTTTTAAAGCAAATATTTTCAGTGGCAGCATTGGTACTGTCGAATTCACAAATTTTGAATTACTGAAAAGTAGAAAAAACAACTAAATAGCGGCGTATGATACACGCGGGTCGGCTCGTTCTTATATAAAACAACAGGGGATGGGAACTTGGGATATAGTTATGATTTTTAATCCATAATTGCGCACCAAGCGAACGCCTAATAAAGATGTGTATAATAGTGCGGAATATTATTAGTACTTTATAAATTCACATGCGTTTTTTGAGAAATCAGAAATAGTGAAAATTACTACTTCCGGTCAACGGAAATTACTCAAAATTTGATAGAAGGTAGAGAATTAGATCTTTTACTTACATGTGAAATTTCATTTATCTATCTGAATTAGTACTCAAGTTATAGGCTTTTGAAAAATTCAAAATAGAAAAAGTCCCACTTCCGGTTATCGGAAATCGCTCAAAAGTTGATACGGATCTACGAGTTTGATATAATACTTGTATATGAAATTTCATCAACCTAGCTGTAACAGTACTCAAGTTATCTTGTTTACACACACACACACACACACACACAGACATACGGACAAGATTGCAAAATTATGTTTTTCCAACTCAGGGAGGTGTAAAACGTCGAGATTTGCAAAAATCTCGATTTTATTTTTTGCACGACTACAATACTTTCTCTATACTTCGTATATACGAGAAAGTAAAAATGAACTGTTAAAAAGAAATGAACTGTAGTACTATATTTCAATCTAATGAGAAGTCATCTCTTATGACGAAATACACTTTCATCTATTTTAAAGAAACAAAACATACATCTGTTATAATGGTCCAGGCATCGTTTTTTTTATGATAATGGGCTGCTAGCGCTTCTCAATCTCTTCCAAATAATACCTATTCTATATTTCTTAGGGTTTTGAAAAAGAAATGTTACCTCTAAGGGGTCTAAAATATTTGTGTGGGGATTCTCTATGATCTCTTCTTAGCTGAATGCCTAAACATCTTTGTGGATCCCCCTGTTACGGGTCAGTTGTATTGTAGGTTAGATAGAAATAGGCTAGAATAGTCCAGAACGAACGGGAGAGGAGAGTGTGAGTTGAGTTCACCCTAATGTGTAGTTAACCCCGGTGTGTTTTGTGTATTATTATCCCTATGTCGAATGCGGTATAAAAGCTGGAGTGAATGATTGTAAGGGGGTTAGGGCGAGAGCTACTGTGTAATGTGGAGAGCTGAAACTAAATAAAATACTGAAGGTTGTCACGAATCGTTTTCTGAGAATTGAACTAAACCCGGACGTAACACCCCCCCCCCTCCCCAATGATCTCTGATAAGCCGGATTCACTGCAGGGTAACGCAGCTAAACGTGAGCAACATTTGACTTTCTGTAGCGCTGTGAGAACCGCCATGTTTGATTCATTGTTTGCTGAAATACGGCATTTCTGCACGTCTGCTCTGACGAGTGCATCATGGGAGATCAAGGCTTGTCAGAGGCCACGTAAGAAACACAACCCATCGCTTCGTCTTGGAATGACCGTCTCTTTGTTGTAGTGTCCCGCGTTCAACTTATATTCGTATGTCATTATATTTAGATTCTTTTCTCTTCGTTCTCAATATGGCTTAGGACCAACATATTTTACAATAAAAGAATATTTCTCAAAAAAAAAAAAAATCTTTAATAAAGAGCTAACATGACCTATTTGAAATCACCGCTGTTTCTTCACCTGCTGGATACACGATAGCACAAACGTTTACACACACACACAAAATCTTAATATACCGAAAAGATCAATAACTTTCTTTGAATTTGTTTATCTTTTAGCCCGATATACAGCAACTGGCTTTAATAAAGTTTTTGCGTGTAAAATAACGTAATAACTTGTAAAAACTAATGTTGTAGTTATAACGCTACTTAAAATATTCGACATGAAATTGTCGCACAATTTGTTTTAGGTTTAAACTAAAAAGTTAAATTGATTTTCCAGGCGTCGAGGCGTCACGAGCTAGATGATAGCTTTCAATATTTGTGTTTGAAGATTTTTTCAGTTTTTTAATGTAGCGGTAATTACACGGATGGGCAGAAAGGATGTGGGATCTTTGAAATGTTTTTAAACTTGCACTCATCTGACTTCAAATTTTGTAGCTTTATCTGGCATACAGTAGATCTCAATGATGTTTTGATCTTGCCGTTGTACGAGTGTTTAAACTGGGCGGTTTTATTTCATAAAAATTTAGTAAATAACTGTTTAGGCATGACGACATTTAAACTTGCGGCTCTTTAATCATCGTCCGTTAACGCGTTTAATTTTGACGCTTTATTTTGTTGTTAAAGTAGTTCAAACGGTGCATGTTGCACAAGATAATTATAAGAGCGCTGAAACTAGATTACAGGCCAAAGGAACTGCCAACAGTTTACGAATACGGCGCTGTAATTAACAAAGTTCACATATGAAACTAAGACGCATCCAACTGAATACATAAAAAAAATAACATATAATAGATTAAACAAAAATTGAGACTTTATACGCTGAAATTTGTAAAAGGAAATTGTAGAGAGTAATTGAAGAATTTATTCAAACATATAAACCTATGCGAGAGTTGGAAACAAAACAACAAAACGAGATTTTCTTTAATCAAATGATTTAGCCTAGTCTGTTGAATATTTCGAAAAGTGTGTACACTGCAGTATAAAACCAGAAGCTTATAATATAATCTATGATGACAACAAACTCTGACTTAACTGGTGATTCTGATTGGATGATGGGGGATCCTATCAGCGACGATGTTTTAAAAATTGTGATGTTTGTTAACTATGGCGTCATCGTCGGCGTCATTAGCTCAACGGGAGTCATTTTCAATCTTGTCAACATCGCTGTCTTTTTAAAACAAGGGTTTAGGGATCCTATTAATATCTCTCTGGTCGGGTTGGCCGTGGCTGATACCGGAGGGTTGGTGTGTCTGATATGGATGAGCCTGTGCTACAACCCTCTGGTGGTTGACAGCCTAGAGCGGTTGGACCTGGTTGGCATTCAGCACATCACAGCCGGCTGGCCTCACGTCTGCTTCACGCGGATCACCGGCTGGCTGACCGTCTTCATCACGTTCGAGAGGTACCTGTGCATCGCTTTCCCGCTCAAGGTCAAGGCCATCCTCACCCCGCGGCGAACGGTCATCGTCGTGGTCTTGACCTTTTCTACCATCCTCGCGTCTGCTGTCCCAGTGTACGTGGCTATCCACATCGATGCCGTGTTCAACTTCAAAGCCAACCAGACAACGTTCACGATTGTTTACATACACGGCGGACAAAACCTGGAAAACGCTTCCATGTTTTTGAGTATTTTCTTCCAAATGACGTCATTCGTGCTTGTCTCTTTGTTCACCGCAGGTTTAGTTTACAAAATGCGTGAAAAAACAAAATGGCGACACAATGCATCGTCTGCAAAAAGTAACGATTCTATGTTAGGAAGAGACAAAAAAGTAGTCAGAATGATCATTTCTATATCCGCTATTTTTATAATCATATTCATACCCGTGATTATTTTATTGGTATCGATGCTATGTGAGAAAGAGTTCGCCGTGGGCAAAAAATACCAAAATTTGTTTCTTTTCTGCGGGACATTTGTTTTTAATTTACAGGCCATCAACTCAAGCTCCAACATTTTTGTTTACCTCAAAATGAGTTCAAAATACAGAATAGTTTTCATGCACATGTTTTGTTGGTCTAAAAGGAAATTTATCAATTTAAATAAATAAAGTACTAGTAACAGATAGCATTTAATGACAAGTTTCAAATCAGTTTTTCGGAAATGTGTTTTGAAGACGTCATTTGTTTTTGTGTCGTATTGACCTACCTACTTGAACTAGACTTCAGAGACTAGACCTATACCAGAAAAACAGTCTTGGATAGAATAGATTATCGTATTTTTTATCATTAAAAAACCGCTTGTCTGTAATGATACGTTTCATTCTAATAAAGAAATAAAACAACACTTTTATTAAGACGTTTTGTGGAAATAGAACACTGTAATTTTTTTCTATTTAAAATAAAGTTTGTATTTCAGTCGTAATTTAATTCTGTTATTTGTTACTTTGGGCCGGTAAAAAAAACAAGGATGAGGCTTTTCGGTGGGTACCTGACTCACGTTAGAGAAAGTAAAGGCGTCAAGGTATAGCACTTACCGCCCTTGTGGAGCATAGCAACACAACCACCCTTCTCCATCGTACATGATTTTGAGCAATTCCTCCAAGATGGGTCCATGACATTCAGGCTCTTTGAGCTAGACCTTTATTATATAAAAACTAAAAAAAAATCAGTGAAAAATATAATAAAATGCTTGCAAAAAGCTATTTTAAAAAGTATTTTTTTTCGATCGTTGTTTTACTAGCTCGTCTTACAAGACGGTGATGTTGGAGTTTTTCATCTTTTCACGTTCGTGTCCCAAACACATGCGGCAGATGAAGTAGAGTTCATCTGTTTCTATGACCTCGGCATACAGATTTCGTTCCCATTACGTGAGCCAGGAACCCATCAGAGCTTCGTGGACTCAGGGACGTCACGGTATTGGAGCTACAGGTACACAAAATAACAAGAACAGTGTGATCGAGCTAACATGAAAGTTTCCAGTTCCAGATCCGTAGTTCCTGAATCAACCACACCCTAAAATCTACAGATTGCCTAAAAACCCAATCTGGGCAACGGAACAACAGTCGTTGCGGGTCTTTAGTCCTCTTTCTAATAGAATCAGCGGCTAGAAACTACCCGCGAAGTAAAAACAATTTTTTTGTGCGTCTCAATAGTGTACGTGCGGTAGAATGACATTCAATTTATTCATGGCTCTGTACATCGTGTTCCATTGTTGCCAGTTGGTCTGTTTGTGGCGATGTGTAAATTAATAAATTATCCAATTTTAATAAGTTGACAAATATTTATCTGGCACTTCAGTTCCTTAAGGGAAATAACCAAAAACAGAACAAGCCAAGAAGAGTTGCGGGGTTATCTCAATAACATAATTATGGCAGCACTGTTATCAGTGTCATTACCATAGCAACACGGTTCTCAATAACATAACCATAGCAACACTGTTCTCAATGACATAACCATAGCAACACTGTTCTCAATGACATAACTATAGCAACACTGTTCTCAATGACATAACTGTAGCAACACTGTTCTCAATGACATAATTACAGCAACACTGCTCTCAATGACATAACTATGGCGACACTGTTCTCAATGACATAACTATAGCAACACTGTTCTCAATGACATAACTAGAGCAACACTGTTCTCAATGACATAACTATGGCAACACTGTTCTCAATGACATTACTATAGCAACACTGTTCTCAATGACATAACTATAGCAACACTGTTCTCAATGACATAACTATAGCAACACTGTTCTCAATGGCATAACTATAGCAACACTGTTCTCAATGACGTAACCATAGCAACACTGTTCTCAATGACTTGACCATAACCAGATTTTCCGAATAATCTGACAAAGACAGACTCTGTAGAGCCGAAATAAGTCCTTACGATGTATGTTGTGTCTTGTGATTTTCATATGAAACTGACTGTAGTCGAAATAAATCCTTGCGGGGTATGTTGTGTCTTATGGTGTCCATATAAAACCCAAATAAAAATCCTTACGATGTGTGTTGTATCTTATGGTGTCCATATAAAACCGAAATAAAAATCCTTAAGATCTATGTTGTGTCTTATGGTGTCCATATAAAACCGAAATAAAAATCCTTAAGATCTATGTTGTGTCTTATGGTGTCCATATGAAAATGACTGAAAATACAATCCTTACGATGTAGGTTGTGTCTCGAGTGCTGTCAAGATCTCGACCACAAAAGTAGTGCTATTAAAACCTGACTTGAGTTTACTGTCCCCTGAAAATAAAATCAAGAAAGAAAACTAGACGACGCGCTATTGAGCACTCTGCAAATATTTTATACACTTTTTTCTGATTTATTAAATTTGATATAATACAGTATACTTATACTTATACGTAAAATTTTGTCAACATAACTAAAATGCACTCAAGTTATAGTTCACAGACAAAGAGGCACACACACAAGCAGACAAAGTTGCAAACTAAGTTTTCCGACTCAGGGAGGCGTAAAAAGTCGAGATTTATGAAAATCTCGTTTTCGATTTTTTACACGGCTACAATACTTTCTTTAATATAGAATCTACTTCGTATAGAAGAAAGTAAAAAAAAAAGCAAATAAATCATTAATGAAATGTCGTGCCATAATTGTAGTTTTAATTAAATAAAATGTGATCGATTGTTATTGTCAATATTTACTGAAAAACGGATCATTAATTTGGATTAGGGGACATTAAAAACAATCCCCGTATACAATTTCAACAAAATCAGATATCTTTAATAAACCTCCGATTGAAAATAATCCGGTTACATTAATTATGTTGTTAGTTGTGTGCCCAGAGTTGGCACGAAAATACGAAATCGAACTAGTGTAAACAACATAATTGGCTGCGCGTTCTTTTTTTAAACACGTTTACTGTCGCGTACATTGACTGGTAAATGATAGCAAGGTTAATTAGAAAATTGGTTATATTCTAGAGTTATTTAATTACACATAACAACTGTGCCTCTGGCGGATATATATACTTTCTCGTATACGAAGTATAGAGGAAGTATTGTAATCGTGCAAAAAATTGAAATCGGAATTTTCACAAATCTCGACGTTTTTTTCTAAGTCGGAAAAACATAGTTTTGCAATTTTGTCCGTATGTCTGTGTGTATGTGTGTGTGTATGTCTGTGAAAACAATAACTTGAGTATCGTTACAGCTAGGTTGATGAAATTTCATATAAGTATCATATCAAATTTGTAGTTCTGTATCAACTTTTGAGCGATTTCCGCTAACCTAAAGCGGGACTTATTCTACTTCCAATTTTTCAAAAGCCTTTAACTTCAGTACTGTCTTTGATAGATACATGAAATTTCTCTTGTAAGTAAAAGATCTAATTCTCTGCCTTCTTTCGAATTTTCAGAAATTTCCAGTGACCGAAAGTAGTAATTTACGCTATTTCCGATTTCTCAAAAAGTGCATATGAATTTATAAAATACTAATATTCCTCACTATTATACAGATATTGTTTGCCGTTCACTTGGTGCGCAATTCTTTTTTCTACGAGATTCTATTCTATTTTTATAAGTTTAAGTAATTCAAAATCGATTAAAAATCATGTCTATATCCCAAAGTTGCCATCCCCCGTAGTGTTATATTAGAATATTCGAGAAAGAATTTTTTTAAAGTAGTCGTATTATGGTTACATTTTAAAAAATCAATTGCCTTGCACGGGTTCGGTCGACCTGAACTGTTTCATTAGGCAATTAGCCGAGCTAAAGGTAAACGTTCTGAACGTGATCTGCGATTTCGTTTCGATTATTAAATCACGTTAACTATCCGTTCTCTTCCAATAAATCACATTTGATTGGCCCATTGATAGAATACATTGTGTGCTACATGTAAACAAAGAACGTGACAAATTATTAACAATTTAAAAAAAAATTAAACGCTTATTTAATTTTTAAAAAAATTGGTTTAGGTAATTTAAAAATAGCGAATAAAGATATAAAAGTTTTCTAGCTCGTTGATGCAGGTAATATTTCAGCATAGATCCAGTGGAAGATTGTTTTTAAAACTTGACATCGAATTTTGGAGTGTTCTGTAAACTCAATTTTTAGTAGACCCTATATTTCCGCTGTCATCAGCCACTGCTTTTCTATTTTCTGTTTCTCTTCTTGTCTGGTTTTCTGCGTTTGTCTATTTTTATAATGAGCAACATTGTGTGGTTTTAAAATTACTTTTTTGTTTCAAATTATTAGCAGATATTTAGCAGGACAGCAATAATTCAACCACAGGCATGCGAAACAAATTCTCGATTATTTTTTTTTTTTAAGAAGCCGAAAATATTTTAGTTTCCATTGAAGAAATTTTAAATTAATGCTGCTAATACAGATAATAGAAAATTGTCAGCCTGATTGTTAATTAAATAACATATTAATAACAAAACAAAATGCGAAGCGAATACGCATCATTAGCAGCATGCACGATATAACGCAACTAGGCTTCATTCCTCTTCTTCGTTCTTAAGTGCCGTATTGGAGGTGATATGCGTCAAGATGTTACACGCCTGCTGATTCCGTCTTCGGCCTGCTTTTCTCTCTAGATTTGCTTCCGTTAGTCGTTGTACCCGTTTCGGGGTGTCTTTTCTTAGTAGGAACTGGCCTTACCTAAGCCGGGGTCCGAACTCTGGACTTTTGGAATTAGATATCATCAGCTCTCCCACGCCCGACCGCGGCGTCCCCTAGGCTATTTTTTAATTAACACTTTACAATGGAGATTGGTTATATTCCATGATGCATTTAATCAAATTTGTCAATGATATTTATTGATTAGCAACGTCTACATATTCATACAACTAAAACCATCGCCCATGCGTCAACTCTAAACTCGGGACTAGCGCTAATCAACAAAAAAAGCTATTTGATAAAAGAAATGGCCACGCTAGTAATCGTTTGATTTATTATTTCAGGAGGTTACCCCTGCGAGTATCGAATACATTTCTGCTCAACAGAAATGATGGAGTCGTCTGCAAAAGTGGACGTGAACGAGACGGCGTACGTGACGTCAGCAGGAAGTGACCCGATCAGCGATGACCTGTTACACCTGGTCATGTTCATCAACTACGGCGTCATCGTCGGCGTCATCAGCTCTATCGGCGTCGCGCTAAACATCATCAACATCGTCGTCTTTACAAAACAGGGGTTCAAAGACGCTATCAACATCCCCCTGGTCGGGTTGGCTGTGGCTGACACCGGAGGGTTGGTGTGTTTGATGTGGATGAGCCTGTGCTACAACCCTTCCGTGGTCAACCGTTTTCAGCAACTGGACTTCATCGGCATACAACACATCACAGCGGGCTGGCCCCATATCTGTTTCACGCGAATCACCGGATGGGTGACCGTTTTCATCACCTTTGAGAGATACCTTTGCATCGCTTTCCCGCTTCGTGTCAAAGCTATACTCACACCACAACGAACTTTAATTATTTTGCTGTTTATTTTCGCCGTCATTGTAGCTAGTGTTGTTCCCGTGTACGTAGCGATTCACATCGATCAGGTTTTTAATTCAAAGATCAACGGTTCCATTTTTACTATAGTCTATAGATCCGACGGCGTACCGCTGGAGAATTTCTCAATATACTGCAGCGCTTTCCTTCAACTTACGTCCTTTGTCTTTGTCATTTTATTCACCGCGGGATTAGTTTACAAAATAACGGCAAAATCAAAATGGCGTCAGTCGACTTCTTCTAGTGTAACGAATGACAACATTACAAACCGCGACCGGAAAGCTGTACGAATGGTTATTTTAATCTCGTCCATATTTATTATCAGTTTCATACCGGTGATTGTTTGTTTGTTGGCCATGCTATTTATACACGGTTTCAATGTAGGTCAGGAGTACCAAAATTTGTTTCTTTTTTTTGGGACATTTGTTTTTAATTTAGAGGCCATCAACTCAAGTTCGAATATTTTTGTTTATCTTAAAATGAGTTCAAAGTTCAGAGAAGTTTTTATGGACATGTTCAGGTTAAACAAACGTCTAAAAGTTTAAAATGATTTTCACAGATAAAAAAAGTTGTTTACGAAAATGACTCCTTGTAGTTCTGTTACGTACTCTATGTGACAATTTATGGGGCTATTTGTTCCAGGGTGAAAGACCGACAGGCTATCATTGATCACATTTGACAAGTTGGGGGGGGGGGGGGGTGATTCCAAACTGAGTCCGGAGTTTCTTTCAGATATCTCTCCCCGAACACGTCTACCGTCACCCACCCCCTCCCGGAGAAAAAATGTCTGAAAGAAACACTGATTGAGACCATGAGATTATCATTCTGTCAGATCACAGGACACAATATTTTAGACTGCGAAAACATAACAGCTTTTATTTCACTACTGTGGCTGTTGTAATTCAATGGCTAATGGTTAGAGGATGACAGATGGAGGGGTTATCTTTAGGGTTTGATAGGTGGAGGGGATATCTTTAGGGTTTGATAGGTGGAGGGGATATCTTTAGGGTTTGATAGGTGGAGGGGATATCTTTAGGGTTTGATAGGTGGAGCGGATATCTTTAGGGTTTGATAGGTGGAGGGGTTATCTTTAGGGTTTGGTAGGTGGAGGGGTTATCTTTAGGGTTTGATAGGTGGAGGGGATATCTTTAGGGTTTGATAGGTGGAGGGGATATCTTTAGGGTTTGATAGGTGGAGGGGATATCTTTAGGGTTTGATAGGTGGAGGGGATATCTTTAGGGTTTGATAGGTGGAGGGGATATCTTTAGGGTTTGATAGGTGGAGGGGATATCTTTAGGGTTTGATAGGTGGAGGGGATATCTTTAGGGTTTGATAGGTGGAGGGGTTATCTTTAGGGTTTGGTAGGTGGAGGGGTTATCTTTAGGGTTTGATAGGTGGAGGGGTTATCTTTAGGGTTTGATAGGTGGAGGGGTTATCTTTAGGGTTTGATAGGTGGAGGGTATATCTTTAGGGTTTGATAGGTGGAGGGGATATCTTTAGGGTTTGATAGGTGGAGGGGTTATCTTTAGGGTTTGGTAGGTGGAGGGGTTATCTTTAGGGTTTGATAGGTGGAGGGGTTATCTTTAGGGTTTGATAGGTGGAGGGGTTATCTTTAGGGTTTGAACTCGAGACTTTCGGGTTAGCAGTGATGAGCTCTACCATCCGACCACGACGTCTCCAAAATATATAAGGGTAGGATAGCAGTGTCAGACATAGAGTTTCTTCCAGGCATCTCTTCGGGGGTGGGGGGAACTGAGATGTAGGCCTACAGATAAATGTAAATTTCACGCACAGTGAACACGTATGCACTTCTTTATTTTTGATGTACAAACTTCAGGTTAAATGATATGTGGTGTTATGTTAGTGGTGAGACCATTTGTGGTGGTCATGTGTGGTGAGACAATTTGTGGCGATATGCTGGTGGTGAGACCATTTGTGGTGATATGCTGGTGGTGAGACCATTTGTGTTGATATGCTGGTGGTGAGACCATTTGTGGTGGTGATATTTTTAGAAATATAAATACGTGTATAAACATACTTGCGATCATAATTCTTTTAATGATTTTTTTTAATGTCGTAAAATAGATGAACCATTTCCTAATTGATTATCCCTAACGCACTGGATAATCCCTAACGCACTGAAGGACTCCTAAACTACTGCATGATCAAAAGAATACCGAATGATCCCAATAAACTGAATGATCCAAATAAACTGAATGATCCCTATAAATACTATAAACCGAATAATCCCTATAAACTGAATGACCCATAAAATAGTGCATGATCAAAAGCATACTGAAGGATCCCTATAAACCGAATGATCCCTAAACTCCTTAATGATCCCTACCCTACTGAATCATGATTCAAGACTTAGTGAATGATCCCGAGCAGCCTGAATGACTCCTTACGTTACAGAATTATCCCTAACTTACTGAATGATCCCCAAAAAAAGAATGATCCCTTCTACACTGAATAATCCCTACCCTACTGAATGACCCTAAGCTCGTTATGTCTGGCTGTAAAGGTCCGCATAGTTGTTAATGTTAAAACAATGGAATGCCCAATATTAAATAACTGACAAGAATGAGATTGAAAAACATCGCTAAGCATTTATTTGAAGTAAAGATGTCAATAGACACAACTGCACACACCGTTTAATACCTTCTAAAGCACATACCATCCAATCAGATAATTTTACATATAACAATCAAGAATTTTAAAATTTAAATGAAATAAAACTACCATGACTACATTCACATCCATGAAGAAAATCACCTGCACACAAATAGAACCAAATATTTTAAATATGACAAAACCATTCGAAGACCACAGGGGTTAAACCACAGTTGTCACAGTTTTCTACTTTCGAGAAAAGTGAGATTTTGTGTATGAGATCCTTTGCTGTCCCATTGTGGTATGAGTTTAAAATCCTAAATATTGAGGGGATCGTGATTCGTGGGGCTTTTACGTTTTAATATTTTCATACTTGATTCATATACACTAGTACTACATAAATATGGCACTAACTCAAAACATTAAAAAATTGGACATTTGTGGTTTATCCCGTGTGGTCTTCATTCATAAAGCTATCATAGAAAAAAAAAAGCTACACAAAAAGACAACATTCAGTAACAGTGAACTTATTTTAAAATAATTCAAATCTCCATTATCTACCGTAACGAAGTGAATGAGGCACCGGGTTAAGATGGAGTGGTCTGATTCACAATCAATATTCACTTCATTTTTATAAAAATTACGACGTGAATTGATTGCTGGCTCGATGTTTTCAAGTAGATCGATACAACCCAATGTTCGTTGTTTGAGGCTTTCCTTAACGATGTGTGAGTCTACTTTATAACCTTTGATTTATATCGATATTGATGTCCATTACAAGAAATGCTTATCGCAACTTTATATGTCTTTTACACAATTTTAAGATCCATTCAGGGATTTGTTATTTATGACGGTTTATTTATATCGTCATCAATGCGTAAATGCATGGCTTATAACATTTTAATTATTCGCCCAGATGTGTCGTTTACTGCAATTCTATTTTTGTCTATGCAGCTTTATATATTTATGTCTACACAGGGTCGGCGTGGTCGAGTCGGTAAAGCTCATGGTTGCTAAACCGAAAAGTCTCGAGTTCGAACCCTCGGGCATTTGAGGCTCGTTAGCTGGGAACAGCCACTCTTCTAGGAGAGACAACTCCAAAACCAGACAACTGCTGTCTTGTAGTTTGTTCTTGGTTGTACAAAGGCTATCGAAGCAGCAAACCAAAAGGAAAAGCAGGCTGAAATCGGAGTCAATGGCCTCAATGGCGCATAACCAGTTGACACGTAATCCTTAATTGTGATGGAGGCGTGGTCGAGTCGGCAGAAGCTAATGGTTGATAAATTCGAAAAAGTCTCGAGTTAAACCTCTGGCTCGATCCCTTCCAACACTAAAAATTAAAAACGAAGAAGAAGAATGTCTACATAAAGTGATCTGAAATGGTTTTCTATATAGGCCTACATCATTGTTTTGTAGGCCTACACATCTAAGCTTAAAACAATTTTCTTTAATCATCGCCATATAATTTAGTCTTTTGTTGTAAAGTAATGTTCCCTTTCAAACCTGACGGTCTATGGGGCAAGTGAAGTAGAGTTCACTTGTTTCTGTAACCTCGGCATATGCCTAGCCGTCTTTACTTACCCTGGACTTACATGTTCTTGTTTTTTTTTTTTAATTTGTAAACCTTTGTTCATAAAAAAAAAAAAAAAAAAAAAAACTAGAGTTCTTCCGTATTTTATGGAATTTCATGTAACGAATGTTAAAACAATAAGAATCGTTATTGATTGTTGAAAATGCAAAAAAACGGTCATAATAAAATACTTAAAAAAAACTTTTTAAAAAACCACGTTTTTCTTGTGGACTAAAAAGTAGAAAATAAATTTTCATACATTTGATGACAAAAAACGTGGGTACGTTCACCATCAAATTTCCCGACCCATCTGCCCGACCCACGTTTTTTGTCATCAAATGTATGAAAATTTATTTTCTACTTTTTAGTCCACAAGAAAAACGTGGTTTTTTAAAAAGTTTTTTTTAAGTATTTTATTTTCTCCTTTTTAGTCCGTTGCTACACATGAAAAACGTGGTTTTTAAAAAGTTTTTTATATAGTTTATTTTCTACTTTATCTATTGACTTGATTAAGTATGACTTAACTAAGTGTTTTTAAATACACGGACTAAAAAAATCTTGAGCGACCGATACGCTTTAAACAGAGAAAGGGTGTAATTTACGTTGCTGGCGTGGAGATCTACTCACGAATCACGTGATCAAATCTCCCATAAACAAACAAATAAACGCGAAGCTGAGTTAAGGAAAAACGTGTTTATGTGTATTTTAGCATGCCCAGCATACCAACCGTGTCACCGTTAACAATGTGTTACCGTGTCCGTTCTCCTTTTTAGTCCGTTGCTACACATAAAAAACGTGTTTTTTTTTAAAGTTTTTTTTAAGTATTTTATTTTCTCCTTTTTAGTCCGTTGCTACACATGAAAAACGTGTTTTTTAAAAAAGTGTTTATAATTACACGGACTAAAAATCTTGAGCGACCAGGATTCGAACCTGGGTTGTCGCGGCCACAACGCGAAGTACTAACCACTATACGTTCACGGCCAGCGCGCTCACATCGATTGGGGCCGAAGTAACTGTGTCTATAGGCCTCCAGTCTTGTCGGTATCTTTAGAAATCATGTCCTCAATTTTATGGTCCTTGGGGCGTAATTAAATTAAGCTAATTACGGTCACTAATTGCTAGTTTTTATGATTGCATCTGAAATTGTTAGGCGAAAGTAGCATGCATGCCAAATTTCAGGTCTCTAGAGCAATCAGAAGTGGGCTAATTTTCGATGTCAATTTTAACAACAAACATCCAAACAAACAAACAAACGCGAAGCTGAGTTAAGAAAAACGTGTTAAAAAGAATCCCATGTTTTTTTTTTTTTTTTTAAATCCTATTTACCCCGTTTATATATATTTTTTAAAACAACAGTTTTTTCTTAAATTATTTAGAATCCCGCAGTAGGATACATCATTGTTTCTTGACGTTGCAAAACATGGACATGAACACGTCCTTGAACTTGCTGCTCATCTTCAGGTAGACGAAGATGTTGGCGCTGGAGTTGATGGCCTGCAGATTGAAGACAAAAGTCCCGCAGAGAAGGAACAGGTTCTGATACCTCCCTCCCACGATAAAGTCTGCAACGGACAACATGGCGAGCATATGTATGACCACGGGGGTGAAGCTGAGGATAAATATCCCTGAGATAAATATCACCATCCTGACGACTTTTCTATCCCGCGAGGATACGGCCTCGTTCTGGTTAGCCGAAGACGTAGCGATCCGCCATTTTGATTTCTGAGTTATTTTTACGACAAGCCCTGTTGTCAACATAGCGACTAAGACAAAGGAAGAAAGCTGTAAAAATGTACTGCAGTACAGTGAGAATTTTTCCAAGCTGACGCCATCTTGAATATAAACGATAGTGAAGAGTGTTCGGTTATATTTAGAGCTGAAGACACGGTCGATGTATATGGCGATGTAAACGGGGACGACGGTTAAAATTAAAACGATAAAAATCACGACGACGATGATGGCGGTGCGCCGCGGGGTGAGGATAGCCTTGACCTTGAGCGGGAAGGCGATACACAGGTACCTCTCGAACGTGATGAAGACGGTCAGCCAGCCGGTGATCCGCGTGAAGCAGACGTGAGGCCAGCCGGCTGTGATGTGCTGAATGCCAACCAGGTCCAACCGCTCTAGGCTGCCAACCACCAGAGGGTTGTAGCACAGGCTCATCCATATCAGACACACCAACCCTCCGGTATCAGCCACAGCCAACCCGACCAGAGGGATATTAATAGGATCCTTAAACCCCTGTTTTAAAAAGACAGCGATGTTGATGATATTAAGAACGACCCCGGTGACGCTAATGACCCCAATCAAAAAAGCGTAATTAACGATTGTCACTGTTTTCAGCATACCATCGCTAACTGGGTCAAATGAGCCAATGTCGAGATAACTTACATCCACTTTGGGGAGGTCCTTTTGTCCTTCTACAGTACTCATCGTCTGCGAGCTGAATAAAAACATTGTCAATCTATTCTAATCGACAACCCAAAATGTTTTGACTAACTTTGTAAAAGTACGCACACATCTTTTTATAGTCAACTGGAAATATATAAACAGAACTTAATTCCGATTGATTTAACAAAAATCTACCAAAATGGACCCAGTGTTTTTGCTAGTCAAATAAACGAAATCCCCCTTGATATTTTTAGAACTATTGATTCAATACTTTGAATAATGATGACTGATCTATTATCAAATATTTAAAAAAAGAATTGTTGAAATTAAAAACTTGGACGGTAAAATATTTAATTTATCTCTGGTGTAGGGTGCTCGCGAGTTAAATTAAATGTTCAACAATTAGCTCACGATATCGGGGAGTTTTATTTCTCGTGCACTGAAGCCATTTTAGCGGGGTTTAATTAAATTACACGCCATTAACTACTGTCCTTAATTTTTCTGTAATTGAAGATGATTATTTTTTTTTCTTTTATTGTAAGGTGTCAAAGGGCGGAGGAGATGGAATGGTACAGCAAAGTAACGTACGCATTTTAATTATAGAATTAAGATCTTGGAGAATGGGGGGGGGGGGGGGGGGAGGAGGAGGGGGGTGTGGAAGGGGGGAGGAGGTAGATAAGTAAAAAGGGTGTCGAAATCTTTAAATATATTTGATTAGATTAAATTAGTAGGCAATTAGATGTACAAATTACGGGTGACCTAATTAAAACAATCACTGCACTAGAGTGCTTTTATAAAAAAATTACAGCACTCAGTTCACCAAGCATTGCACTCAAGGTGTCATTCGGTAAATTTAAACAGGCACGTGGATTAAATTAATTGCAATCATCATTATAAAGTGCAGATGGAGGGAAGGGGAAGAAAAAAAGGGGAGATTATTTGAGATGAAATTATGACCGCTTGATTATCTACTTTCATTCGCGGGTTTTGATGACGTGGCTGTTGAGATGAAAATGAATTATAACAGTTCTTCCGCCTAGGCCTATTTTAATTTATATCGTTGGTGTTGGTGTAGAGATCACTTCAAAAGTTGTATTTCACGTTTTTTTTTCTATACTTAAAGACGTTGGATGTTTCCGAAACATGAAGTTTTCGTGCGAAAAATATATAGAATTCGCTTTGAATAAACTCTCTTGTTCATGTACATCCGTATTTTTATAAAAAATTGATAAAAAAAAACGTTTTAATAACAAGCTTTTATGTAATACATACACTAAAAAGTAGAAAATAAATTATACACTACTATTTAAATAACTATAAAGAAAAGCGTGGGTCTCTTCCTAAATATTAGTAAGGGTATCCAATAGATACAAAAGTGACCCACGCTTTTCTTTATAGTAATTTAAATAGTCAAATTTAATGTCATAATGCATTGTTTTCATGTCTTGACCCACGTACCAATTACGAACCGTATCTGTCAGAAGTGTCCGAATTTTCGCTCCGGCGTTTCGATCTAGACAGACTGACGACAGAGGAAGTGAGTTAAATAAAAGCTTGTAAAAAAATTATTTTAGACAAACTGGTCCATATGACCACCCTTTTCACCCCACCCCCTCCCACTGATGCAAAGAGAGTAGGGGCAGATTGTCTATCTAGTTTTTCAAACGTGCAATGAGTTGTGTCATCTTTCTTCAGCCAACACGCGATCTCAGTCTCAACATTTGCTGTAGCTGAATCCAGAATATTTGATTTCCGGTCTGCCTTTAGCGACTGCCTGCCGACTGTCCTCCCTCCATAAAAAGGCTTTTATTACAAGTTTTATGACTGGGAATTTTTTTTTTATAAGAGCCCACATCAATAAATCAAAAGTATTTTTTTGGAAAGAAGAAGGGATGATGTGAATAAAGCAGAAATAAAAGCTGTTGTCACCGACAAACAACGGAATATGGGGATTTCAACATTGGAGAAGAGTTGTAAAATTGTTTTTTTAAATTGGTAGACGTAATGAGAAAACCTACCACACGGCCCCCCAATTCGTTGTCAGTTTTAATCAGAACCTACTACTGTGAGACCACTTAAAACTGTTAATTACTGTTTGCTGCACTCAAAAGGGAACATATTCACCTTGTATTTTTGCAAGCAATAAAGTTGCTGGATGATTTTTTAAATTAAATAAATGCAAACAACGGACTAACCCCCAGGAAAAAACGGTGCCATAGTAATACTGTAATAGCCTTATTAGTTTTATTAGTGTTTTTTTAAAAAACAATTTATTGGTAATCCTCCATTTTATCATATCCATTCCTTGTACCTGTACATTTAAAAGTGTTTTACAGCATCTGTTTTGTACAAACCAAAGCGAAGAGATGTTTTTGTATTTAGTTTAATGAAACCATAGAGAAAATATCCACGTAAAAAAGATGTAAAGTAAACATTAATTTGTCTAAACAATGACATCAACATGAACTCTAAATTAACAAAGAGGCAATGACTCTACTTATACATACACGCTGCTAGGCTAGAACTACACACACACACACACACACTGCTATGCTGTAACCACACAAACTTCTATTCTCTAACTACACACACGCCTATGCTATAACTAGATATTGCTAGGCAATAACCACACACATGCCTAGGCAATAACCCCACATAAAGACTGCTAGGTAAAACCACACCCCAAACTAGGCTATAATCCCACATTCTACAACAATAGATGTACCTAAAACACTTCAGCTCACCTAATATAAATTTATACATACAATTTTACTCTAGAATTTCATCATACAAACTAGTTTTAAAAAAAAATTGAATAAACTTATCACAGAAAAAACCCAGTAGAATAAGATAGAACTTGACTTTTTAAAATGTCTAAGAGACAATTTCCAGAGTTATTTTTATAATAATTATATGTGCAAAAAATGTTTCAAAAACTGAACACAAATCAACCCAGTTCTGAATGTGATAAAAATTTAAACAGTATTATACTGACATTTTCATCAAATGCCTGCATCAAACATCAACTTTTCAAACACATAAATCAAATTTAGATAACATAAGAAGATACATGAGATACAAGTATATAAGTGTCTACATACAGGAATGCACATCAAGTGTTGCAGTAGTGTTTCCTCACTTGGATAACTTACATAGCGCAAAATTTCATATTTATATTGTTGTCGGAAAATATGCCCATAAATATTATAATAGTATATATGAATCAACTAATAAACTTATGAAATTTAATGTTGAGTATATCTAAATGTAAAATTGCAATTTAGCATGGAATGGAATAAGATATTATTTTGAAGCTGCATTTACATAGTTTTGAGATGAACACAAAATTTGATTACAATGAATATCTTTGGATCAAGTAAAATGGAAAAAAAAAATATTTGAAATTAAAAACTCGAAGAATTTGTATGTAGTTTTGTCAAATTATGTGCAAACATAAATTTTTAAAATTAAAATAAATATAATGAAAATGTAAAACTATTCGACAAAAACAAATCATGAAAGAAATAATACCATTCACTGCTGTTACAAAAACACAGAAGACATAAATAATACCAGACACCATCAACAATACTGAACCTGAGTGTGGTTGAGCTATTACAAGCTGGTATCAACATTGGTTTCCTACAAAAATAATATAACACAGCCTCTAGAACATAAAATATCATCTAGCAATAAGAACTATTGAAATAAGCTCATGTTTGATTTTACATTCAAAATATATGAAATAACAAAAACATTCTGAGTAAAAACAATCTTTCGACATTTAAATAAAATAACACATTAAATCCCCATGAGTGATTGAAACAATTGTGCAAGATTATTTTTTGGTAAAACTATGGCAGTTGTATTCTGACTTGAACAAAATACTAAATGTTCACCAGTTGAATTAACCTCTGATTAAATACAAGTCCAGCCCCAACATGAAACATGCAGCAAACTTGGTGGATGGAAGCACAACCTTAAGACTGGTGATAGTAAATGGTAGGGAAATAGAATCTTTTAAATTCTGATCACTAAAGTTAGAGGTGGTGAAATTGAACCTTTCAAACTCTGATGCATAATATAATCGTAATGGTAATGAAATGGAATCTTAAACTCTGATAAAGTTAAACATGAAAAAAAAAAAATCTAAAAGAATGAACAATAATGTATGTATTATGATTGCAACATCTTATAGATCCAACATGTGCCCTCATAAAGATCTCAACAAACCCTGACACCTCAAATAAACTTCCTCAAAAATTAGTTTGGAATATGTAAAGTATTTGTAAACACACAAAAATCTGTTGACGTACTAAAATGAGATTGTTCACAGATAAACTTTTCAATGGTTTGTCATTATGTAAATCTCAACACTAGAGACCTTCACAAACAACACAATCTTATTATGCAAATATAACATTATTGGCACAACTATTAGGATTTAACCCTCCCCCCTGCTCAAGTACACAACTAAAGAGACCTTTTAGTTTAAAATGTTCATAAGTAAGTCAAAGTGGGTCTTTTTAACTTATTTGTTGTTTGTTTTTTATATTAATATTGCTTGAACTTATTGAAACAATTTTTTAACGACTGAACTGATTAAACAGTTCTATATATTGTGGAATAAATTATGCAAATAAAATCCTTATTGTATGTGGCGCTGTTCTAATATTTAAACTAACATGTTAAAATAATGCTTTAAATATTTGTTTTAAATACGAACTCTACATTTACAAATGGTCACAAGTAACTGTTATTTCTAGTAATTTTCAAAACAACAACTACAATTGGTAATGTTGGTTGATCTTCCAGATCTTGTTGATACAGAATGTGAAACCCTTACCCCATCTAAACAGCGCAAGTCAAACCTTAACAGTAATTCTAATTCCAGCAGGTGCCGCAGGTGAGGTCTACGTCTTCCAGACCTTGTTAAAGTAGAACATGAAGTTGTCATAGATCATGAACGTTATGGCCACATCCAGTGTCACTCTACTCAAGCGTGGAACTGTACCTTTGTAAAATCTGAAAGGAATTTTTGGAAACCTTAAATCACAGCTTACTTGAACTTTGAACCTACAGAGCCCATTTATAAAAAAAATACTGTCTGTAGATAAGGATTACTTTATTGACTTATTAGGACTGCTGTGAATTGTGTCAGTGAAATAAGTAGCTTATCAGTTATCTATTTTTTATAAATAAAGTAGCTTATGGCACAGTGACCTAAGGTTAATCCAGGTCGTTAACCAGAAAAAATAGTTTTTTTAATTATATCAAGGTGCATTGACTAAGTAGCATCATTTTTTTAAAGTTATGGCTTATGCACTAATGGAGCTTCACCAAATCATGGTTTTAAATAACTGGTTTAGGAAGTTAGCCTAAAAATTTAAAACAATTTTGTATAAAGACTTTACTGACAAGCATCCAAAAAGAAGGTATGTACTTACGCTCTGGGACCTTCATGTTTCCAAATCTGAACAGCACAGTCCCATGTGTTTTTATATTTATGAGCCTCCAGACCCTGTTCATACAGAAAAAACATTTGTCATTTTTATATTAAGTTTAAAATGTCATATGGTAAACATATCATTGCTTATATGTACACAATTTCAAATTTTACTATAAAAATAAATCTAATTGCTAGTTGTTTAGTAATGACATATTGCTATAGCTTGTATTTTTTATAGTAATATTTCAACTCCAAGACTAACCCTAAGGTTTTTAAGTTTATCACTGATGCTGTTTCGTGTAGGGCTAAGGGATTAACAGCTACAAGTTCAATAAACATCATCTAACGGTAAAGAGATGTACAATCACAGTATGGAAACATATGACTTAAGAGACTCTACCTGCATCCTAGTCTTGACCACATCTACAGGTGTGTTGCCGTAGACAGATGCCGTTCCAGCTATAGCACCAAAAAGTCCAGTGACCAGTGTGGGCACCTTCATTTGTTTGTCGTCTCCCCTGTACCAGTCCTTCAAGGTCTCCATCACAAAGAATCTGATGGCTTGATTTGTACCTTGTTTAATCATTGTGGCCGTTACACCTTGATAGCAGCCTCGCAGTCCTAGAAAAATAAAACACCCACAATGCATTTTATTTTCAATTCATAAAACAATGTTTTTGTAATCAAGGTATACATTTTTATCTCTATATAACAATATTTACATACATACATACACAAATAATATACATCTCTAAATATATCCATTTTTATAAAAAAAGTTCCCTTTACAAACGTGACGGTCTATAGGGCAAGTGAAGTAGAGTTCACTTATTTCTGTGACCTCGGTATATGAAGAGATAGTGTGGTCAGCACTATGCCCCGCTGCCTTTACTTTGTCAGAGTTGGGTGGACTCAGGGACGGTCTACTGACTTGAACCCAGATTCGAACTCGAGACTTACGGGTTAGCAGTCCAGCTTTCTACCGCTAGACCACTCCGTCCTTATATCCTTGTATAAACAATAAAATATTGGGAGGGGGGAAGTAATAAAACAAAGTTTAAAAATTAAAGCAAGCTAACCTTGTTCCCGGACAATACACCTGACCCCATGAAAAAATCCTTTGAAGCGTGGCTTGGCTGATGTCTGGTCATTGATAAATTTCACTTTAATTGTTTCCATAGGGGTGACAGCAAACACGGCTTCAGAAATACCAGCACCTGTGGGAACAGTTATTTCCCCTTGTCAAGCATGAAAAATTCACCTCTTGCTTGAGTGGCCAAGGTTAGAAAAAGTTGTAGATGTATTTGTATAAAGGAAATATAAACAGTAACACAATGTAATATAAGTTATGTACTAAAGTGACAGACTCACCTAAACCACATATCAACCTTTGATGGCCATTTAATGTACCATTAGCACCAACCATCTGTTTTTTAAATTCTTCAAATGAACCAAACCTAGAATAAATTAAAAGGTTAGGATGTTAAAAAAAAAAAACAAGCTATTTATATACAACGAGCCGACCCACGGCGTATCATACGCTGCTATTTAGTTGTTTTATTTTCTACTTTTCAGTAATTCATAATTTGTGAATTCGACAATGAAAATATTTGCTTTAAAACACTATTAGTAGCTCGTTAAGGATGATAACCCCCCTCCTTTCCCCAACCCCACACCTCTTCCGTGAAAGTAATCTCTTAGTTACATCCCCTAAGTTTAAAATTGTTTCAAACTAAATTATATGCCACTAATAGCCGTCACTAAACCCGGCTCTACGATTGCAAACATTTAGCGTGAACCCCAGCTCACCAGACCATGTAGGGGTGGGGGTGGTAGGGAGCGCGCTTACAGCTTGGTGTTTTCTATCGTCTCCAAGAAGAGAATTTATATATAGACAAGTGTAGATGATGAGAATGAATAGACAAATCCCACCACTTCCATGACAATTTAAGGAACAATATGTCAGAGATAGAGAGTAAAAAAATGTTTTTCTTTTAAAATTTGGACTATTATTTTCTTCTGGTGGGATATATTTGAATTCAATAGTGCTACAATAATCACTTATGTAGCATGAGAAACACATTTCAAAGCTAGTCAAACACAACGTACCTAACAGCTGACTTAGGTATGGACCCATAGAGTAGCACACTGAGGCCCCTGTAGAGTCCCCGCACCCCATACTCCTTCACTGTTAGCTTGACACAATCAATGGGACCTTTGTATCTTTTTTGTGCTCCAGATTTTTCATCTAGCTGCAGCTGGGTTTTCACATATTCTGTTGGGAAGGTGATACAGATCTCTAGACCCCCTGTGATGGCACCTGAAAGTAAATTACATTTATTGTTAGATACAGATCTCTAAAGCCCTGTGATGGCACCTGAAAGTAAATCACATTTATTGTTAGATACAGATCTCTAGACCCCCTGTGATGGCACCTGAAAGTAAATCACATTTATTGTTAGATACAGATCTCTAGACCCCCTGTGATGGCACCTGAAAGTAAATCACATTTATTGTTAGATACAGATCTCTAGACCCCCTGTGATGGCACCTGAAAGTAAATCACATTTATTGTTAGATACAGATCTCTAGAGCCCCTGTGATGGCACCTGAAAGTTGATCACATTTATTGTTAGATACAGATCTCTAGACCCCCTGTGATGGCACCTGAAAGTAAATCACATTTATTGTTAGATACAGATCACAACCAGAATTCCTTGCGTACACCTCCCCAATGATTACATCAGCTGAAACTTAATTGTTAGCTACATATGCAAAAGACCCTGTTGTAGCACCTGAAAGTACGTCATAGATACAAATCTCCAGACCCCTATGGAACCTCAGTCTCTGATCACATTTATAGTATGAATGTGTGTGTGTGGGTGGAGGGGAGTGTAGAACAAGTAACAAACACAGATACAAGCCACATACATCTTCATCTACAAAAACAGCATTTTTTATCACTCTTTTAACAGTTAAATTCAATTTCATGGAAAAGCATTTTAACTGTACCAATAATGCAATTTCACCACTCACTCAAAACAAGTCTGCTTAGATAAGCCGAATTGAATTTATATTATAATCAGATTATAAGATCGATGAAAAAAGGATAAGGCTTAAAGTTAAAGAATGTTTTACTATAAACACTTTTGAGTAGACTACTAAGCAGCTTTAAAAAAAACCACAGTCTTCTTATATCGACAGAGCAATTGTCCAGATAATTATAGTGGTAGGGATTTTTTCAAGTGGGCCTCACACGCAAAGGATGTTTACGATGGCCAGAGCTATTTTTAGTGACTCAAGGTTTATTTTTAACCTGGTCAGACATTTACGCTACAGGAGTGGTCAAAAAAAAATAATTTTGAAATGTATCGAAGGGACGAAAATCTGTTAAAAAACTAAAATTGTACATGATAAAAAGGTCAAGGTCAAGTTAGCGTGACGCAGCCTAAAGAAAGGCTTAGTGGGCAGCGTGTTGTGTACAAACATGAAACTGTTTACAATTTCTCCCGGTCTATTTGCACAGCTGCGTCAAATCAATCGCCTCAAACATCTTTCGTAATGCCATTTTTTCCACCGATTTCAGCCACACAATAGCCAACATAGGAAACAATATTTAACATGTTGGCTGTCGAGTTGTAGAAGATTAAAAAAAAAACAACCGCGCCGACTATCGAGCTGACGGCGTGGACGTCTGCTGATTCGTTTGTTGTGTGTAGAAAGGTCATTCACCGGTCGCGGAAGCCGCGGAACTACTCAACGAAAACAAACAGTGGCTGAATGCTGTACACATTGGGTTAGATCTAGACTACAACTCTCGATTTTAAATAATACAGCAACAAATACCGCACACCACTGCTTTAAAAGTTATATATATATATATATATATATATATATATATATATATATATATATATATATATATATATATATATATATATATATATATATATATATATATTAGATCAAAATAAAGAGAAATTGTGGCAGGGAAGAGCAATTCTATAAAAGAAAAAAAAAAAACGTCGGCACAAAAAATACGTCAAGCCATTCCGTAACAGACATAGCTGATTTATTTATAAGCGTCGTCCCATCATGTACAGATTCCCTTACTTTACTTTAACCAGTATCATTCATCACGCTAGGTCAAGGTATTGCTTTATTAATGCAATACGCACACACATTCATTACCGAGATTTTAAACGCTAGTTTACTTAGTATGGGGTTTTAAAGTATTTTTCTTGTTCAAAAACGAGTTTAAGAACAGCAATAATATTACAGTTATTAAACTCGTTTTAGTAATATTATTATTAATTTTTTTTTTAAATATGGGGTGTCGAAAAAATCAGCGGTGTAAGGTTACTGTAATCAAAATGTGACCATCACACCACTTGTGCCCCACCATCAAAAACATCCAACGGCCATGACCGTGTTTACATGGCCAACCTTACTTAACTGTCCTTAGCTTCATCCCACATCGCCGAACGGGTCATGTCATAACCTTAAACAACAAACCCCAACAGCTTCAAACGCTGTTTATTGACTCTACAGACCGCGTGGTGTCTTAAAATAGAACACGGCACATGTGCTGACATGCATAAACAGACCGGGACACTGTATCGTTTGACTTGGTGACGACGGGTTAGCTTTGAGAAGAGATCTAAATGTTCAGTTTCTCAGTTGTAGCGTGATACAATGGTTAACACGGGACAAAAATGCTTCCTCCTTAAGTACATTAAACGTTAATATAGCTCAGCAGCTACAGGACATCCTTGTTTTAACTATTGGGCCTAAGACGTTTTGAAATGCAAACTAAAACATTTTCTTCCACACTCGAATCATAACAGCCAAGATAAGAGAACCAATGAGGTGGGAAGAAAGGGGTGTGAATGGTCGCTTTGGTTACAATATGTATAGGTGGGGCGTTGGGCTGACACACCATATATCATGATGATCTACATACTTGATTCTATGACTAGCACAGCACACTAACGGTGCTTCAAGTTGATATCTACCAACTTGTATTCTTTTTTAAAATATGGGGGGGGGGGGGGGGAGAGGTGTTATAAAGAGAAGAGATTGAATATGGCTGTATTTTTATAACCAGATGCAATCTTCTGAATCAGTGACTCCTTTGACCAATGTCTTTTTAGAGCAGGTTTCTATGTAGGTAGACCATGACACAAGCATCAACCATTAAAATATGACCTTCACAGATCCTGGTCTACAAAAACATCCTGATCTCTTATATACTGTAAGATTCTTAGAAAGAAAAAAAATATATTCACACAAGAACAAAGATTACTGAACCATGAAAGAAACAGCTTTAAATAGGACACTAGGGTGCACTGTCAGGTTGCAAGGTATGTGGAGTAACTAAACAATAGACTGCAATTACATGCTTGAAAGTTAAAAACAACAAGTCCATCCAATATAATAGCTGAGTTGGCATTTTCATACTGTTAATGGTAGCTTATGATAGATCCCATTTCTGGCACTAGTGTTATACAATTTTAACAAAATAATTTATTTAAACTTTTTTTTAAACACCAATGAGAGCACCTAGATGAATCAGTATTGAAATAGATCATAAGAATATGGTAACAGAAATTTTTCAGATTTCCCATAAAATAAGCACCTGCTAAAATAGATGCCACAATAAGGTGACCATGTATGCTCTTGACAACTTGAAGCTATACCAATGCACAAACCCTTGATACCAACATGTTTTTAAAATAGGTAAAATTCTGTAACTTCTGCAAGAATACTTATCTTAATATGCTTTGAAAATATATCTCATGTGGTAATATTTTTAAGCTCTACATGATGATAAACAAATTTAAGAAGCTACTTTGGTACTTTATTTGTCAAAAGTGAAGTAAAAACTATTTTAATCCATACAAATGAAGCTGTGAAACTAGACAAAAATATAGATCTGTTTTCTTTAAAAAAATATTTCAATGTAAAGTACAGGAACAGATAAAAATAAAAACATCCTTATCATTTTGATACTTATCAAAGTTCAACTAAAGTTCAAAGATTAGGTCTACACAAAGACTAGACTCAAGAGGGTGAAGATATCAGCCTATTATTAAGTGGTGTTTGTATTGCTAACCTGGTTTTAACACTGATGCTGAGAGAAAAAGTCGTAATTTGAGACCTAAATCAGTATGTAGTAAATTTGAGTAAATGCCTGTCAGACATTCTCAGTATAGCCAGGTAGTCCCCAACAAAAATTAAACAATGATTGCAACTTTAATTACAAATGCATCACTGTTTGAACTGTAGCCAAAAGCAAAATCAACTGCCATATGTAGAATTTCTTGACTCTACACTCTACAGTCTTAACCCCAAATCAAGGTCAACAATTAACTAGTTGCAATGTAAACTATAAATCTGTACAGTATGACAAGTAACTCAACTTAAACTCTGCTAAATAAAAAATGCTTTAATACCAATTAATGGGTCTACATGATTCTATATACTTTTCAATTACATTACTAAGAAGTTGTGGATCTACTTAGATTACTAAATTAGCATAGCTAACTATAACTAACAATTATTGGCCTAACCGACTGAAATGAGATTGTTTATATTATTGTTTAGCGTTTATATTCATCTCAATGCAGCGAGCCCGCCAGTTGGTTGAGGCCAGGCTGGGGGGGGGGGGGGGGGGCGTTCTGACCGGGATTCAAAGGGACAACTCGAAATATCATCCTAATTGACCTAATAGGCTTTAGATCTATGGTCCTTACAAATATTTTTTTAAAGGTTATCTATTGTTTTGAGATTGTAAAATAATCCGAAGCTAGTAGGCCCTCTGCCTCTAATGCTAATATGAAAGAAAGATGACCTATTAGGGCCTAATTAATAATTATCTAGATTTGTGATTTAGATCTTCTAGTCACTAGTCTGATCTAGGTTAGTCAGTGGGACTCTTGACACTCTTGGCCCCTTGGGAGAGCCTTGGCTTAGTTTACTTAAGTCTACTGACTCTGAGACTCCTGCGAGTCTACTGAGTAAGAGTCTGCTACTCAGTCTACTCATCACTCATTGACACTCATCTTAAAATGAAGTGAACTAATAAAAAATAGATTTTAATTTTAATACTAGATCTAGATCTAGACTAGATCTACTTTAAAACTTTTTAATAGTAGTAGTAGTAGTAGATCTAGTAGTAGTCTACTTTACTTTAATACTTAGACTTGAGTGTAGTCTAGATCTAGATCTAGAATAGATCTAGTGAAGTCTACTTCTACTACTAACTAAACTAAGCCTCTCCATATGCTTAAACTTTAACACTACAGCCTTAAATTTTTAGGACCTCTGACTGACTACTCTGAACTCTGAGCCAACTTTCAGTACTCATCAGTTATTTTCAAAACAAAACAAAACAAAATAAATTAAAATTAAATGAACTAACCTGCAATAATTCCTTTTAAGGTTTTACTTTTAGAAGACGAAGCTTGCACCGCATGCTGACCAGACGCTGCCATTAAATGCACATGGGGACGGTGGAAAGGGTTGCGAAAATTATCTGAATTACGATCCATTTTCTTAGAACTTTGTAAACAAGCAGCAAAACAGATCAAGCTCTGTAGGATATCATCTCGCCGGTACAAATCTTCCGATTATCAGGCCAGTCGTTTGCCGAGTGTTTACAACGCCCTCTATACACGTGTTTTGGAGGTCAAAGTGCAACATTTCAACAAAATATAGGTCAACACAGCAAACTAGAAAAGACGTGTAATTAATATATTCAGTGTATATTTCAGATTTTTCTCTGGGGGGGGGGGGGGGGGGGGGGGGGGGGGGGGGGGCGGACTAAATTTTCCGAGGGGGGGGGGTTGCGGACACTGGTAAAAGTATATCATTTCTATATAAATTCTATTTCGCATGCAATACACGAATGAGCGGGGAAAAAGTTACAAGAAAATAATTCATATAAATAAAAAAAAATACAATTTTTGCTAGGCCATAAAAGTCACAGAAAATACTTGTTATAAAAAGGAAAAAAAAATATCGGAGAAAAGTCACAAGACAGACAGACGGACATACAAGCGCACAAACATGCTGCTTTCCTGGGACCCAGGAGTATTTTAATCAATTCCTATTACAATTTATTAAAACAGTTTTCTAAAACCCGAAATAACGTCTAAAATTAGATTTCTAACATGGCTTTTTATAATGCAAAAGTGTGACGTCTCACCATCTGACCCCCCTTCCCTCATCACACACCATCACAAAATTACGGATCCCCCCTCCCCCTTACGAATGTGACGTCATTTAAGGACGACCCCCTGGAAGCTCTTTTCTTAGGGTTTGGCATCAAGCAGTGGCGTAGGCCGGGGGGGGGGGGGTTAGGGGGGTCATAACACCCGCCCATAGACCCCTCGGTATATATATAAAAAGTATGAGGGGGGTTGCAAATCGAAAGTTTGATGGGGGGGGGGGTGCAAATCGAAAGATTGAGGGGGGGGGGGGGTTGCAAATCGAAAGTTTGAGGAGGGGGGGGGTGCAAATCGAAAGTTTGAAGGGGGGGTGCAAATCGATACTTTGAGGGGGGGGGTGCAAATCGAAAGTTTGTGGGGGCGGGTGCAAATCGAAAGTTTGTCCCCGGAAAAAATTGGACCCCCCCTTGAGACAATCCTGGCTACGCCACTGGCATCAAGCACTTTTATATTGGAATTGACCCCATTAAATATACCCTGACACAAAATTCTACACTTAGGTCTTAGAGTCACATTTTTGGATAAATCATATAGAATTTAGGCTAGCTGCAGACAGTGTAGTGTTTTTCATGATTCGAGCTATTGTCAATGTCTTTCTAGACTCTATTTATTTTAACTTAAATCAACTTCACGTGTATTGATTTAACTGTGAGGCTGTTAGCTCAACATATTGTCTGATATATTTATAGCCTATCTACAATTCATAATTTGTTTAATATTGAGCAAAGAAATCAAAACGCTTTATGAACTCTTAATTAATTTCGAACACCTCACCTCAACTGAAGATGACAATATTACAAGCGAATATGTCCTTAGAAAATATTGAGAGTAGTCAATTTCGTCCATCAAAATATGAAATAAATTAAAAATAGGCATAGCTGATTTATTAATAATTTTTTTAAAGATACACTGCGAATAAAGGCCAATACCATTCTTGCTGTGAAGGTATCCAAGATTTGATTGGATACGGTGGCTATGAAGCAAATTTCGAAAGAGGAAGTTGTACACCAATACATTTGTTTTGAAAAAAAAATATGATTAATTAAATTATCCAACATACTCTAGTTAACAACAACAAAGGGTAACATTTTAAAATTTTAAAATAACAATTTAAATATAAAATAACAAAGACAATTCCTTAACAAACAACACAAACAACAAATTAGTAACAATTTTAAAGTTCATTTTACTTACTTCGAACTTAGCCAGCCAGCATCCCCGGCCAACTAACCAAAAATTTAAAAACTTCAGTCAGTGCTACTCAGTGTACTGTTAGTGTATGGCGGTGTGTAACATTCACCAACTGTAATTTAAGTTTTATTAATAATCACTTTATAGTGTATTTACTATATCAGTGTCTATCCGATAATGACACATTATATTTAATAGGGTAAAGGAGGGCGTTAAGAGCCACACTTTTTAGCACCTGTACATTTTTAAAGATTTCTACTAATCTAAGAATTTTTTAGTATTGAAAATGTGGCAAAATTATTCTAACATATCTTACACAATATAAAAATAATAACAAAGTCTATTAAATATACTTTAAATGGGTTTAATTGAACATTTATTGTCATACCCCCGAAATCAGCATTTGGGGTGAAAGGAGCCGGGCAATAGGGCAATAAGCATTATCTCCTAGTTTAGACTAACTCCTCAATAAAAATAATTAATTTCTAACCCCAAAATAGTTAATGCTGTGTACACACACTTTAACTGATACTAGCTATCACTAGGCCCCAATGGGCCCAGTCTACAATTGATACAATTACAGGTGTACATAGGGCCTAAAGTCAAGTAGTTTACAGTAGGCACATTAGTATGCCTAGTGTGTAGCTAGTATACTAGTGTGTAGCTGTCCAGAGTTAACATTCTTGTATGTAAAAAGGTTTGGTACTAACTAATCTGCCTTAATGCTTTCCCCTGATAAGCCATGTGTGCTATACATTACATAACATGACATGGAGGTGAGAAATGTTGAGGGGAGAGCAGTGGTTCTGGTTTCCCCTTTGTTCTCCTTGCTGGACCCTGAGGGCCATAAATTACATAAGGAGATGCTATCTCTGGTTGGCTGAGATCTAAGAACTTAGTCCATGTTACCTACAAAGAGATGAAGTTTAATGGTGGGTTAGATCATGGAGGTGAGAAATTGTGAGGGGAGAGCAGTGGTACTGATTCCTCTTTGGTCTCCACCCTGCTAGACCATGAAGGTCATATGTTACATAACATGATTGTCTGAGATCTGTAACTGTAATCCATGTTACCTACAAAGAGATGAAGTTTTATGGTGGGCCAGAAACTGGTGGGGGTTGGGTATCATGGTAAACGGAAAAAAAGTCACAGGAAAAAAAAACACAGAAAAAAAGTCACAGTTTTTGCTAGGAAAAAAAGTCACAGAAAAAAAGTCACAGTGGAAAAATTTTATCGGAAAAAAAGTCACAGAAATAAAGTCACAGAAAAAAAGTCACAAAAATCTTTTTAGAAATATTTTTATGAATTTGTTAAGAATTGTAAATTTTGTATGTTTATAGTTATGGGTTGTATTTTTTGATAGCATAAATTATTTATAGACGTTAAAAGCAATATGATTTATAACAATTGTAAGTAAAAATACTCTAAGATAATTAACACAACAATCTCAACTTTTGTTACGTATTTAGTTAAATACGCGGTAGAAAAGTTAATTATAAAAGAAATTTAGGCACATTTTGCCGTAGGCTATTCTCTGGTCGGCCTCTCCTCAGTAGGCATTGTCCGAACATATTTTGTGTTGCTGACGTTATGCGTCAATGACAGCCTTTGAACCTTGTCGGCTTTCTGTTTTGATCCTAAGTTTTGTTATGTAATGAGCCTGATAAATGTGTGCAGTAAAGGTGGTTGAACTAAACATAACTATTGTTGCCATGAGTTGAGGGCAGCAAGTCAGACGAACTTACCATTTCACGGTAATTTAATATTGGTATTTAAAAAAAAAACACGATGAAAAACGTGACTTTGGAGCATTCTATTAAATGCTACTAATCTTAAGTTTAAAATAATTACAATCTACATACTTCATAATAAATATTTTTAGATGAATTATTAAAAATCCTATGCGTATACAGCCTACACACATTACATTACATTTAATTAATCCTAAGTTAATTTGCACTCTCAAAATATTTAATACATAAAAGTATTAACAAATATCATGCAAATATATATTTGTGACTTTTTTTCCTGTGACTTTTTTTCCTGTGACTTTTTTTCCTGTGACTTTTTTTCTGTGTTTTTTTTTCCTGTGTTTTTTTTTCCTGTGACTTTTTTTCCTACAATCGGGTATCATGGGGGTAAGAAATTGTAAGGGGGGGGGGAGCAGTGGTATTAATGTGTCTGTTTACTTCCATGCTGGACCATGAGGGTCATAAATTACATAACATACCACCCCAGATTGGCTGAGACCTAAGAACATTTATTCCTGTTACCTACAAAGAGATTAGAAGTTTTATGGTTGGTTAGAAACAGGTGGGGGCTGAGTCTGCTGTATTGCCCCTTAGGGGTAATAAGTACTCATACCATTTTAAAAATTACCTTGCTAACATGAGATGACTGAATTTTTACTTTTTAGCAGGTTAGAATAGTATTTCTATCATTTAGACACAAGTCTGTTTAACAATTAATACATTTTGTGTTAACTATTCCTATACCAGTGTCATATTCAGTGGTCTAATAAATGAGAAACTTGCACATAGGGTTTCAAGAGCCACATAACAGTATCTGTTATAACTTTTCTGAACAGGCAAGCTAGTGAACAAAATTAATGTATTCATGTAGATTTAGTTATTATCTAACAAATAAAACCATCATGGTAATGATCAGTCAAGTTTTACTCTGATAATGATAAAAACTTTATAGCATGGTAAAATGGGACTAATGTCGGCCATTTTGTTTTGGCACCAATAATCACTGTGCAAATAAAATTCACCAAAATAAAACTATTCTAGCCATAGCTATAAAAATAGTGTTAAAATGTACAACAATCAATGCTCTAATACAGGAACAAAGAATGGGCTTGAAAAACTCATTTGGTTTATTACAAAGTGAAGTTTCCCAAGTTATGTCTATTTGGAAAAAAAGTTCACAAAATGGTTTTATGGAGATGAGAAATTTTAGGGAAAGAGCAGTGGGATTAAATCTTGTCTCATCCTCTCCCTATTGGACCAAGTGGGTCATAAATTACATAAAATGAATCCTCTGCTTCTCTGTTATCAAAGAACAGCAGTGGTTGTTACCTCAGAAGTAGATTAGCAGTGTTATTGGGGGTTTTGTGGGGGTGGGGTGTTGATTGGGGCTTAATACCACACGGCTCTTAACGCCCTCCTTTACCCTATATATTGTTTAATAGAATCTTCGGGAGAATTTTTATACCCCTGTCGGATAATAATGGAATTTTTTAAAAAAAGGGGTGCTACAGTTGTGTTAGGCATTAGGTAGTTAACTAAATACACACATTACTTGCTCTAATATCAATGCTAACACTGTCCCTAACCCCGACCCTGGTCCTACCATACGCCTAACCCTAATTTGTAATTTCTAACCATAAAATTAGTCGAGATTACAATACTACTAACAACCCAACACTTATATTTTATAGAAGAGTCTATTATCTGTCATTGGTATCTAAAATCCTCTGAATCTTCTTTCAAAAAGGTGTGTTAGTCCAGTGTTATCTAGTATCTACTGATCTACTAGTAGGAGACTAATTTATAGCCTAAATTTAAAATAAAATTTTTAGGATAGCCCTAATTAATTTTATATAGGCGGCTATAGAATCAAAAAACAAATATATGAAGATTTAATTAGGCTAATGATCCTACTTTTAGCTTCACAGTAGCATATTCTGTTAACTGTAAAAAACAATGTCCAAAAACTTGAGTGTGCATTTTGTAGGTAATTTCAATTTAAAACGAGGTCTGAATCAAGTAATGTACAGATTAAATAATTAAAACATCTGCCTAGACTTTTTAAATGCTTTTTTTGTCAATATATAAGTTAATTGTGCTACCTTTCTTGGTTCCAACTGTATCCTATATTTAACTGAAGAAATTAAAATAACCTGCTGAAAAACATTGGTGTTTCATCTGTGATTCTCCTTAGTTATATCAGAATCCATGTAATTACTGTCTGTCTTGTTTAGGGATTTGTCATCTGACCAAGTTTCATATCACTTTATCAGTAATATCAAACTACAAATATTTGAGCATGATTATGAATCCACATTTTTTATGGTACCTTTATTTGTGTAATCTGATGGTATTCCTCTGTACTAATTTAGTAATTTCAGTGTTTATTTCAAATTTCTTGGCTCAACTTTTTAGTTTTTCATTATTATTATTATCTCATAATTGATTTTAATATTATCAATAGTTTACTAATAATAGCCAGGTAATATTACTCTCTTTACTTCAATAGTTTACACTTTTAAACTCAACAGATTATGTCACGATGGATTCCAAGAAATGTCGTCGCCGATCACTTCGCAATTTAAGACGCTCATCAAATTTTTTTATCCCGGTGAAAGCTGTATTAGAAAACCAATATGACAGTGAAGACGTAATAGCTGTTGAGTCTGCTTATGGGAGTGCTTGGCTAGGAGAAAATGTTGATCATTCAAAACACACATCAACCTTTGCTGATTATGAATTTGTCCTCTCGGACCAAGGTGTTCCAACAACTTCATCCAATACCCCTGAATGTTGTAGGACACCAGAATCATTGTCAGCTGTAGCAGATGCCCCTTCATTGAACGTTAGTTCCGTCATCATTGCAGATTCCAACTATCCTAGCTTAGTTGATGAAGATACACAACTTATTGAAGATGCTGAGGATGGTAAAAATACAGCCAGCTTTTTGGCAACTTCTTGCAATCTTGAACCTAATGAGGTGGTTAAAACCAAATCTGCTGTTGTTACCTTGCCTCATTCTTCTACTAAACCTAGTTCAACAGGAGAATATGTCAAGAAAAAACAGAGATTACAAGATACTAGAATATATAGGAACAGTAAATCAGGTTTAAAGCAAAACAAGCCAAGTTCTTTTAATAAAGGAGCACTGCCACTAGATAAGAAAACCAAGCCAGTTCTCCAGTTACCAAAGCCATATCCAAAAACAAATGTTGATAAAAGGACCCCGCAGAAAAGTTTCCCATCCCACAAGGTGAATGAACGTGCTCATCAGTCTCTAGATGTGTCATGCTGCTCTAAATCAAATCAAGAAACTCCTAATAAAACAAGTGCCAGAAACACTTCAGATGTTCAGTCCAAACATTTGAAGTCTGTCATAGAGCAACTGTCATCCAAGCTCCAGGCATTACAGACAAGTCGAGGTCTTGGCCTGGAGAGAAAGCTAGAAAACAAAAATAGAATAGGAGAGCCAATTTTGCCATTGAAAATCAGACGAAAGAGTGGAACGCCAGGTTCTGAGCAGAAGAGAGAAAAAATGACGCCAAACTCAGACAAAAGTCTAAAGGCAAGACAAAGAAGAAGTCTTTCTTTGAAAAAAAGTGTGCCTAACATTGAAGTTGCTTGTGGTGCAGATGTTGATAAAGTTTTACCAAAGAAAACCAGCCTTGACTTTGACAAGCTTCTAGAAAGTGATGTTTTAGATCCAAGCACTCATGAAACTTTAGGTAATGGTGGGACAACTGGAGTAGCTGTATATGATGAACCTGATTTTATGCCAGAAAATATTTCAGTTGTTGAAAATTTTGGTGATGAGTTTTGCGTGAGTGATCACAATAAAGACATTGAATTAAATTTAGAAAAACTTAATTCTTTGAATGGATGTGATTTAGAAATTACAGAAGATTTAATCAAAAGTTTGGGTTTACCAAATTTAGCATCTAATGATTTACCAGTAGCTGATAAGATGGAGCACAAGACAGATTTTAGCACACCAGGCAAACAAAGTAAAAGAAAGTCTCTCAGAAGGTCCTCCAGATTTTTCTCACCACATGAAATGCCACTGAGTTTTGCGCTAGAGCAAAGCCCAGAAATTGATGACCATCTTACACTGAGCTCTGTTTCTCCATTAAAAACTTCAGGTTTGGTCAACAAATCATTCAGTATTTCCCAAGCAGACATTTATAATACATACTTTGATTTAGAAAATAAAGAAAATATGCTTGATAACTGCAATGATCAATGTACTGAAAACGATCAAGAATTGGAAAATTGCCCAAAGAACATGACAGATAATCAATCAAATATGTATGTGCTAAATGAAATGATAGATGACTTTAAAAGTCTAAGCACAGCTGATGTGACCATTAACGTGCCTGTAAAGGGAAAGAATAAGAGAAGATCTAGCAGCACTCACACTATAGGGGGAGACAATGAGGAATGTAGTGCAGCAAAGAGCAGCCCAAAATTAGAAAATAATTTGAACATTTCAGAAGAGGATGCAGAATCTCCACATGAGTTACCCATTGTTGACATGGAAACTGAAGTCTCCGGTGACTTGGTTTCTGATACTGCTGAAGAGATGGATACCAGTGACACAGGCAATAGAGTTTTGAAATCTTTGAGAAATAGAAAATCATGGGGCTTTCCTCAAACTTCAAAACCTGTTAATAACGTAAAAATCACAAGAAATAATAAAGACAAAAACTCATCTGAAAGTTGTGATGGTAAAAGTTCAACACAGGAACCAAAGTCTGATAGTATAGACATAAGTCCCGCACTTGTTGATCTGTACCGCAATAAAAACTTTGTGCAGCCCAAACCTAAGGTATGGGAGACAATTAAGGAAAACCCGCCCAACCATCTTGCAGTGTTCACAAAGAAAAAATTCAGACGTTCTCTAGTTTTTAAAGACAACGCCACTACAGCTAAGCTACAGCGTAGACACAAAAAAGCTGTAGAACTAAGTCAAGGAACGGAGAGGGTGCCTATCTCTGATGATGAGTTTATGAGGAAATTTCTAGATATTCAGCTGATGCTGGATTAAATGTTGGCACTATATTTGTTCTTGAGTAGGGACTACCAGCCATGAGCAATTTTTTGGGTATTATTTTACAAAATAAAATTTAACTGATGAGATGTAGAGAGTGCGCTAACATTTCACATGGTGGAATCAAAGATAAACACTCTTTGTATGATAAAATAAAATGAATACTATTTTAATAGTTGAAGTAATAATAAAATTGCTGATTTTTAAAGTTTTCAATATGCTGGAGACTAACTCTAATATTTTGAATTTTTAACATTGCCTTCTTAACTAATTTAGTTATATGCAATATAATACATTTTTAAAATGTGTGTATGTTTTTAGTTTATACTGGCTTGAAATTTATTACTAGCAAGCCACTGTATTAGAAATGTACATGTTGTGTTTTTTCCCCCTTAAAATTAGATTGACTTTGTGATGTATTTCATTTTCAACATGATGCCTAAATACAAAAAACATTTAATAATAATATTAAACAGTGTGAGATTATCAAAAGCTTTGATATTGTTCAGGTTTTTTTGACAGGGAATAAATGGAGCAGTATATATAGTGACATTTATTAGAAACAGCTTTTGAACTAAATATAATAAACTATTTGGGTTTGGCCATCATTTTATTTTCAAATGAATTTTATTTGTAGATAACTGATGCATTTCACTTGAATAAAAATGTAACAAAACATTGGTCCAACACTATATCACTGCTTCAATCAACTGACTTTGACATGTTTACAATGTGATTTGTCCATCATACGAAATGTCATGTTAATCCTCAACCCCAGAGCTTTCATGCGTTTGGGGAGAGAGTGGTACCAATATGAGTTTGTTGGATGTTTCATCAAAAGTAAAGAACCATGTTCCAGTTGTATTGTGACCGTGTCTATCTTGCGTTTGGCATTTTTCCCTCTGGAGTCCTGGTGTTTAAACACAAAGTCTCTCATCTGACCTAAACTTAAAGATGCTATTGGGTATCCTGACTGGAGATCTTTCTCATCGTCTTTATGTTCTCCCATGTAATCTTTACCGTCTTTGTATCTGCAAAAAGATGTTGAGCTTATACAGAATTTAAAGATAGTAATAGTCTTTTTAACTAAAGTATCCCAACAAAATTTTTTAAAAGCAATGAATAAGTAATATTGTCATTCATGTGTTTCAAATGTATTAAAATGTGCTGTATAGATTTCGTCTTCACCTGTTGATGAGTACAAAATTAAAACTGTAGCCTGTTGTTTGTGTTATCTGTTCTCTAATTTTCACCAGTAAGGTCGTCCACGGCTGAGCAGGTAAAGTTTTACCAGAAAATGTGTATGACAACCCTTCACTGCCATGGGCTACCTGTTGTAAAAAATCAGGAAATTATTGAAATGTCCTTAAAAAATGTGGCATTCAATTTATTAATTGAGAAAAACAGATGGCAGTGGCCGGTCTCTTTCAGAAATCTTTCTTAATTTGTAGCTAATGAAAATTACTTATGTATTTTAAATATAATCGTATTCCTTAGTCCTAACAGTATAGGCCTAGGATTATCTGTGATTTTATTATCTATACATGTACACCCAGGTAACTAGGTGGTACTGGCTGATATTACCAGTCTACAAGGCATGAAAGAAAATAATTTCTTAATTTTTTCCCCACAAAGTTTATTTACTCTTTATCATTCCTCCCCCTTCCCCTAATTTTTATCTACATTGCTGCTGATTACCATGCTAATTTCAGTGCATTGTTATGGGTTACCTGTTTCCTAGGTATATCAACTGACTTTCCAAACATCATCACTTTAGCCAAGTCCCCTTCATAGTAGGTAAGCTCTTGCTCGCACTGGTTCAATAGACATGTTGCTTCCTCTGCTGTGTATAAGTGTGTATACTGTAAATTTAGATTTTCCCCTTTGATATCTTTCCAAATACAACATTTTGGAGCATCAAGAAAAGAAATATTTTGTTGGTCACCAAATGAATGTTTTTTTAGTTTTTTATTTGAAAAACTGTCATCGCCAGTTCCATTATCATCTGTTTTGAAGTTTGTTTTCACACATTGTCTTTTCTTCTTTCCTTTTTCTAAAGTATTTACTTCCATCTGGAGCACAATTTAATGTTAAACGAAATTTCACTTTATTATTAGCTCCCCCTAGGCACTAGAGTATAGTATGTCAGGTGGATAATATAATATATGTTGACTTTTCTCTCAAAATGTTAGTCATAAAGTAGATCTACTACTACTGTAGATGTTCGCGTTAGAAGTGAGTTTATTTAAGGGGAGGAATCGTGAAGTAGGTTGCTCGACTATATCATCAATACAATACTCAATAGAGATCTAGGTCTATTGCATCTTTTCTTGGCATAACCCACAACCAGTGTTGTAACCAAGTCAAGTCAACAAATATATCAGCGATACCACTACTGAGAAATCGACTATCCTGATAAGGCTAAAGTTCAGTAGAACTGGGCTTGGTTGGTAGAGAAGCGATACTGTTTTATCGTACTTGATTATAACTCTCCTCTCTTTGAAGTTCAACTTGGCGTTGTCACACAGTTAGGTGGATTCTGTAAAGTTTGGTAAACAACAAATAACTGAATACCGTCTCAAAATAAAAATTATTGTAGGATGTTTCTTCTACTTTAAATATAGGCTCATTTAGTATTATTTAGGCTAACCTAAGTTGTCTATTTATTTGTGTAATATAGCGCTTGGGGGAAAAATCTTTGATAATCTATCGTTTTATTTTAGGACTTAGTCTAGAATCTCCTAGATCTATTCTATCTAGATCTAGATCTTCTAGGTGTTGTTAGCCTAACACTACTAACTACTACTAACTGTAGACTGTAGTCAGTGTTAGGACTTAGAATTCTTAGATGACTTAGAATCTATCTAGTCTAGGACTAGGAAAACACTTTTACTTGACTTTTAGGTTTAGGAGGTGCGTAAATCGGCCGTGTGTGGCTCTGCTACTCATTAATGATTAAATGCCTTCATTTCATATGTTTGGAATTAATTTTAAATGGCAAATGCACAACATTTATTTTTTGCCATTATTCATGAAAGGATTAGGCCTACTTTCCTTAATTTTATTTTTACTCATTTGCAGGGGGGGTGGGGTATATATTTTCTATATAATATAATTTCCATTTCGTTCGGGGGGTGGTAGAATTTCTTCAAAGAGATGCCTGGAAGAAACTCTGCTCATTTGTGACTTGATTTTTACATTAGTTGAGTAAAATTAGTAGTTTCTAAGACCAAGAGTAATTTGGACATTCAAAATTATTCAAATAATAGTAGTGCCTAACAGCTAGTTCAGTAGATATATTATTAATCTAGTAAATTGACTTAATTCCTTTACACTGGCTTTGACAAGCCTAGTAGTTAAAAAGGCAAAGCTACATGAGGGCCCAGTATTTAGTAGTGTAGGCCTACTGTTTAACTTATTTATGAATGATCCTTTAAAAATCTCAGTGCAAAGCCAGTGAGTCAATAGGGTAAGGTGAAGACAAAGTTGTAGTGGTCTTTGTAGTTATTCCTGCTCTCGAAGTTCATCAGTTTTTCTTTATGGGCACTTTTATTTTATGTAGATTTTATAATTTATACCAATCACTTTTCTGTAGTATAAAGCACACACAAAGAGAAACAGGCAGGTTTGAAATACAGTGATTCAAATTTATGTTTCCCCAGGTTTTTTTTAGCAATGGCTATAACATGAACCATCATCATGGCTGCAGTCTATAAAAGTTTAGTCTGGACTTTACTCATTTTGCTGGTTCTGGCGCAGCTGTGTGAAAATGTTACAGAGTATGCCTTCAAACGCTACACATACAGGAAGAAAAGAGATGACAAGCGCTACAAGTCGGCCAGGCAGCGCTGTGAAATGGGGGCTGAATGCCAGGGCCTCTGGGGCGTTAAACACACAAACTGTATCAGAATGTGCATGTCTGATTTTTGTTACAGAGAACTGTATGGAGAAGATGAGCTTGAGGAGGGGGAAATTGATGTCAGATTAAACTCATTTAAAGGCTGTCTCAGCCAAGTTAAAATGGAGGACTTCTAACTCCTAAGCTGCTCAAGAAAAATAGTATGTACAGAGCAATGATAGTTCCTACAATATATCTGATCACTGCCCAGATGAACTTAAAATATGTTCTGACATCTCTTGATTCATGGATTACCTTCAGCAGGATTAAATGTTCTCTCTTAATGTTACTTTGTCAATGTTACACAAGGCAGTAGGTTTGATTATCAATGTTCAGAAGATTTGACAGGAAAAAAATTCCTTTTTCTTAAAATCTCCTGTGGTATTTCAAATGGAAGAAAAACAGAATATGTGATTTTAGCAAGTTGAAATTTGTTAGAGTGAAAAAAATTGAATGAAAAGCCTTGCTGGTTATTGAAAATAATTTCAACAGTGGACTGTTTATTTATATTATTTTAAACTTATCCTATAAATGTTAGGATAATAAGATATTTTATTAAAATTTTGCTGATTTTGAGTTGTCTAAAATTTGTATTCAAATATAAATGGTCTGTTATAATATTTACATTTTCTTACTGTAAGAGTTTTCTTCTTGTCAGTGTAATGAATGAATATCAACTCTAAATTTTAAATATAATGTATGTTTTGACTTTTATATCAATAATTAAGATGTCATTTTAAAAAAAACAACTCTTTTTTTGTCCATTATCTCAGTAAGAATAAAAAAAAAGTTTGTTCAGTATTGGTTTAAACTTTAAACAGTCTTTGTTTTAATCCATCACATATGGCTTGCAGTAATAGCATTACAGTGTGTTTTGATAGTATATTTGAATACATGGGTAACAGTCTGTGTTAGAAAATGTTTGTGTGGATTTTACCTGGTTTGTTTTAAAGGCCCAGAGCGAAGACAAATAGTGAGCATGGTTCAATGCACACAAGACAGAATGTGACATAAGCCATCTGGGATCAAGTGGCAGCATGGAGCAGCAGGCTGCAGTAAAGATGTGGGCCCGCTCGATGGATAAGCACCAACTGAGATACAGAAGTGTTATATTTGATGGAGATACCATCAAGGCTCTCCATCAACTGGGCCCATATCAGGACCTCACTGTAGAGAAACAGAAGTGTGTGAATCATGTGGCCAACAGGCTGGACACTGCACTGTGGAATGTGGTGGATGCCTGCACTGAGGAATGTGGTGGATGCCTGCACTGAGGAATGTGGTGGATGCCAAGAAAAAGGAAAAAGTGACACATGGTGGAAATGGTAGGGGTAAACTTACCAAGCAAAGATTGCCAAACTACAAAAAATATTTCACTAAGGCGTTGCGCTCCAACTCCTCTGTTCAGATCCGGAAAGCCATTTAGGCCACATTTCACCATTGCTCATCCACAGATGAGGAACCTAAACACCAGGACTGCCCGGAGGGTGCATCCTCCTGGTGTTTTTTTCAGCGGGCTGCTGCTCAGGGTTTGCCCACACCATAACATGAAAAGATGGTGTTGACATACATATGTCCATTAGTTGCAGAGAACATTCTTATTGTTAATGAACACATGACACATGATGACCTCCTTCACCGGTGTTTAGATGGAAAGACACAGAATACGAATGAGTCAATCCATGCTCTAATATGGAGTAGGTGTCTAAAACACCTTTTTGTGGGGAGAAAAAGACTGGAGGTGGCAGTTAGTATAGGTGTTGGGGAGTTCAACATGGGTTCAAAGGCTACCCATGATTTTCTGGGCCTCTTGAACCTTCCAACAGGTTCCAAAACCTATAAGATTGGGATGAGGAGAGATGCCATTAGGGTCAGCAAGGCTCAAAAATCCCTTCTTTACAATGAAGTGTTCAGGAGGCAGTTAAGAAGGGTTGCTGAAGAAAAAGAAAGATCCCGAATTGAGCTAGAGGAAGGGGGTCCACAATATTTGCCTGGTGGTGCAGATGTTTAATGGGCTATCTATTATCAATTATCTTATATTGTTTACTATTTTGATATGATTAATGTTGAACTTTATATGTGTAAATATGTCTTGTTTTATTCAGTGATGTAAAGTTTATGTCATGAACTTGAATTTTTACTTGTTTTTCTGTTTTAAAAACTTCTAGTTTGTATTATTATTACAAATATTTGATAACTGTACTTGTGATCTTTTGTCATTTCCACTGATTTCTACCTAGTAGTCAATACTCAAGTAACGTGAAGCATACCTTAGCAGTGTTCCCATTGAATAGGTAGTATCTTGTCAGTTACCTTTCTTAATTCAAATTTTTGTTTAAACTATTTGAAAATATATAACAATTTCTGGATCTTTTTTTTTTAGAAGTCAGAAATGACATTGTGACCAATATTGTAACTACACAACAGTTAGCATATCAGAAATACTAAGGCCATGTGTTACTTTTTTCATATTTCTCTACACATTGCTATTACAATTAAAGCTTCAGCTTTCTATAATAATCAGAACTAAGTAACTAGCTTCACACTGCATTTTTAATGCATGATACAACTGGCATTGATGTGTTGGCTGTGGGGGTTTCACCTCCTGTGGCACAAGTGTCAGAGCATGTGGACTTGCTACAGCAGCATCATATAGTATTCAGTCTTGTTGTGATGATTGCTACAAATTGTCTATTGTGTCCGTTTTGAAGAGTCTACTACTGTCACTAGGCAACAATTTGCAGATTTCTTTTTAGTCTGAAGGAAATAGCTGAAGCTCTAGCCCATTGTTCTTTTAATAATTTGAGTGCATTTGGCAACTTGTACAAGGACATTAACAACTGCAGAAATAGATCATTGTTGAATTGGTCAGCATTACATGCAGTTTAATATTCAGGGTGCTGTTAAAAGTAATATATATATAAAGTATATATATATATAGAAAACACCATGCAGCTTAGCCACCACCCTCATCCTCACCTGTCCGGTGAGCTATGGTTCACCACGAAAATTTACAATTGTAGAGCCGGGTTTGTGACAGCTATTAGGGGCAGATAATTTAGGATTAAATGATTTGAAACGAAGGGGAGGTAACAATTTCTGATCTTTTCTTTGACTGTAAACGGTTGCTTTCACTGGGCGGGAGGGGGTAGTGTTGAATTCACAAATTATGAATTGCTTATAAGCAGAAAATAAAACAACTAGATGGCGGTGTATAATATGTTGCGGGTCAGCTCGTTGTAAATAAGTGAGGACTAACATGGAATAATACTGTTCAGATTTCACTATTTTAGGCTGAGTGGCAATAGCATTTAATTAACATGTATGAAATCTAGTTTTCTTAAAATCAGTGAAAATCTTTCTTATGCTACTACTACTATCCTTAATTTTGATCACTAAGCTCATCATAGGCATTATTTTATGTAATACTTAGTGGTTTATTTTTTTTTTCATTTTCAAAAATTAAATGTCAAATTTGCGGTTGATAATTAGTGCTTATGGTGTGTATGTAACTGTTACAAATTATTTTACATCAAATATCAATGGGTTATCATCTCAGTTATTGGAATTAGGTCAATTGAGTAGGCCTATATTCTTTCAGTTTAAATAATAAGTTATTAAGTACTAAAGATTGGTCTTTAGAAGGATAAAAAACAACAATGATAATGAAATTTAACATCATCTTGACAATTAATAACTGAACAACACCTGTATACACTAACCAACTTTATTTCTAAACTGTTAATAACCAAATGTATGAAGACAGAGTCTTATCAATTTTAAAATTAATTCAAAATAGTCTAACAAAATTTATATAGCTCATTAGTCTTCTCAAAAGAAAGCTATAAGAAAATAGCCTTTTACCTAGATAACATTATTGTTAACATTTTACACCTATTTGGTAAATGCACAGAAGTGCCCAATGATATTACATTACTTCACAATACAATACCAAGGGAGCTAAGCATGATACATTTAAAACAATTCATGGCAGTTTTGCTTCATTGTACAACAGTGTTACATTTTAATTTAATTCAACATATTATTTAAGGGGTAAAACATAGTCATATTTCAAAAGAGAATATTCACATGTAAAGAATATGAAACAAAACAAAGAAAATGAAATAAAATTTGCCAAGTTTAAACTAAAGTTTTCACACACACTTCCAATTTGGTTAAAAGACCATTTTTTTGGACAACTTCCAAGAAAATCTCAGCAGATATAAAAATTATTTTTGGGAGAAAACAGCATAAAAACATTAACATTAAAAAAACAATTTTCATTTGTATTTTTTGTCATGCCGCTAGTAAGGACAACCCACAAAATAACCAATACTGATCAATGACAACAACTTCACAAACAATCATTTTCTGTTTTACAAAAACTAGTATATTCACTTCTTTTTCAGCCCTCACTCTTTCAAAAGGTTTTTTATTCATTGATCCAATTTCTTAATTGGTAATGAAACAAAACATTTTCTTCTTTAACCATACATATTAAAATGTCAAACATAATGTACATAGTTTTAAAATGAGAAGTCGGAAACATTTAAAAGAAAAAAATGAATAATGGTATAATTTTTAAAATATACTTTTAAAAAAATGTTTACAGTTACATTACAAGTTAACTAGAAAATACGTAATGACAGTTACTAATGAATATGGAGGGGGGAGGGTTGTATTATGTTCTACATGTCATCATCATCAGACAGGGTCTCATACTGAGAGGACAGCAAGGGTGCTGGTTCCTGATCCCTGGAACACATGGTCGTTTGGTCAGGGTCTCGCATCATGCTGGACACCACCGGCTGTGTGCTGGACGAGTACGAGATGGTCGCAGACACAGACGTGGCCAGGCCACCGTGGCTCTCGGAGTGGTCGGAGCTTGTTATAGACCTGTTCCCCGTCTCGTCCCCTATCCCAGAGTCAGGACCCGGTCTGGGGCATCTCCACTGTTGTGTGTAGGCGTGGGGTTCACTGGTCGAGTCACTAGATCCTTGAGTCACCTCAGAGCCGGGTATGTTGTCGTTAGATCCACCTTGGGATGTGCTGTCCAGCCCACCTGTCCTAGCTCGTTTAGGAGGCTTGGAGCGATCAGCTGATGTTGAACTATCCACCCCCTCCCCTTCCTCCCCGGCTTTGTCTGGCCTGGTGCTGTCCACAGAGGAATGCAGCCCCGGGCCGGACTCAGCTTCTATACTGCTAACTCTGCTGCCAAATCTAGACCTTGGTTTAGCTGAGCTCTCAGACTGTCCAGATGGGAAGGTCTCGTAGCCTTGAGCTTCATTCTTCTCCCCTGACTTGCCATCCTCCCCTGCCCCTTGAGTGTCAGGTCCTGACCATGAACCTTTACCCTCAGAGCTGTCCACCTGGCATTTCCTGGCCCCACGGCCTGAGGCTGACAGGGCCATGTAGCTGCTGGGTGTTGGCCCGACGGATTCATCATCTGGACTGTCGTCAGGAAAATCATACGCAGACAGACGTCCAGTTTTGTCACCACCAGAAGATTTATGTCCACTACGGCCGGTCGTTTCAGGTGGGCCAGAGCTAGGTGAGGGTCGATCCCTTGTGGAGGAGCTGCTGGGGTGTGAGACAGACTTGATGCCAGACTGAGACGGCATGCTAGACGACGGGGTGGCTGGAGATACGTCATCTTGCCGAACTCTTGGCCTCCCAATTGCCCTTTTCCTGCCATAAGCCGGAACACTAGATGAAGGTGACAGGGCGGGGTCTGCAGCATCTTGAGCTTGACCGCGATGGTAAGACGAGCCCTCATCAGCCTGGTCTGTTGAGTGGATAGAACTGACCCCATGCTGGTCTTGTGTTGTAGAGCCAGGGTACCGGCTTGACGGTTGGTCTTGTGGTGACGAGCTGTTGGCCATCTGTCCTGTCAGTTTCATCCCCGATGACGATGAGAGTGGAGACGGAAGAGACGACTGACTAGAGGATGTGGGCTTGTCGCCACGAGAAGCCCGAGGGTGAGGAGGAGTCTCGCTGTTGTCACGGAAACCCTGGTCGATCATAGCGGAAAATCCTGAGACACTCTGAGTGGGGGACTCATTAATGCTGTGTGAAGAACCACTACTCTCCACTGTTGCTAGGCCTGGCGTGTAGAAAACAAAAACTGAGTTCAATTACAAAGAACCAGGAGGAGCTACTACAAATGTGATCCCTGCTTATTATCAGAGATGTGACCAGACTTTTTTTATGGCATTGGAAATTAAGTTACATTTTTGTTGAAAAATCAATTTATTCTACCGAGAATAATTATAATTTAATTACGATTTTCTACATTTTACTATGAAAGTAAAATAAATTTTTAACTCCAATAAAGAAAAATTCCTTATAAAAGAAGCCAGGAAATATTTTGTTCAGTACTCAGGCTAGGCACAGTGGTTATGGTTGTCTGAAGATCTACTTCATGCTATCATTCCTCATTTTTTGTATAGCTAGGTGAAACATTTAAATTAGGATTGTAAGATTTGTCAAATAAAATTTAAAAAGAAAATGAACCTCAGAAAAAGTCACATCTCTGCTAGAAGGATTATTTAACATTAGCTATTTGATTCCTGAATAAGGCAACCATACAATTTGTTTAGAACAGAACTATTTAAGTTAAAGTGATGGTTTTATCTTCAACAATTTGTAAAGATGGCACTGAATACAGAGTTTTAAAAAAATGAAGATGAAAATGCTGTGAATAGATATCTCAACAATTAAAAAAACAGTTTAGATAACAAATTATTTTTCTTTCACTTTCTAACCGCAGAGTGAAGCAAAAACAATTGCTAGGCAAACACTTTCCTTGTTTTTATTGACTGAAGAGTTAAAACTATGTGAAGCTTCTTATGTAGTGTATAAACGTGAGTAACCTGATGGGGGGTAGGCGGCCTCTGGCAGACCCTGGTGGGTTGGTCCAGTCTGTGGGCGGGGGTGGAAAGGGTGATGCTGCTGCTGTGGCTGCGGGGACCGAGACTGGTCGGCGCTGCTCCTGTCACAGGGTCCCCCACTCCCCTGGGAGGGAGCATGAAGCTGGGATGGGTGGGATGGTTGGAAATGGCTAGGTTTGACTGAGGATGATGATGAGGGTGAGGTCGTGTCTGTCTGTCCAGGTGTCGGGGTTGTGTGGGCTGGTCGCTCTCCTATTCCATCCTAGATTTTTTTTAGGAAAGAAAAGAAAACATAGCATGTAGAAAATAAATACATAAATTCTCTTAAAAAAATAAAATAAATTGGCACTTGTGCATGAATAAATAAGTAAAATAAAAAAAATCACGAAGAAAATTATTTTAAATAACATTGTAACAGACTTATTTATTTAGATAACATTACAATTCTAGCAACAGCTACAATAAAAACTAGCATTTAATAACAATATCAATAGAAAGGTACTACAACGACAGATTGTAAACGTTAAAATAATACAAAACCAGAGACTAGTTTCTTACCCACTTCTTCCAGTTGGGTGATGGTCCCTGGCTGGTGGGCACACTGTAGCTGCGTGGCCTGGAGTCTGAGGTGGACCCAACCAGTCCAGATTCAGAGGCAGCAGGGCTTCTACGAGTGTGTGGCGCCTCCATCTCTCTATACTCACTTGGATTGTTTGCTGAAAGTAATTAATACAAGTTCAATATTTCCTATAACAAGTTTTTTTACTGAGATCTTTTTTTTAAAAAAAAAACCAAATGTTTAACTATGTTTTAAATACAATAGAAAGTATGCATTTTAATTTTAGCATTGAAAACAAGGCTTGTTCTGATGGTGATCAGGACAAAAGAAAGACATATAAGGCAGACACTGATAACAGGATGACATGGAAAAAAGGCAGACCAAATTAAGTGCAGAGGCCTTATGGCTTAAAGCAGAAGGCTGAGTTACACAACATTACTAAGTTTTTTTGCTATTTTTTTTTTAACTTCAGACTTTGAAAAAAGAGAGATATTCTAATCTATTAAAAAAAAAAAAAGTGTATAAAACAAGAGGGTATAAAAAAGCAAACAAAATAGAATGTTACCAGCATTGGCATCATGAATCATGGACAGCAGCCCTTTCTCCGAGGTGCTTGAGCTGCTGGAGGCTGAAGAAGTGCTGCCACTTGAACTAGAGCCTCCAACCTTGCCGGAGTCATAGTTTTTATTGATGATGTGATCAATGTGGTCACCCAGAGTCATGACACTGTTGGCGGTGGCCGCTGCGGCAGCAGCTGCTGCTGCGGCCTGGCTGCCCCCAACAGGGGAGGTGTGGGGGCGGGGCTCTGAGTCACTCCGAGCTCTAGCATCCAATTCTGGTCTAGGTCTGGGCTCTTCTACATGTGTGTCAATGTTTTCTCTCTGTAAGGACAAGTTTAACATCATTACACATTCACAAAATTGATTCTTAGTTACAAATTTTACAATATCTTCAATACTGAAGGCATGGTCGGGTGGTAGACTGTTAACCCAAAAGTCTTGAGTTCAAATCCTGGGTTCCTGTCTGTCAAACGCCTGAATTCACCCAGATCTAAAGGGTACCAGACTCATATTATAGAAAATAAAGACGGATGGGCATGGTGTTGACTACACTATCCCTTCATATGTCATAGTTACTGAAAAAGGTGAGTTCTACTTCACCTGCCCTATGAGTCGACAGGTTTGAAAGGGTACTTTACTTACTTTAAAACACTAAAATTAAAAAAAAAAAAAATCTACTCAAAATCAAATCATATTGTAAATAATCATAATAAAATAAGCTTAAATTTTAAACTTCTTTAAAAATAAAACTATAAAAATGCAAAAACATCTTTTAAGTAGCAATACTGCAAAACTAGCATGAAAATGAAATAACCCTTACTCTCTAAAAAAACTCCATGGAGGAAAACTTTTAATTCTCACAAAAGAAAGAAAATCGACGTTTACCTGTGGGTATTTAATCTTTGACCTGTAGTTCATGTCTGCCTGCTGCTGTTGTTGTTGTTGTTGTTGCTGCTGGCGTTTCTGCTCCATGTCCATCCTGCGATGTTCAGCCTCAGTTTCCATGTCTCTCCTTTCAGCTTCATTTCTTTTGGCTGTCTCAACTTCTATACAAATAAAACAATCATTGTTAATGTACAATCATCCTCTCGCAAAGATAATTGACCCACAAGGGAGTGTTATTTAGATTAAACCTCTGCCTATTGGAAAGTTAGGCCTCTCACCATCCAATCAATTATCATTGGTCTTCCAATCAAAATGTTCATAGAATTTTTTAAAATAAAAATGTTTATAATAACAAGCTATTAAATGAGCACTAAAAATAATAAAATGATTAAATGCACCACGATTTATATAACTGTAAAATTTTATGAGTGACCCTATCGTTTCTTTATAGTTATATAAATTGTAATGCATTAGAAATTTTCATTTTTTTTTACTTTATATAAAATATTTTGACACAGTAAAATCACAAAACTAAAAACATTGGCACACCAAAGCAGCGCAACAAACAAGTGTAATTGTACTTTTATAGAAATCTTCAAATAATTAAAAAAATTAATCATACATCTATGTATGTCATAGTTCATGTTACTTTGCATTGCCATTGACCTTTGTGCCAAAGTTTGAAACAAATCAGCTTGGTAGAAATGAGTGAGATTTCATTTTCAAGTTTCAACCCATGGAAAAGACAACAGCATTAAGACAATAGCATATGTTAAATAAAAGCTTGTGAAAATGCTTATTTTTTAATTTTCAATCTTGTTCATAAGGCAGTTAGAAAAGTTCTGAATACCACAGCACTAACAATCAGTATCCAAAGCTTAATTTTATTATTACCTTTCCTGTGTTGTTCTTGAGCTCTGGCCTGGTTTTCAAGTCTGCGCGCCTCCATGTGTCTTTGGTGTTCCAATTCATTTTGATGTTCAATTTCCATTCTCTGGACATGCAAACATGCACAAGTCAAATAGTATTAGCTGCACTATAGCATTGTATATTGATGTTTTTAACATCATAGCATGTCTGCTTTTAAAACATTTAATACTCCAACATTTTATTATTGATCTATTGAAACTAAGATGGTATTATTTTTTAGCCATGTTGCTATACATTTATAAGCTCCCATATTTTTTAAACTGATATATTCAAACAATGTTGGTATACTTTTGCAAGCTCCCATCTAAAAAATTAGTAGGTTTCTATTCTTAAGAACAAACCAAGTTCTTATACATTCAAGTCCAATATTTTTAGATCCAACCACTTGTTTTGTATGTAAATAGTCCAACATTTTTAGATCCAACTACTTGTTTTATATTTAAATAGTCCAAATTTTTTAGATCCAACCACTTGTTAAGTGTTTAAATAGTCACACACCTGTCTCTGTCTCTCTGCCATTTCCTGTCTCTGTCTCTGCTGGTCCATCTGGCGCCTTTGATCCATCTGTTGCTGCTGCTCCATGCGAATTTGTTGGTTCATAAGTTCTCTTGCCTGGAAAAGTTTTAAGTAGTGCATTTTCAAATGGATACTAAGATAAGATAAGACAACTAACAAAAAGATTGAAGCAACAAATAGATACACTAAGACATGTAACAAAAAGTTTGAAGGGTCTTTATGTTTATATGTATAGTACTTTTAAAAGAAATTAGATGTATATTCATTTAAAGTTTTTAGTATCTTTTTAAAGATATCAATCTAAAGCTTTAATTTAGAAAACTGAACTTGCTCATAAAACAGGACCAAAATTGAAAGAATCAGCCTTGCACAACCATTTCAAACTGAACAGTAGATCCAATTTTCATTTTTACTTTCTCGTATATACGAAGTATAGAGAAAGTCTTGTAATCGTGCAAAAAAAAGATTACTTGAGTACCGTTACAGCTAGGTTGATGAAATTTCATATATAAGTATTTTATCAAAATCGTAGTTCCGTATCAACTTTTGAGCGATTTCCCATAACCGGAAGTGGTACTTTTTCTACTTTGAATTTTTCAAAAGCCTATAACTTGAGTACTATTTCAGATAGATAAACGAAATTTCACATGTAAGTAAAAGATCTAATTCTCTACCTTCTATCAAATTTTGAGTAATTTCCGTTTACCGGAAGTACTAATTTATGCTATTTCCGATTTTTCAAAAAACGCATGTAAATTTATAAAGTACTAATAATATTGCGCACTATTATACACATCTTTATTCGGCGTTCGCTTGGTGCGCAATTGTTGTTTTATGAGATTCTATTCTATTTTTAAAAGTTTAAGTATTTAAAATGGATTAAAATCATAACTATATCCCCAGTTACCATCCCCTGTTGTTTTATGTAAGAATATTCAAGAAAGTTTAGGGGAGATCACTACCGGTTTATTTTCCATACTTTCATTTATTGATCTTTTCAAATTTAATAATTGTATTTTTTTTAAAAACGAGATAAAACATAAGAATAGTGATGTAGAAATCTGGCAACAACTGACCTGGGGGTCAAAGTATCTCTGTGTGGGCTTGCCGCCGTAAGCCTGTGCTTCAGTCATGGACCTACTCTCATTCTGAGAACTGGCCTCTGAGGAGCTGGGGGTTGACTGGCTGTAGAAAACATTAGCAAATGCTCTTTTAAGTGCTGAACAATATCAAATGCTCTTTGAAGTGCAGAATAATATCAAATGCTCTTTTAATTGCTAAAGAATATCAAATGCTCTTTTAAGCGCTGAACAATATCAAATGCTCTTTTAAAAACTGAACAATATCAAATGCTCTTTTAAAAGCTGAACAATATCAAATGCTCTTTTTAAAGGTGAACAATATCTAACGCTCATTTAGTTGTTGAAAATAAATAATCCATGTGTAATTTTACATCTTCTCACTGTCTACTTTGTGACTTTCATGTCAGATACAACTAGTGTAAGTCATACATTTGACTGTCTACTTAGAAGCTCATGTGTCAGGTGTAACTAGATGACCTACCGGACAGGTGAAGATTTCTGATGCCCATCATCAGGTGTGGTCTGGTTGATCTGATGGATAATGATGGCATTGATAAGTTTATCTGCAGTCATTGCACGGCTACTCGGCTGACCAGCACCTGAGTTTGGAGGCTGAAGAAAACAAAACAGATTTTTTGACACAGTCTAACAGGGAAATTATTTCCACTCAAGTAAGACAAAAAATGTCTTGAATAACTTTTTATATACTAGAGAGCTGAGACGAGGCTGTTTTAAGAGACCAGAGATAAACTGAAGCAGCCTTATCAATCAAGCTGTGCACCTCAAACCATGACCTAACTTTCTAACAAGTGTTTTTCTATGTCACAACATTTTACACAAAAATCTACTCAATGTTGCTGGCAACAAATAGTATTTATGATGAAAAGAAAAAAAAACAGTGCAGACACAAACAGAAATATAACCAAGTGAAATATGCATGCAGTAAAACCATCTACATACAAATATTTAAAAAGCTTAAGTATGCATTGATCCTGAGGTATTTACACTAGACTTTCAATACTTGTCAAAGAATAAATATACTCCGCAACAAATCAAATGGATGCTAGATGATATGCATAGTTACAGTAAAGTATGTTGGAAGTTAAAAAAGATTTTGCTACAATTTCATCCTAGGCAACCTATCTATAATTTAAATATCTTTAAACTAGAATCACAGTTGTCTTTTACAAATAAACTTGCCAGATAAATTCCAAGTTAAAATACCAAAACGAATTCACCAATTGAATACAGTTTATGATGAACCATTCTAGACTGACAATTAAAAAATCCACAAATCAATATACCAACAATGAATGAAGTTTGACAACACAGATGGACTGACAATAAAGAAAAACAAGAGAGGTTTGACTTACTGCTGAACTTCTGCATACCTGCGGTGAGTTGGCCACATTGTCTCTCTGAAAAGCTGATAAGAGAAAAGCTGAGCCACCAGAATCTCCTATCTGATTTCTCATGTAATTGGTATCTGTGAGCTGGCGGGGATTGCCCAGATCTTTCCTTTGGCTATCTGACTGGGATTGTGAGATGTCTGGCCTACGTGAGTCTCCACTGCGCATCTCACCACCACGTATTTCACTGAAGATTTAAACAAGAATAAGCTCCAGTATGACAATACAAATACTTTATTCTAATAAGATATTTGTACAATTTTTTTACCACAACTCATTTGCTAAACAAATCATCTGTCCTGATAAACAAAAAATTCAAAATAATCTGCTAAAATGTTTAAAAATGTATCTTACAAAAAACTTTTGCAATATGTCAAATTTTGCATCACTTCTAGTAATCAAATATATATGAACCATTAATTTCAATGAAATCAGTACATCTTAAACAGTGTAAGCATTAGCTCCCCTGAAATACTAAAAAAAAAACCCCACAGTTGTAAGTGGTAATAGATCAGGTTTTGAGTTTTTAGATATTTTTAAAAATCTCATCTGCTTAGCTATGATTTAACAATGTACAGATGCTTGGACTGTTACCTTTGGTAGTAGTCATCATGTAGTAATCAAAACTTACGCATTTTTTAAAATCTAGACTACCCCAGCCAGGGGAGTTAAGCAACCTACCCTAGGTACTGTTCCCTGCTGTCTGGACGCTGGCTGGGATACCCCCTGGAGTCCAGTGACTGAGAGGAATGTATCTGATGCTGCTGTGACACATTAGGGCCCCTTGCCTCTGCCAGCCTGCGCTCCTGTTCTTGCCTGTGCGTTCAGTAAAGATACACTTAACTATCATTACATTTAGTGCAGCAAGGTTAAGTTGACACATTACTTGTTTACATTCTTATGATTTAACCATAATCTCAGCGCTTATGTACCAAAATGTTAAAAAGTAAAGGTAAATTTTTTTATCCTATATTCAACTGCTGATATGTTGCCTTAACATCTATTTCTGGGTGGGTTTTAACCTTCCAATTTTAAATTAATTACCTCAAATGAAAAAAAAATGTGTATTAAAAAACAACGCACTACTTACACTATATATTTGCACAATTTAATACCACAAGCATACAGTGCATGTAAATAAGTAACTAATATTTTACCATGGTGAATGAAAGTTTACTACAAGTCAACTCATGTCTGACCTATTGTGCTGCTCCATGCTGGTCTCGTACTGACGTTTCTGCAGCTGCTGTTCCCACTGGGCTGTCCTGGCCACCGCAGCTGATGTCACTTTATCAAATGTCAGGTCTGTCTTGTACGCCCCCCTCATATTAGGGGAATGTCTGCGGTTTGGATCTAACATTGCAGAATGCCGACCTGTAAAAAATTGATTTATCTTTCACTTCCGGCATTTAAAAAAAGTTGCCCCTTAGGGCAGATGAAAAGGAGTTCATTTGTTTGTTCAACTCTGAATTGTGTGTTAGCACTGCAGTTGTCTTTAATTTCCCTGACTTGATTGCATTGCCTATCAGAACTGTGTAAACTTGGGGGACAACCTACAGACTTGAGCCTGTCAACCAAACTTGAACCTTTCAAATTAGTAAACCTATGCTCTGCCACGCCTGCCCATCAAAAGAATAGTAGAGTACCCTTTTGAACCATACAATCCACGGGCAGATGAAGTAGAGTTAACCTTTTTGCAGTGACCTTGGCATATGAGGACATAGTCAGCACTATGCCAAGCCACATTTATTTTCCCTAACGTTGGTCAGGTATCCATCAGAGTTGGGTGGAGTCAAGTATGTACAAACTTGAGCCTGGAATACGAACTTGAGGCTTTCATGTTAGCTCTACCATTTTGACCACAGCAACCGCTACACCAGCCAATACCAATCACTTATTCCTGTTGAAACAAGAGTAAAGCAACCACCAGTTACCTGGGGAGAGTTGTTGGCTCCTCTGTTGTTAGAAACAAGAGTAAACCAACCACCAGTTACCTGAGGAGAGTTGTTGGCTCCTCTGTTGTTAGAAACAAGAGTAAAGCAACCACCAGTTACCTGGGGAGAGTTGTTGGCTCCTCTGTTGTTAGAAACAAGAGTAAACCAACCACCAGTTACCTGAGGAGAGTTGTTGGCTCCTCTGTTGTTAGAAACCAGAGTAAACCAACCACCAGTTACCTGGGGAGAGTTGTTGGCTCCTCTGTTGTTAGAAACAAGAGTAAAGCAACCACCAGTTACCTGGGGAGAGTTGTTGGCTCCTCTGTTGTTAGAAACCAGAGTAAACCAACCACCAGTTACCTGAGGAGAGTTGTTGGCTCCTCTGTTGTTAGAAACAAGAGTAAAGCAACCACCAGTTACCTGGGGAGAGTTGTTGGCTCCTCTGTTGTTAGAAACCAGAGTAAACCAACCACCAGTTACCTGAGGAGAGTTGTTGGCTCCTCTGTTGTTAGAAACAAGAGTAAAGCAACCACCAGTTACCTGGGGAGAGTTGTTGGCTCCTCTGTTGTTAGAAACCAGAGTAAACCAACCACCAGTTACCTGAGGAGAGTTGTTGGCTCCTCTGTTGTTAGAAACCAGAGTAAACCAACCACCAGTTACCTGGGGAGAGTTGTTGGCTCCTCTGTTGTTAGAAACCAGAGTAAACCAACCACCAGTTACCTGAGGAGAGTTGTTGGCTCCTCTGTTGTTAGAAACAAGAGTAAAGCAACCACCAGTTACCTGGGGAGAGTTGTTGGCTCCTCTGTTGTTAGAAACCAGAGTAAACCAACCACCAGTTACCTGAGGAGAGTTGTTGGCTCCTCTGTTGTTAGAAACAAGAGTAAAGCAACCACCAGTTACCTGGGGAGAGTTGTTGGCTCCTCTGTTGTTAGAAACCAGAGTAAACCAACCACCAGTTACCTGAGGAGAGTTGTTGGCTCCTCTGTTGTTAGAAACAAGAGTAAAGCAACCACCAGTTACCTGGGGAGAGTTGTTGGCTCCTCTGTTGTTAGAAACCAGAGTAAACCAACCACCAGTTACCTGAGGAGAGTTGTTGGCTCCTCTGTTGTTAGAAACAAGAGTAAAGCAACCACCAGTTACCTGGGGAGAGTTGTTGGCTCCTCTGTTGTTAGAAACCAGAGTAAACCAACCACCAGTTACCTGAGGAGAGTTGTTGGCTCCTCTGTTGTTAGAAACAAGAGTAAAGCAACCACCAGTTACCCGAGGAGAGTTGTTGGCTCCTCTGTTGTTAGAAACCAGAGTAAACCAACCACCAGTTACCTGAGGAGAGTTGTTGGCTCCTCTGTTGTTAGAAACAAGAGTAAAGCAACCACCAGTTACCTGGGGAGAGTTGTTGGCTCCTCTGTTGTTGCATGCTGGTGCTGTCAGCTAAAGCACTCTGTACATCAGATTTGTGTTCTGGATGGTGAGGCCTGCCTGTACCTGTGACTATGCTGGGTCTCTGGGCCACCATAGGGTCTAGAGATGATGGTAGGGCTTGTCCTTGCATGCCTCGATTTCCTACAAGAAATATTTATATAGAAAATAATAGTGAGATTCTATACATATTGTATAAAGTAATATATGCATTAATTTATTTTTAGTTCTTATGTAAGTATAATAGTGCTATGTGAATGTGACCAACACAAATAATCATGGGATTTTATGTATATTGTATAAAGTTAATATAGAGGCCTAAATTAGATTTTTGTTAGTTCTTATGTAAGTATAATAGCTATAGTGGCTTTATGTGTGTGTGATCAATTCAAGGTTAATGTTATTACAACAATAAGTCACAAAGAAAATATATTTATTTGTATAAAAAGTAAAACAGGCATTTTAAAAATTTAGTTCATACGTTATTCTAATTTAAAGTAGCAAATACAAACTGAAATGAGCGTACTGACCTTGAGGCCAGCCAGAGTTTTTATCATCTCTGGTACTGTGAGGTGAAGCCTTGCCCCTGGCATCTGCCTGCGCCCCCTGACCCCCCATCATGTAGACCATGTTCTGGTTGGCAGCCACCACCATTGGGTGACGGTGATCTATCCCTGGCTGGGGCTGTCGCTGGGGTGGGGCATGTGGGTGGGAGGGAGCCGGTGGAGGGTGACCTGGTTCTCTGCCACCTCTGGGTGATAAACCTTCCTCCCGCTCCCCTTTCTGACCACGTGGCATTTGCTGAGCGGTCAGGTAGTCACTCATGATAGTCTGGCGAGAGCTGTAAGGCGGGTTCTGTTCACCTTGATACTGCGCGTACGGAGCTCCTTGCGGGTACTGGCCTTGCTTACAGTACACAGCCTGCTGCTGCGGGTACTGCCCTCTGTCGTAGACCCCAGTTTGGTGGCGGTAGTTTGGGTCAATCCTCTGGGCCCCATCCCCAGCCGGTCCACTGGTTCTCCCTATCTCCCTCACAGGGGTGCCCTTGGTGATGGACCCCTGCTGCGCTGGGGGTGGGGCGGGCTGACGCACCATGGCCGACGCTTGCACAGCAGAGCTGACAGGTGTGCCCTGAGTGATGGAGCCCGCTCGGATCATCATGTGGGGGTTGTTGGATGGGGGGGAACGGGCCTGCTTTGGGGACGCCCTCTGAGCACTGCTGGTGATCAGGGGAGGTGGCGGTGGAATACGGGCAGGAGAATATCGAGTTTCAATGGCATGAGGGTAGGGGGATGAACTCTGTCCAGTGCCCCGAACATTAGGAGAAACTGATCTAGGTTCAACCTAATATTAAAAGAACATGGATCAGTATTTAGAATACACAAGTACATTTAAATAATCATTTAATTAATGACAAACACAAATGTATAGGTACATTCTATATACTACTAAAACTCAAGTTGTTTACATGTTTGTATATTTATTTTTTGTTTGTCTGTTTGGTTACATGAGAGCATCTGCATTTGTAGAACTGTAAAATATGTATTTATGTAGAGAATAATGTTCTTTTTTACCAAACTTTTATTTAAACACAAATAAATTTAAAGATGTTAATTAATTTTTTGATACATTCGTTGGTAGAAACACCACTTTAATAATAAAAGTTTAGATCAAACACGTTATTTTCTCAAAAACTTAAAAACTGTCACCGGTTTAGTTAGAGATGTCACTTGATGTTAAGGCCAAACCAAAAATAGTTTCACAGAAAAATACAGGGACATTTAGCGATGTCCCTTGAAAAGTATAAAAATAAAAGGCATACTGAAACTCAAACTTTAAGGCCAAACCAAAAATAATAAGTTAAAAAGAAAAAACATACAACAATAGAAACACAATCAATAATTTAAACTCTTTATTAAACTATTTCAGGCCTTAATTATTTTATATAAATCTTTGTTTGTTTAGGAATGGAATTTGTTAAATTAGGATATAATTTAATTTTTAATTTAAAATAATATTCGCGTAACCTAATTTACTCATGCTGGCTCTAAGTTAACCCAATAAATGTGCATCCCATCGTAAGTGCCCAAATGGCTGAGATGATAGTGTAATAGTTACCATGCGGGTGGTACGAGTTCGAGACACATCATGTCAGTATTAATTATTTTTTAAATTTTTGTATTTGAATTTTTAATGCACAGTGGGAAACCACAACACACGCAATTGGTTATAATTCATTACTATTAGTTTGACGTAACATTTAATACTTTATTCATTTATTATTCAAATGAGGTTTGAGCTTAAAAAATATTATAGAAAGAAATTGATGTTTTTAAAATGTAAACATATGTAAGCTGAGGTTTGACTTCTTTTTATATGTAAATGATAAAGTTGCCTATAGGGACATGCTTGGACATGGGGCAGCGGAAGTAGAGTTCACCTGTTTCTGTGACCTAAGAATATGAAGGGATAGTGTGATCAGATCCATGCTCAGCCGAAATCGGTGTTTTAAAAGACAAAAACATGTCTGAGGTGTGACGTTTTTATTTAATATGGGGTCTGGCTTTTTGTGACTATGTGTGACAGTGAGAAGGGAAGGGGAAAGATGAAAATCATCAAACGTGACATCATTTATGGATTACACTCAAAACCCACGGTTATTCAAGAATAACGGGTAGTCTAGTACAACCTAATACTAAATGAACAAGGATTAGTATTTTAAATACACAAGTACATTTAAATAAACATTTATTTAACACAAACGTGTATAGATACAATACAAAAGAGTTTTGCTAACTAATTACAGCAAATCTATGAGATCCTGCCTACCTGATAAACAGAAGGAGATTTGTTTCTGCTGTCTGGCCTGTGCATTGGCTTGCCCAGGTCCTGAACTCCATGGTGACTTGGTATATTGGGGGTATTATGAGAGTGGGCCGGTGGGGGTAGCCCCATTTTCAGGTTTGGTTCCATTGTTGACCGCTGGTACGTTTCTGGGCGAGGGCGGTGGGGGTCAAAGTCCCGGGGGTCACCCTTGTACCCATGCGGTCCTTTGTCTATTGGGTCGGAGCGTCTGGACAAGTCCTGTACTTCCATCTCCCCTGGTCTGGAAACAGAATAGCCGACCAGACCGCCCCTGGGGTCAGTCATATGAGGAGGGATGTTTCTGTCTTTTCTCAGATCTTGAGGGACTCGAGGTCGTACTGGCTCCATAACAGGTCCTGGTAAAATTAAAACATTTGTATATAGATTCTATGAATAGGTTCTTAAAGGATATTTTTTAATATCTGACACCCAAATTATAAAATGTATGATGATTATTAACATATTTTTATGTGTAGATTCTATAAATAACATCCAGACATTGTCTGAACTCAAAACATTCCAAATCTTAAGTATAAATAAACTTTTATTTATATACAAGATTTTATGGATATGGTCCATTATAGGATAATAATCTAATTGAAATGTTTAGCACACAAATTATGAATAATTGTACACAAAGGTTTTATGAATAATGTTAAAAGGCAAACTGCAATGAACAATAATTATCATTAAAATTATTAAAAATAAAAGCTGCAGAAATGTTAACCATGACAGACCAGGAATATAAAAAAAAAAATGTCTGACTTACTTCTCTCCTGTGGAACCTGGCTTTGAGCAGGGTCACACAGATTCCTCTCAATAGCAGAGTTGATCAGGTCTCTCACACAGGGGGGTTTACTCTGTCCTTTACCTGGCTGGAGCTGGGAGGTGTGGGGGGAGGCGGTGAGCCGGCTACCCCCCACCTCAGATGGCCGGGGTGACAGCCTGGTGTCATGGGGTTGTTCTGGCATTAAATGTGTCCCATACTGCAGGATTCTTGGGTAATCCATTGTGGTCACTTGAGGAACCTGCCAAAAGAGTTTTATTTTGGTCCCGAGTTGAATAATCACAAGAGCATCAACTCTTTAAGCCAGTAATTATTTTCACTGGAATTATTATTTCCCACTCAATATTTTTTTTAGTACTTAAGCTGCAAAATGTCTCAAATTTATTAACCAGTTGATTTAAAACCCAAACATTACTGATATAAATTAACTTTAATTGAATACCTTACACACTGATATTAATTTTAACTAATTATTTATTTATTGAAGAAAGATATTTACTTAGTTTTAAGGAGGAAAAATAAACTGTGTTTTTTTTGGGGAAAAAGATAGGCTTCTGTTGGGAAAATTAATGATAAGAATTGATTTTTATGCATTCTTACTCATAGAAAATGATGAATCCAACTAGTATTAGAATAAATACTTTAATTTTGGCTAATTTTATAACGCTGTGACGTAAACATTTACATGCAGCAGCTCAATGGGCGTTCCGCAGTGTTAAAAAAAGTTTTGTGAATGGTTTTACAAAAATATTTCTAAAAAATATAAAAATCAAACTACATGAAATAAATAAAATGAAAAATGTTAATTTTTCCACTCTAAATAAATTAGTGGAAGAAATAACATTTTAAGTGTATAAAATAATTATATTAAATGTCAAAATATATCTTGATACTTGTAGGCCTATATTTTAAAGCCGCTTTCAACAGTATGGCTATTGTAAAACTTTAGAGAACTTCTCACATTTTGACATAAAGGCTAATACTTGAATGAATTATCCCAACTGGTCTGACCAACTTACCTCCCTTATAACAGGTACCTCCCCGGTGGGTGGCCTTACCAAACTGCTTAAACTGCTGACAGGGCTGGCCCTGATACCTGGAAGTCCAGATGGTGTGGGCGGGGCTGACCCTTGCCGAGGCACAGAGAACAACTGCAAAAATGCATAATACTTCTCAGAGACCAAGTATTTCAAGCACATCAAATCAATCAAATACTCAACTGAACTGTCATGAGGCAGATGCTATGCAATTAGTCTGTTTTGTTTCTTTAACAGGATAATTTTACTGTCATTACATAAACAAGATATTTGCCCTCTTTACACCAGTACATAAAAGTTGTATACAGAACATTAAATGTGTAAGTGGAAGATTTGAAAACTTGAAACTTGCAGTAATACCAAGAATTCTATTTGTAGCATTGTTTTTTTTTTTCAGCCTGTATGAGTATTCTAAAAGCTGCATCTATACCACCTTGAGCATCATGACAGTTCAAATTGATTAAAAACATTTATCAGTGTAATCATTTAAAAGGGTAAATTTTGGCTTGCTCTTCCAACTGTCCTAGGCATACTCACAGGTGACTGCAGTGCACTGTGGGGAGTCCCACCACGGGAGCCGAGCCCTGATGAAGGGGGCCGATGTACAACCTCCAGTGGTGACTGGCTGTAGGTGCTGGTAGGGGCTGAGCCACTGACTGTGCTGATGGGATGTGGAACATGGGAGCTGGGGCCTCCAGGTGGGCCTAAAATGTTTACAGGAAAATATTTATAGGATGTTTTAGAGAGATTCTGATTTACAGGAGTAATCGATTACAGTGATGTTTACATTTTAGACACACAAGAAAACAATGTAAATATTATACATTATTTAAAAAACACTTTTTCTTGATTGCTCAAGAGTTTTATTATTACTTATGAAACAAATAAAAAAAAATGAAACAAAAATGACACAACAAATAATCTGTATACAAGATTATATGATAGTCAGCTACAAAATTTTGACAATTTTTTGTTAAAAAAAACTTAGCCCTACTCTTTTAAAAAAATATGACCCAAGTCTACTCAAAGCTGAGTTAGACAACACTAAAAAAAAAAGCGAAAGCTCACTCCACTGACAAACTTGACTTGAGCCACTAAACTGCCCAAATTCCCCCAAGCCTGGGCTAAACTAACCACCACATACCTTCATCAGCACTCATGGTGGCACTGCTGTCATTGTCCATGCTGCGCAGGCTGCCCTGTGAGGCACTCAGCTGTTTGTTGTTCTCAGACAAGTTGTTGCTGGGGACTGAGGCATTCTCAGTTTCCCCAGAAGAAACCCTGGGCTCTACAATATGATCTCCTTCACCTAGGAAGAAAAAATAAATTCCCGTGATATTTTATAGTGTGAAAATATATGGAAATAAATGCCTAACATTAGTGAATAATATATTTTAAAAAAGTAAGAAACATACCTTCTTCAATCCTAGGTGTTGGGCTGGGTGCACTGGCTGTATCACTGTCATCTCCATTGTCTTCATCATTGTCATCATCACTGACTGAAACCTCATCCTCTGACCCAGCTGTTACAGTGGATGTTATACTCTCACATGTGGAGGTTGTACGACGATCGCCACACTGAAACAAGGAAATAATTTTTCATTCCTTTCTAGCAGTGACTTCAATATTTATTTGAATCAACTTCTCATAAGTATTAAAAATACTATGATTTCTTGAGTGTTAAATTAAAATAACTTTTTAAATCAAGATTGAGTTTATTTTAATTTTCCCATTTAAAAATGTTTTTCTAAAGTAAAAAATAAAATATCTCACAGAGTCTTTATGCTCCTCAAGTATGGCCTCCAAGTTAAATTTCTTTTTATAATTAAAAAAGAAATTCTTGCACTGGGCTTCTGTCTTTGTCCCAATGAGTGCAGCTATGGCTGGCCAATCTTTACCATGTTTACGTAACCCTGGAAACAAAAACAGAGTCAACATAACATTGGGCTCATCTAAAAAACAACTTATTATCCCATCTTAAGTTTAAATCTTTTAAAATGTGTTATATTATAACACAACATATATACCATTGCTTTACAAACCTTTTTTAGCTTTCTCCATTTCATCCTCCGTCCATCTTGAGTTCTCTGACATATCTATCATGTGTATAACATAAAATAATTTCATTCAATAAATAGCCTAATTCACAAGGACAAAGTAAAACATTGAAGTAATTAGGGCCTATAGCTACTAACAAACTGAATTTCAATTAGTAGTGGTAAGTAAATTAGGGTGTCAACTGTTGTAAATTTTACTGTGATAATACTAAAAGTAGCAGTTTAAAAATCAAAACTAAGATAAAAATTAAGGTAAAAATGACTGGGTTTTAACCTGCATCTCCCCCATCACTGGTGCTCTCTGCTGGTCCACTGGTCACCTCTGGGGCTGCAGACGTGACACTGGACTCTGCTGCTTGGTGAGTGCTCCCCAGGCGTCTCATTATCCTGTTGAAACACGCTGAGCAGCACTTAGAAATATCTTCTTTCAACTCTGCAATCAAAATAACATTACTTAGCTGAGAAGTAAAAAAAAAAATTTTTTTAAATATTTTTTAACGGTTTAAAATTGTGATTGGTTACACAGCTTTAAGTTTGGTTCACTAGCTTTACTCACGCAACTCCTGCATGATGGTGCTCTTCAGTTCGGGGGATAACTCATGCCAGGTATTAGGCACAGGCCTCAATCTTTTGGTGCGCTTTCTTGGTGTACGGCATGTTGGGATGGGGCAACTGAAATCATGATTTAAAAGCTAAAACATACGAGTTATATTTTCTTGTTAATAGGTTTCTGATGGCAATACCCTAGTTCTCCTTGCTTTAATGAGCAAGTGACTCATGTTAGGGCAAGTAAACTTGACTGTGGACTAAGCTTACCACACAAAAAGTCATATTCAGAGGTAAAAACTTTTTTAGGGTAATAGATTTACAGTGAGGAGAGCAGCGTCTCTGATTCAGGTAATTTGACTAATGTTTATCGCAGCTTTCATTTAGGTAATATGACATATAATCTCTGCATAAGGTAATATGAAAAATATTTATAGCATCTCTTATTGATAACATGACAAAAACTTAGAAAATTTCATTTAGGTAATGTGAGAAACGTTTAAAAAATTTTTCATATAGGTAGAAATATTTTAAAAACAAGTTACTGCGTAAATCTTTTCCTGACAGTCCGACAGTGACATGACCGACAAACTCTCATGTCATCTTGTACGTCAGCAGGGGCTACGCTGTACTGGTCACAGTTGGCAGTGGTCAGGGGTCGGCTCAGACCAAAGTGGGCCAGTTCAACTTTACACACTGCACAGTTGTGGACCCCACCTATGAGTAGAATTTGTAAAAATTCACTAGTTAAATCAGAAAGCAATTATGATTTTTAAACATTTTAACACACTAAAGGGGCACTAAATATTTCTCATTATGATTAGAAAACACATGGATCAAACATCACCATTTACATTATGCGCTAGACTGCTAACCCGTAAGTCTTGAGTTTGAATCTGGGTGGAACATCCCTGAGTCCACCCAGCTCTGATGGGTACTCACGTTAGGAAAGTAAAGGCGGCTGGCCAAAATATACCTTTATATTAGAGGTGACAGAAACAGGTGAACTCTACTTCATTTGCCCCATGGGTCATCAGGTTCGAAAAAAGAACTTTTACTTTTATTTACATTACGAGCCCTGTTCTATCATCTAAATGCAGTAAAGCCAGCAAAACAACCAAACTTGATAAGCATTACTTACATGATGAACACAATCTAGCCAAAAAAACATACTAAATATCATATTGTTGGAATTTGAATAAGCCAGGTATATAATATAGAAATCAGCCATACCTTCATTTTCATTAGCAACTGCCTCCCCTTCAGAGATGTCAGCATCTCCTCCTTTCTCTTTCTCTTCCTCTTTCACTTCTTTTTTTAGCCTACTAAAATAGAAATTAATTTTTTTTTAAACTTATTTTCTTATATAACTTACTAACTATACACCTATTTCTTGAAAAGCAAATTAAAGTTTCACTCATCTCACTCAAATTTAAATGCAATATTCACAAATATCTTTAGCTATAAAATTTAAAATAAAACTTGTGAAAATAAATCTTAAATTATTGGAGAAAAAATATGGTAAACATGCAATAATTTTATAAAACATTAAATGAACTGATGCTGTCATTACAAAGCCACTCACTTATCAGTTGAAGAGCTCTCAGTCTCTGTCCCAGGTTCAATTTTCACATCAACCTTCCCGCAAGCATTGGCTGAAGTGGACTGTTCCTCCTGCTGTTGCTGCTGCTGCTGTTGTCTAAGCTGCTCTTGTTGTTGCTGCTGTTGTTGACGCAGCTGTTCTTGTTGCTGTCAAGACAAAGTAGTCATTTCAGTCAGAGCCAAAATTGCTTAAACTGATAATAGAATATTCTGTTGCATAAACACTAAAGTGTTAAGTAGTCGGCACAGACAGGTTTATCATGTGATAATTCTAAACAGATCAAAAGCAAACGTCTGAATTGTTTTACCATCGTGCTATGACTTGAAATCAAATTAGCAGAGTAAATCACAAGAAATATTTTGAACAAGAAATAATGTCCAAAACTTTTTTATTCCAACTCCAGTATATGCAACATACAGTGGAGAAAAGTGAACCTAAGACCTAAAACAAATGTTTGAAATGTAATTCCTCTTCTTTACCTCTTACACTGTAATTGCTGACAGCAGTAAGCACTTCTATATAATTCAGCTTTTTTAAAATGTAACTATCTGTAGTTATCCAGAAGTTTATAGTCAAGTTTCATACCTGTGCCTTAGTCATGTTGCGTTTCCTCTTCATGTTTTGTTTCCTCAAAAGTTGTTTATAGTTTTCACTTTTCTTGGTCAGATAATAAAACTGGACACAATCAGGAACACTCTAGAAATAAATTTAAATTATTATTTCCTAATATGTAGTTTTTTTCCCTTAAGGTTGAATATAAGAAAAGCTTTAACTAGTAATTTAGTTAAATAAAAATAAACATGTCAGCCTAGGATTTTTTTAATGGCATAAGGACAAAATTCCCATGAACCTACTTTCTGAGGCAAGAATGAAGCGATGACAACAAAGTTTTTGGGGTTCTGCAGGTATTTCTCTTTAAAAATCTGCCTCTCTGCCTCAGTCCAGCGGGCTGTGTAGTTCTGGGCCTCCTTGTGCACCTCCAGGGCATCTTCTAGCAGACCGTTGTTGTTCACAAATCTCATCTTGCGTTGTCTGGCATCCAACATCATAGGTGGTATGACTGACAGGCTACGCATTTTCTTCTCCTCCTCCTGTCAGCAGAAAGGTTCCATTCATTTGTGTGTTAGTGGTTTAGTAAATGGCTTAGAACTTACATTTGGGGGGGGGAGGACTTTACTTTCATAAGGGTGGATCTGTATTTAGATTAGGGTGGATCGATACTTAGATTCAGGTGGATCAGTGTTTACATTAGGGTGGATCAGTGCTTACATTAGGGTGGGTCAGTGCTTACATTAGGGAGGATCATTGCTTACATTAGGGTGGATCTGTACTTAGATTAGGGTGGATCAGTGTTTACATTAGGGTGAATCAGTGCTTACATTAGGGTGGATCAGTGCTTACTTAAGGGTGGATCAGTGCTTACATTAGGGTGGATCAGTGCTTACATTAGGGTGGATCAGTGCTTACATTAGGGTGGAATCAGTGCTTACATAAGGGTGGATATGTATTTAGATTAGGGTGGATCAATACTTAGATTCAGGTGAATCAGTGCTTACATTAGGGTGGAGCAGTGCTTACATTAGGGTGGAATCAGTGCTTACATAAGGGTGGATATGTATTTAGATTAGGGTGGATCAATAGTTAGATTCAGGTGAATCAGTGCTTACATTAGGGTGGATCAGTGCTTGCATTAGGGTGGATCAGTGCTTACATTAGGGTGGGTCAGTGCTTACATTAGGGTGGATCAGTGTTTACATTAGGGTGGATCAGTGCTTACATAAGGGTGGATCAGTGCTTACATTAGGGTGGATCAGTGCTTACATTAGGGTGGATCAGTGCTTACATTAGGGTGGATCAGTGCTTACATTAGGGTGGAATCAGTGCTTACATTAGGGTGGAATCAGTGCTTACATAAGGGTGGATATGTATTTAGATTAGGGTGGATCAATACTTAGATTCAGGTGAATCAGTGCTTACATTAGGGTGGATCAGTGCTTACATTAGGGTGGATTAGTGCTTACATTAGGGTGGAATCAGTGCTTACATAAGGGTGGATATGTATTTAGATTAGGGTGGATCAATACTTAGATTCAGGTGAATCAGTGCTTACATTAGGGTGGATCAGTGCTTACATTAGGGTGGATCAGTGTTTACATTAGGGTGGATCAGTGTTTACATTAGGGTGGATCAGTGCTTACATTAGGGTGGATCAGTGCTTACATTAGGGTGGGTCAGTGCTAACATTAGGGTGGAATCAGTGCTTACATTAGGGTGGAATCAGTGCTTACATAAGGGTGGATATGTATTTAGATTAGGGTGGATCAATACTTAGATTCAGGTGAATCAGTGCTTACATTAGGGTGGATCAGTGCTTACATTAGGGTGGATCAGTGCTTACATTAGGGTGGATCAGTGCTTACATTAGGGTGGGTCAGTGCTTACGTTAGGGTGGATCAGTTCTTACATTAGGGTGGGTCAGTGCTTACATTAAGGTGGGTCAGTGCTTACATTAGGGTGGATCAGTGCTTACATTAGGGTGGATCAGTGCCTACATTAGGGTGGATCAGTGCTTACATTAGGGTGGATCAGTGCTTACATTAGGGTGGATCAGTGCTTACATAAGGGTGGATAAGTGCTTACATAGGGTGGATCTGTACTTAGGTTAAGGTGGATCAGTGCTTACATTAGGGTGGATCAGTGCTTAGGTTAAGGTGATCAGTGCTTACATTAGGGTGGAATCAGTGCTTACATAAGGGTGGATATGTATTTAGATTAGGGTGGATCAATACTTAGATTAGGGTGGATCAGTGCTTACATTAGGGTGGATCAGTGCTTACATTAGGGTGGATCAGTGCTTACATTAGGGTGGGTCAGTGCTTACGTTAGGGTGGATCAGTGCTTACGTTAGGGTGGATCAGTTCTTACATTAGGGTGGGTCAGTGCTTACATTAAGGTGGGTCAGTGCTTACATTAGGGTGGTTCAGTGCTTACATTAGGGTGGATCAGTGCTTACATTAGGGTGGATCAGTGCTTACATAATGATGGATAAGTGCTTACATAGGGTGGATCTGTACTTAGGTTAAGGTGGATCAGTGCTTACATTAGGGTGGATCAGTGCTTACATTAGGGTGGATCAGTGCCTACATTAGGGTGGATCAGTGCTTACATTAGGGTGGATCAGTGCTTACATTAGGGTGGATCAGTGCTTACATAAGGGTGGATAAGTGCTTACATAGGGTGGATCTGTACTTAGGTTAAGGTGGATCAGTGCTTACATAGGGTGGATCTGTACTTAGGTTAAGGTGGATCAGTGCCTACATTAGGGTGGATCAGTGCTTACATTAGGGTGGATCAGTGCTTACATTAGGGTGGATCAGTGCTTACATAAGGGTGGATCAGTGCTTACATAGGGTGGATCTGTACTTAGGTTAAGGTGGATCAGTGCTTACATAAGGGTGGATCAGTGCTTACATAAGGGTGGATAAGTGCTTACATAGGGTGGATCTGTACTTAGATTAAGGTGGATCAGTGCTTACATAAGGGTGGATCTGTACTTAGATTAGGGTGGATCAGTGCTTAGGTTAAGGTGATCAGTGCTTACATTAGGGTGGATCTGTACTTAGGTTAAGGTGGATCAGTGCTTAGGTTAAGGTGATCAGTGCTTACATAAGGGTGGATCTGTACTTAGATTAGGGTGGATCAGTGCTTAGGTTAAGGTGATCAGTGCTTACATAAGGGTGGATCTGTACTTAGATTAGGGTGGATCAGTGCTTAGGTTAAGGTGATCAGTGCTTACATTAGGGTGGATCAGTGCTTACATTAGGGTGAATCAGTGCTTACATTAGGGTGGATCAGTGCTTACATTAAGGTGGATCATTGCTTACATTAAAGTGGATCAGTGCTTACATTAGGGTGGATCAGTGCTTACATTAGGGTGGATCAGTGCTTACATTAAGGTGGATCATTGCTTACATTAAAGTGGATCAGTGCTTACATTAGGGTGGATCAGTGCTTACATTAGGGTGGATCAGTGCTTACATTAAGGTGGATCATTGCTTACATTAAAGTGGATCAGTGCTTACATTAGGGTGGATCAGTGCTTACATTAGGGTGGATCTGTACTTAGATTAGGGTGGTTCTGTACTTTAGGGTTAAGTATTTAAACAATGTTTAGTAAATTAAGAGCAGTTCATTATTGTAGAATGGCTAAGCAATCCAATGATAATATGAAGAAGTAGATACTACATTGTTTACAATGGTGAAGTAAACAATGATAACAACTTTGGCATGCCTTTATGTGTACAAAGACTATTTAAACAATGATAAAAACATAATTGCTATTTAATGATGTTGACAGTGGCTATGTATTTAAACAATATTATAGGCTGAAAATAAGATTTCTCTGCATAATAGCTGTACCTCATAGCTGAACTGGAAAATGATTTGCTATTGATTTTAGAAAGTGAGGGTATAGTCACGAACTCCTTTGTACTTTTTCTTATTATTTGAAATATTCATACAAGTTAAATAGCCATATTTTTTTATTACAGCAGAACATGCATGTCTTTCTAGTGTTTGACAATAGAAGTCGTGTAAAACAGATATATACAGAGGTCATAAAGCCACATGGTTAAAGTGCGAGCCTAAGCCAGTCACTGCCCTTAGCTCAGCTACAACATTACCTCCTGCTCAGTGAGTCCGTCCATGATCTGCTCCATCTCTGCATCACTGCGCACATATCCACCTTGTCCACTGCGCGTGCCTTGTTTGCTAAGCATAGAAAAACGCAGGGATCTTACATTTCTACAGGGAGAAACTGCATGTCATCAACAACTTGCAAGTCCTTACACAAATTATGGCATTGCACATTTTTAAAATTTAATTTTCCCAGCACTATATTGATTTAAAAAAAAAAAATTGTTGCAAAGCCATACTCAGGGATTATGTGACTGACAAGTGAAAATAAACAGAATAATTGATCACTTATTTAATAACTAAACGATGCCCTAATGACTTACCTCTCTTTCTCTTCTCTTAACTTCTTTATTTCAGGAAATATTTTTTCATAAAATTCCCTCATCTTTGCTTCCTTAGCCCTATAAATAGAAAAGGCGAAAATGTTACATGTATAAACTTGGGTAACAAACTATTACAATTTTAAAACGATGAGAAAATGATAAGCTGATGTAAACAACAAGACTGACTTTCTCTTTGAATTATTTTCTGTTTTCTCTGTTTTCTTCAGCCAAGACTGCATAAGCTGGTCATATCTTTCTGTTAGATACCTCTCCTGTGTTCAAGATATAAAAGACCATATTTTATTTCACATTCCTGGGACAGAAGAACTTCATAGAAAATTGGGTTATATAAAGATACATTTGTTTTATTCCTAAAATACATTCAGTCATTCAGTTTTCTTCGCTTTTGTGTGATCAATACTAAGGAGGGGGAAGTAATGAGTGTCTTGGAATTCTTTTGTTTGCCTCTTTAAATAATTATAGAAAATAATTTTAATATTCAACTGCCCTAAGTGGCAACTTATCTCAGGAGTAGTTTTTCAAACAGAAAATATTGATGGTGTGGCAATATTTGCTGATAATTAAATTTAATAATTGTAATTAATTGTATCAAATTGGGATAAAAGATAGAACCAAATATAATAGTTTTACAGATAAAATTTCTGTCCAAAAATGACATTTTAAAATCAATAGATTGATATGCATATTCAGTGTTTGACACATATAGGGTATTTTACACCAAGAAGCATTATTTTAAGGATATAACATGTTTTATTTCTTTGAATTTAACTACATGACTATCAAATAAAAAATACATGTAACAGGGTCAATTAGTACATAGAATTATTTTCTGCTAATATTCAACTGCCAAGCTGTTTTTAACTCAAACAGCTTCGAGGGACAACTAAGTGTGATGGTCATGGATGATTTCCCATTGCACTAGGAAAACTCTGTCCTGCCTTCTTTCAAGTGTTATCTCCCCTATTCATCAACATTCTTACTGAAGGGAGGTCATATGGTGCACAGTCATGTAGGTGGTGCATGTACAAAGTGGTGGTGGTGGTGAGTACAAACTAAGGTTAAGGTTTTTCTGGGTTGAGTAAACAGCTGTTAAGGACAAGTTTTTTTTCTCCTTTCATAACTACTAAACAATAATACATATATGGATTAAATTTTTATATTTTTTTTTCAGCTTAACACATTCATTTTAAAAAAATACCAAGTTAAAAAAGGTCGGTTAACTATTGTTATATTTGTTTTGTGTTGTTATAAAACAAGTTATACTGCGGTAGCAATGAAATTCCCAACTAATGGTAACTGTTGCTGTGGCTAAAATGTTGGCTAAATGACAAAAATTTTTTTTTACTGATATGAAGTGCCCAAATTATGGTATATAATAAAATATTTAGCTAAAATTCCTACTTCCTTGAACAATACTGAATTGTGGGAGCTTGTTATGATGGGAAGACGTTCTCAGAGAAGGAATTTTACACTAGACAAACTAACTAAAGATAATAGTGGTTTACACTGTGACTAATGTAGTGGTTTACACTGGGACTAATATAGTGGTTTACACTGAGACTAATGTAGTGGTTTACACTTAGCTAATATAGTCGTTTACACTAGGACTAATGTAGTGGTTTACATTTGGCTAATAGAGTGGTTTAAACAGGGACTAATATAATGGTTTACACAGAGACTAATATAGTGGTTAGATGTACAAAAGATGGTTCGAGTGTGGTTGAGGGTGGCAAACCCAGAGTTTCATAGGATAAAATGGTATATCAAATACAAGGTAAAATTAGACACAAAAATACATTAGATTTACTAACCCGGATTCTTCTAGCCTGATGTCTTCTTTTCAAATGAAGAATAAGTCTGGATCTAAACTCTTTGTGTCTGAATTTTAAAAACAACAATATGTTAGAAAAAATTTAAACACATCTTTAGTGCTTTGCTTAAAATAAAAATAAAAACACTATTTATATTCTTATTTTCATTCTTATTTACAGTCTTATTTCTTACTAGTTGAAAGTATAGATATTTTCTAAAAATATGAAACAACTAAACAAAAGATATCTTTTAAATAAAGGCCATTCTTTTTCAAACTGCTTACTGATTGTACAAATTCTCCAATGAAAGAAGCTACCCTTTATAGAAATATTTTTATGTCACGATTTTTTGCTATTTGAAAATGACTATAGAAATTCCATAGTATATGATTGCAAACAAAAGGTATCTTTAAGATGAAACATTCTTACTAGTTGAATTTATAAAACAAATATAGATATTCTCATGCATAAGTGATACTAGGCAAATACACATCTTTAAAATATGGTTACACTAGGTTTGTGAGATAAATTTTTAGTTTAAAGTGGTACAAGTCTAGCACTTTGACCCATCATAAATATAAAATATTTGTCTTACAGTAAGAAGTGATAGTTGAATAAAGTTACAAAGTAGATTTGAATTGCATAATTGTTCATTATCTCTATAATTCAGTGGTTAACATTGCCTTAAATGGATGAGTATTGTTAATTTCTCTTTTATTCAGTGGTTAACATTGCTTTTTTTAAAGTGGTGAGAATTATGCCTTGTCTCAACGAGTCAATAGTTATCATTGTTTGCTCATTTGTCTCTATGAGTCAGTGGTTATCATTGTTTGCTCATTTGTCTCTGTGAGTCAGTGGTTATCATTGTTTGCTCATTAGTCTCTGTAAGTCAGTGGTTATCATTGTTTGCTCATTTGTCTCTATAAGTCAGTGATTATCAAAGTTTGCTCATTTGTCTCTGTAAGTCACTGGTTATCATTGTTTGCTCATTTGTCTCAACGAGTTTGTTCATTTTTCTCTATGAGTCAGTGGTTTAAGTTGTTTTAAAGTGTTGAGAATTGTTCATAGTCTCTATGAGTCAGTGGTTAATACTGTTTTAAAGTGGTGAGAATTGTTCATAGTCTCTATGAGTCAGTGGTTAATACTATTTTAAAGTGGTGAGAATTGTTCATAGTCTCTATGAGTCAGTGGTTAATACTATTTTAAAGTGGTGAGAATTGTTCATAGTCTCTATGACTCAGTGATCAACCTAACCACCACCAGTGTCTAAGCCTGCTCTTTATCTCAGTGTCCTGGGGTGCCAGCTCTTAGCACCATTCTAGAGCATCAAATGTTGTTGTGTTGTGACAGATGATGGAACAAGTATACATGTATCCTGATATTCCCACCAGTCCATGCAGCAGTTCAGACAAGACAAACATAAACAAGTTGATAATGCAGACTAAACACTTCCAACCTATTGACCTACTTACTTCTTGATGTTCTCATGGTACACAGGTGTATCAGATGGCTGGTGGTACAGTGGCTGTAACAAGGGACGTAAAAATAAAAAACAAGGCTGGGTTATTGTTCTTGGTGACCTAACATTTCATAGTGTCAGATGGTTTGATTTGTTTGGAAATTAAACCATCTGCATGTAATTTTTTACATTTTTACATGGCATGTTATGAGAACTGCAATGAATTTGGTATGTATAAAGGTGGCTGAAAATTTTAAAATAGCAAAGCAACCACATTGTAAAAATTTTAAAAATTGAGATAAATATTATTTAGGTCATCAGTAAATACAGTATTCAATAAAGAATTCGGACTTGTCTAGTTTAAAAAAATAAAACCATTAAAAAAAGTACAAAACCTGTCACTTGTATATATTTGGTAATCTGATTACAACAGTTTTGTTACATTCATCATTTCAGCAATAAAAATAGAGCTTGGAAATTTTTTTTATTTCAAAACAAGGAATGTCATAGAAACTTACCAAATCAATTTTAGGTCCCAACTGTTCAAAAACTTTATGGGCAGCTTCTGCTTTTTTCTGAAAAAATCATTACAAATAAATGGAACATATAACACATTTAGTTAAACATTTTCATACATATTAAGATAAACAGAACAAGTTTAAAAAAGAATTATTCATAATGTCATCAGAGATTAAATCTATCCCCTCTATTGCTTGCTCTTAAGTTTATTTATTAATAATTACGAATGGAATATCCTAATTTTTGTCAACACTTTAGTGATAATTTAAATAAATATTCACTCCTCAGTTATTTGCAATGACACATCACCCGTCTAAAAATAACCAGGGACTGAATATCTAAAGAATATCTGCCCTCACCCTGTTTTCAGCATAAATAATCTGAGCAATGCTCTGGTGTTTGGGCTCATAAGACAGCTCATGGTCGTGGCTCTTCTCTTCATGAGGCTTGTTCTTGTCTTCCAGAAGCTGGGCCTGTGTACACACATACAGCATCAGTTGAGTGGACCAGAACAGGCGATACAACATTAAATCATTGAACCAGATTCACAAAAAACTCCATTGCTCAAGCAAAAACAATGACAACTCAGTTTTGACTACACATCTATTGCATGAGCAATAGACTATTTGTGAACCTTGTTCAATCTTTACACCACCTCTAATGTATGACCCCTGACTTTAAAATAATGATAACATCTGTCCACACCTGTTTCTTCTTGAGCTTAGAAATCTGCTGCTCCACATTGACCATCTCCCTGTCCACCTTGTCAATATTGGCCAGCAACTCTTCCCTCAGGATCTTGTTGGCTGGGTCTTCTTGTGGGAGGATGGGAGAGATGGCCTCTACTTGTGGGGTGTAGGCTGGCTCCTGAAACACACAGTACCCAACATATGAACATACAATAACACAGCAAGATAAGACATATTGTGATATGTAGATTGCCTCTACTTGTGGGGTGTAGGCTGGCTCCTGAAACACACAGTACCCAACATATGAACATACAATAACACAGCAAGATAAGACATATTGTGATATGTAGATTGCCTCTACTTGTGGGGTGTAGGCTGGCTCCTGAAACACACAGTACGCAACATAAGAACATACAATAACACAGCAAGATAAGACATATTGTGATATGTAGATTGCCTCTACTTGTGGGGTGTAGGCTGGCTCCTGAAACACACAGTACGCAACATAAGAACATACAATAACACAGCAAGATAAGACATATTGTGATATGTAGATTGCCTCTACTTGTGGGGTGTAGGATGGCTCCTGAAACACGCAGTATGCAACATAAGAACATACAATAATACAGTAAGATAAGACACATTGTGATATGTAGATGGTATCTACTAGTGGGGTGTAGGCAGGCTCCTGAAACACGTTACGCAACATAAAAACGTACATGAATATAGCAAGATAAGACATAACATAATTATTTATCACAAAGATTACTTTAACTAATTTAAAAATTACACTGGGTAATAACACAAATTAAACCACAACACAAGATTTGAGCTCCCTCTTTCACTTCTACATCCTAGGTTTGTACAGGATATCTCAAATTTATAACACAATTTAAACTGGATATAGAATAACGCAAGATTTGAACTCACCCTTTTCACTTCTACATCAACATGCAGTGGTTGGGTCAAGTCTGGTCGGTCAGCAGGGCGTGGTCTTTTGATGGGTCCGGGCCCCATCTCCACCGACCCAAGGTGAGAGGGTGGGGGTGCTCCGCCAGCCTGGCTGGAGCTAGCACCGGAGAGCCCTGAGATGACTGCCATGTTGTCTTGTGGGTAGCGTGTGAAAGCATCGTTCACTCTGTCAATAGAAATAGCTGCCCATCAGATCAAAACAATTTGACTTTCTCTGTCAATATCAATATTCATCAATCAAAACAATTGACTTCCACTGTCAATATAAATAGTTCATCACATCAAAACAATTGACTTTCACTCTAACTATAAATAGCTCATCACATGAAAATACGACAGACATGACAGCTATTTTAGCAATATAAATAGCTCATCATCAGACCAATGCTTCATTTGATAATCCCTGCCAATTGTTCATCATATCAAAATATGAATATGTTATTAGGCCTTCAATGTCAATGAAAATAACAGCTGATCACGTAAAACCTCAAAATATCATTTCATATTGACTTTGCCATTATAAATAGATGCTCATCAGGTAAAAATATCATTTGAAGTTTGCAATCATTAGGCTTAAAAGACAGGGCTTAAACAGTAACATTAACTTATTAAACATGGATGGACATGTATGGGGTTTTTTTTTTACAGGGGAGGTAAATCTGACAGTTTCAGCCGAAGGCAATGTAGAATAATAATTTGCTATTTAAAACTAGAAAATCAACAGTTACGTATATTAATTGTGTGTAATAATATAACAGTTTATTTTAAAAATGATACAAAATGTACTTTAAATTTTGTGTTACATTTTCTCTCAATATTAAACTGGGCTTAAAAGAGCTTTTTTTCCCAAGAGAGGTGATGACATACTTTTTACAGCCAGCTACATGATAATTAGACAGCAGATAAAAGGAAAGTTCCATTTCATATGATGACTTACACAACTACTCTTTTTAATACATTCACTGATCAAATGCACTCTTTCACAACACATTTTTCCTGAAGCTTATAATTGAAAAAGTTGTGTTGAATAAAAACCCTTGGGCAAAATGTGTTGTGTAGTTTAAAAAAATAATTAAAACTAGTTGTAAAGAATCATTTTGCTGGTTCAATAAATCTGCTCAGACAACAAAGAGTGTGATTGACAGAAATTTTTGAAAATTCTAAAATATAAAATTATTTATTAAAAGAAATTATACAAACCTGTCAGATTTTAATCAATGTTGTTGGTTAAATGTTTCGCTTAAACAGAAATGTAGGGGAAGATATTGATTGTTAGGGATTTTTAACTTGTGTTAAAGGTATATGTTTTGGGCTTTTTGTCAAAAGGCAATTTGAGTCAAAGAAAAAACCAAAACATGCCAAACAACCTGACTGAATAAGTCAACCAGGCAGGAGCAGGGCCTTAAAGCCCAACATGGAGCATGGCCATAAAGCCCAACATGGAGCAGGGCATTAAAACCCAACATGGAGCAGGGCCTTACCCAACATGGAGCAGGGCCATAAAGCCCAACATGGAGCAGGGCCTTAAAACCCAACATGGAGCAGGGCCTTAAAGCCCAACATGGAACAGGGCCATAAAGCCCAACATGGAGCAGGGCATTAAAACCCAACATGGAGCAGGGCCATAAAGCCCAACATGGAGCAGGGCATTAAAACCCAACATGGAGCAGGGCCATAAAGCCCAACATGGAGCAGGGCCATAAAGCCCAACATGGAGCAGGGCCATAAAGCCCAACATGGAGCAGGGCCTTACCCAACATGGAGCAGGGCCTTAAAACCCAACATGGAGCAGGGCCTTAAAACCCAACATGGAGCAGGGCCATAAAACCCAACATGGAACAGGGCCATAAAGCCCAACATGGAGCAGGGCATTAAAACCCAACATGGAGCAGGGCCATAAAGCCCAACATGGAGCAGGGCATTAAAACCCAACATGGAGCAGGGCCATAAAGCCCAACATGGAGCAGGGCCATAAAGCCCAACATGGAGCAGGGCCCCAACATGGAGCAGGGCCTTACCCAACATGGAGCAGGGCCTTACCCAACATGGAGCAGGGCCATAAAACCCAACATGGAGCAGGGCCATAAAGCCCAACATGGAGCAGGGCCATAAAGCCCAACATGGAGCAGGGCCCCAACATGGAGCAGGGCCTTACCCAACATGGAGCAGGGCCTTACCCAACATGGAGCAGGGCATTAAAACCCAACATGGAGCAGGGCCATAAAACCCAACATGGAGCAGGGCCTTACCCAACATGGAGCAGGGCCATAAAGCCCAACATGGAGCAGGGCCCCAACATGGAGCAGGGCCATAAAGCCCAACATGGAGCATGGCCATAAAGCCCAACATGGAGCAGGGCCATAAAGCCCAACATAGAGCCCATAAAGCCCAACATGGAGCAGGGCCTTAAAGCCCAACATAGAGCAGGGCCATAAAGCCCAATTGTGAAATAAAAAACACAAGTCTATGTTACAGAAAGGTTCAGAACTGAAGCTAAACAGCCTGTCAACAATAGAGTTAGACACTCAGGCTATACCTGACTGTAGCATAAAAGTTAAAACTAAAACTGATCATAATTAAAATATTAGCTTTAAAAAAATGCCTATTTACAAAAGGTAAAGAGGGCAACATGTAGTGCACTGAGTGACACAGTAATTAAAACTATTTCCTGGCAGGTCAAGTTGAAGGCCACTACTTGTGTACAGGGGTACTTGAATAAATACCTCATACAGACACTTGTACTCAGTAACCTACACACTATTGATTCGTTTTTGTTATAGTGGAGCTGCAGTTTTTATTGTTTGAATAATGGCACACATCTTTTTAGGGGGCATTATTACTTGTGCTAGAAAAAAATCATTTGAAACACATTATGGTTTTGAACTTGGTGATACCCAGAAGTGTGTTTTTTATTAAACATCTAATGTCAACATTCACTATATGACAGTAAATTTTCACCACACTGACTTTTATGTTACTGGATTATCTCACTTGTATGAACTTATCTCCCATGTATGTTACTGATTTATCTGACTTGTCTCCCTGGTATGTTACTGACTTATCTCACTTGTATGTTACTGACTTATCTCCCTTGTATCTTACTGACTTATCTCCCATGTGTTACTGACTTATCTACCTTGTATGTTACTGACTTATCTCCTATGTGTTACTGACTTATCTCCCATGTATGTTACTGACTTATCTCCCTTGTATGTTACTGACTTAGCTCCCTTGTATGTTACTGACTTATCTCCCTTGTATGTTACTGACTTATCTCCCTTGTATGTTACTGACTTATCTCCCTTGTATGTTACTGACTTATCACCATTGTATGTTACTGACTTATCTCCCATGTGTTACTGACTTTTCTACCTTGTATGTTACTGACTTATCTCCTATGTGTTACTGACTTATCTCCCATGTATGTTACTGACTTATCTCCCTTGTATGTTACTGACTTATCTCCCTTGTATGTTACTGACTTAGCTCCCTTGTATGTTACTGACTTATCTCCCTTGTATGTTACTGACTTATCTCCCTTGTATGTTACTGACTTATCTCCCTTGTATGTTACTGACTTATCTCCCTTGTATGTAACTGACGTGAATTCCTGGTCTTACAAAGTTAACTCACTTAAAATTAAACGACTTAATTACCTTTTATAATAATACTGAATCCTAAACACAACTCACTTTAAATTCTTTAATTTAGCTCCCTTGTACCCTAGCAACTTAGTGTGTACTCATCTCTTGAGTCTAATTATTATAACCCCACGTTCAATTTAAAGCTGTTTACTGCAAAACACGGAAGATGTTTACAAAATATAGCCTGCTCATATCTAGAGGTTTACAGTGTGGGGTAGTTAGCATTCAATTTTTAAATATATTTTTCTCGGCTTTCTTTATTTTTCATGTGGGAGATGATTTTTTATTATGTTATTTCCGGGGTGTTTTTTTTTTCAGACAGGGGACATCACTTTGTCTAGTCGTAGTACACACGACTGGTGTATGAAGAAATTTGAAATAGGCCTGTAATCTATACTAACTGGTGGCTAAGATTCTAGAGTCTAGAGTTTGCTTAAAACAGAACAAGTAAAAGGATTTTAAAAAAAAAAACATTAGGAGACGATTCAAATAGAATTTTCTATAAGAAGTCGCTTTGTATTTAGAGCAAGTTTTACACATTTATAAATGAAAACAAAAGAACAAGACAGTGATGTAAAATGTGTATCACTCATTAAATCTCACTACGCTGAACACCTGGACAATTATATAATGTTAGATCTGGTAATATTACAATGAGGTACACGGAAAGTGGTAGGAAGGGCATAGTTTGGCAATGTTTAGACCGGCTTATAAACGGCTGACGTATATACATACACTTAATACCTTATTCTTACTTTTATTTACATTTAACCACCTGTTTAAGATATCTGAATGTACAGCTTGTATGCATAAGATTTTGTTTAAAATACAGTTTCCATACAATAACCCGACTAAATTAGTAGCAAACTGGCATACAATGAACCATTAAACGGGGATTTAATGTAAAGAAGAGGAAACTGTGGCTTGAACTGAAAACCTTCACCCAAGTACACGCTCTTTAATTCTCAAACAACTGAGGCGGCAATCTCCCCTTTACAGCATTATTCAAGCCCAGCATGTTCTACCACCCCGCATCCAACAAATGTCGCCCTCCCGCTGACGCCAAATTTAACACTTGTTCACGCTATTTTAACCCCCATCCATCCCCCTACCCCCCAACACCACCACACACTCCCCTAGTGATCTAACCACTACATAAACCCTCCACAGCGCAGCGCGATTGTAAGGCATGTTTTATTTCAGTGAAAAACCTGTCGATTAAAGTGCACCGAGTCAACTCATCAAGTCGAGAGATTGGAGCGAGGGCTGGGCCGCACTGTGATTCATCTAGTCCGCCGCCACAGCCCACGGAGTCGTGTAGGGAGTCAGCTTTAATAGCATGAGGAGCTGTAGTCTTAACACATTCGCACTCAGCTGAACTGATCCTTCACCTCGGGAATTTCTTCAACAATGCGGAAAAACTGATAGTAAACCAGATAGCATTGTTGATATGTAGTTCTGAATTCAGCCCGATCGTTACTGCACGTCTGCCCATAAGCCGGGGAAGTTGGTGGGTCAATTCGCACGTCATGAGGTAGAAAAAAAAAAGTACGGATATTCAAGTTGAACAAAGTCTTTAAAAATGTTCAGTATGCCGAGTTATTTAAATTCTAGCAGGTCGTATCGAAGCTAAGCTGGGTTCGTTGCTTGAGGGGCTACTTTAAACCTGGCCCTAACCATGACCGAAGTTCTGATTGTAACCCTATAGCATCGCGACCTGCAAGAAAATAACCTCCATACAACACTGTAGGTTTTATTTACATTACTTTAGCTCATTTTACCCCAACATACCCCCCCCCCCCCCCCCCACAAGCGTACCACAATACGTGAAAAAATGAAGCCGACCCAATGATGTCACAGAATAGACCTCCCTCTAAATATAATTCTAAATATAAAAACCCATGATTTTTTAAAAGAAATCTAAAATATAACTCTCGTATCACGCCGTCACAAAAAAAAAAACTCCTTAAGTTTCATAGACAATCAAGGTTACTTTTTTCACAACCATTTAAAAACACCCTAGAAAGCTCCAACGGATACTTCTTACATCAAATCAGCATACAACTTAAACGTCGCGACCACGTGATATATTTAAGTCTTTATTTTACCACCGTCGACAGATCCACATGGCAGCGTACTTAACAGAATAACCAAACTCGCTGGACACTCAAAGACTTTCGCGTGATGCATTGAGTGCACTTCAAAACCTTAACCCTCGCCACTTGCAATAAGCGCTCAACACGTTGCAATATTTACGTGTTATTTTTATTTTACTTTTATCTAATATCCCCGCGAAATTAACAGATCTAAAATAGTTATTTTAACATGGGAACGACCTCAGTGAAAAATCAATGCCGATTCTAGGTGAAACAAAGATGAGATTATAGATTTTTTTTTTCTAAAAAACCTAGACATAAAACGCATCATAGTGATGTGAATAAAATATAAACCAGATCTAAACCACCTTTAAAAAAAAAAACGCATCTAGATGGTGTGAATTAAATATAAAACAGATCTAAAACACCTTAAAACGCATCATTATGGCCAGAGGCGTAGCGACCCTTCCCGGCGCCCGGGGCGAACTTTCAATTTGGCGCCCCCCCCCCCCCCCCGCTTATATATATATATATATATATATATATATATATATATATATATATATATATATATATGTGTGTGTGTGTGTGTGTGTGTGTGTGTGTATATAATTATGTGTGTGTGATAGTGTGTTTATATATAAGCTTGTGTGTGGGTAAGAGTGTATTTGTGTGTGTAAGCGTGTGTGTAAGCGTGTATGCTACAGTCCGGACAAGGTTTAATAATTACATTGTATGATTTTCATTCCTTAAAACTTTACCACAATTTAATTCCCAATAAGATGCGTTTAACTTTTTTTGCGAAAGATTAGTAATGTCAGTAAAAAAAATTAAGCCTGATCTGTGTTAGAGGGTAGTTTGTAGCTAACGCTAATATGTTTAGACCAGCCTTTTATGTTCTAGTTTTGAACGATCTCTGTTGTGATATGGTACATAGTTGGATTCGAAGTTTGTTAGAGTAAGGACACATATGTGACATACAAGAAGAAGTTATCAGAAATATTTATTGTTCACATTGGAATACGACATGGGTATTTCGTTGATTGGTTGATGGTATGACAAAACAAGCTAGAGAAAACAAACTGGAATCCAACGGATGTTAACAGCTCGTAGTCTTGGATTTCGCAGATTTGCCCTGCCTTCTCGCACACAGTTTCTTCCAGGCATCTTTTCGGGGGGGGGGGGGGGCGAAGCCCCCCGGAAAAATTTTTACGCCCCCCCGAACGAAATGAAATTTATATAATTTATATATAGAAAATATATACTTTTAACAGTGTCCGCCCCCCCCGAAGAAAGTTTACCGCCTCCCCCGTCCCCCCGAAGATTTCAAGTGCCCCCCGGAGAAAAAAGTCTGGAAGAAACACTGATCAAAAGTATCTGATCTCTCACGTTGAAGTTGAGAGAATCGTAAGAATCTTACAAAGAACTAGTCGCGTCTTTTTTTTTAACAAAACTGGCTATTGAAATTGTACATTACGCGTTAATACACTTGGTTTCTTTACTAAGTGTTAAGAGAGTTATCTACTCACCAATCCAGTACAAATACTTGCGATTTTTGTTAGCGAAAAAAGCGCCCCCCCCCCCACCCCCACACACACTCATCACAACCATCTTGGACAAAGTTTGTAGAGCGGTTTTTAACGTAACTAACTTTTTTTTAAAAATGTTACACAATTATACAATGCACAGTACAATTCGTTTCTTTCTGAGAGCTAAAGGTTGTTTACTCAGAATCCTGTGTAATTTTGCTATTTTATTTAGCCTAAAAGCGCCCCCCTGCACCATCTTGATAAATGTCATTAACGTATTTTACAGTTCAACAATCGTACAATACGTTTTAATACAATTGGTTTCTTTTAATAGTGGTAACGTTTATCGACTCAACAATCTAGTGTAAATTCTTCCGTTTTAAGTCTCGAAAAAGCGCCCCCCCCCCCCATCTAGGAAAAGCTTCAAAGCGGTTTTGCCGGTCACTGTTTCTTAAGAGTATATGTTTTACATTAAGAAATCAAGATAGAAAACAGTTAAATCAGTATGTAAATGCGTGTAGCCATTACATTTCTTAGACAGTTTATAATTCAAAACTGCAGCATAAAATCAGCTTTAAAAAAATTTTCCCACCCCTTTTGGCGCCCCCATAGGGTCGGCGCCCGGGGCGGCCGCCCCCCCCCGCCCCCCCCCTAGCTACGCCTCTGATTATGGCGTGAGTAAAATATAAATCAGATCTAAACCACCACACCATAATGGTGTGAATAAAATATAAACCGGAAATAATCAATTAAAACGTCGGCTATGATGGCGTAACGTACCGGGGTTACATCTGTTGCACGCCCTACTTGATTGGGTGGGGAAAAAAGAGCACCGAGATCAACCCGACAATAAAAGCACGTGTCATCACGTGGTCGGCGGACATTTTTTATTTGCGCCACTAGTTTCAAAATTGCTTATTTTTTTTATACTTCTCGGTTCTTTCTTGTTCAGCCAGGGGCATAAAAAATACAACCGCTAATTAATACTTTGAATTATTGGCATCGCTGATAATCACTCCAGGCCTTAATGGCCGAGTCACCACCTGCCCAACAGCTAAACGATTTCATAAAAAGACTTTTTTTTGGACAAATTTAACATACACGTACAACAAAACTATAAACTGTCAAATTTAACATACAAGTACAACAAAATTATAAACTGTCAAATTTAACACACACGTAAAACAAAATTATAAACTGTCAAATTGAACATACACGTAGGGCCTACAGCAAAACTATAAAGTAACACAAACTATGAAACAAGCAACTATTAAGTGTCTTAAGATAATAAGTTTTAAAATTACGTCATGTATTCTGTGGAGAAAGGGGTTCTAGCTTATCAGAGTTATTTTGTACAAAGCAACACTCTTATGATAAGGTAAAATATGTGCGGATATTCTAACCAACATTCAACATCGATCTACCCCTAGCGACGTTACACTTTATTAGTGGGGGGTTTTTTTTTCAACTTTTTCTCCGGGGGGGGGGGGGACGGGGACGGGGGACGACACTCGTAAAAGTTTATATTTACTATATAAATTGTATTTCATTCGGGGGGGGGGGGGGGCGATGGTACCCAAAGAGATACCTGAAAGAAACACTGCACTTTTTATTCATGGATATGTCATAGTACGGTAAGCAGCACCAACTACACTACTCAATGAGCGTTGAGAATCCCCCCCGTGTCGAACGTATGCATTTTATTAGGTAGATAAACTTTCAATAGAAAAGTCCCCTCACAGTTAAGTCTATGTGGTTTTTTCACGTTTGCGATAGTAAAAACACAGGTGATTAAAAGTAGCGATTTTATAGTTATGGGGGGGGGGGGGGGCGTTTGTGACATTTTGAGTGTGTGGAGTCAAAACCGTGGTGACGAAGTGCAGAGAGAGAAAGGTACAATCTGGTGACGACATTTATGGACCAAAAAAAGTTGGTCCTTGTTAGGTTCCCACAAACAAACCAAACGTGCCAGAACACATTTCCGTTCTCATGTGTTCAGTACATTCAGTAGGGCAGTAACATGTTTTACAAACTTTTAAAGCTTTTTTTTTGTGTGTATCGGGTTGCCATATACCGTTGAAACGCTCACCTTTGTAAGTTTCTTAAGAAACCACCCACAGAAGCATGCAGTGATCAACGTGCTTATCTTAAGAACCAACCCACCTGCCTCATGCATCAACCCACCTGTCTAACGAACCAACCCACCTGTCTCACGAAACAACCCACCTGTCTCACGAACTAATCCACCTGTCTAACGAACCAACCCACCTGCCTCATGCATCAACCCACCTGTCTAACGAACCAACCCACCTGTCTCACGAACCAACCCACCTGCCTCATGCATCAACCCACCTGTCTAACGAACCAACCCGTCTGTCTCACGAACCAACCCACCTGTCTCACGAACCAACCCACCTGCCTCATGCATCAACCCACCTGTCTCACGAAACAACCCACCTGTCTCACGAACTAATCCACCTGTCTAACGAACCAACCCACCTGCCTCATGCATCAACCCACCTGTCTAACGAATCAACCCACCTGTCTCACGAACCAACCCACCTGCCTCATGCATCAACCCACCTGTCTAACGAACCAACCCGCCTGTCTCACGAACCAACCCACCTGTCTCACGAACCAACCCACCTGTCTCACGAACCAACCCACCTGTCTAACGAACCAACCCACCTGTCTCACGAACCAACCCACCTGTCTCACGAACCAACCCACCTGTCTAACGAACCAATCCACCTGTCTCACGCATCAACCCACCTCACGAACCAACCCACCTGTCTAACGAGCCAACCCACCTGTCTCATGCATCAACCCACCTGTCTCACGAACCAACCCATCTGTCTCACGAACCAACCCACCTGTCTCGCTCCAGTCCAGCATGGTGGTAGTGTTCTGGAGGTAACAAAGATGGCCGCCGTCTGGGGACCTGCATGTACTCATTGGTTGAGCTGCGCTCACGGAAATCTCGAGACTGTTCTGCCTGTAAACAATGCAAGGGAGACAATTGGGTTAAACCTGCATGTTTGTAGCGGGAGAGGAGGGGCTTGTACGGTGTGCATAATAAGATGTGTCGCAAGATGCGAGGGAGAAAACGGGAAAACATTCAATAAACACACGCACATACACACAAAGTTACAAAACACAAGAGACAATAACATAACACAGGGGAGTTAAATCACACAAGGTAAGTAAATAAATAAGGGTGGATGGACCACACAAGTTAAGTAAATAAAACACTAAACAGGAGATAACTGAGCAAATGATACAAAGTAAAAAAATTAAAATTAAAATGGGAGACAACAATATGAACAAATCAATAGGTAGTATGAGAGATAAATCTTATATGGTAACTAAAACTAAGTAAAAGGGGTGATAAACATGCAAGGTGACACAATCAATAGGTAATAAGGGAGATAAATCAAGGTAAATAAATCAACAGGTTGAACAACAGATTTATAGTACAAGGTAACCAAACAAGTGAAAGCTGAATCCATCTACGAGGGAACTGATTAGGAATAAAATTAAGAATTAGGATCTACGGGAAACTTATTAGGAATAAGATTAAGAAATAGGATCTAAACTAGAAATAATTTACTAAATCATCAAGATACGGTGCTACCTAGGGAGGGGAGTGGCAAAATAAATAGTTGTGTGACCTATTGGGTGCAGAATGCAATCCACTTAACAAAGAAAAGCAAAGGAATCAAAACAAGGTTTAATAGAAATACTAAGATGAAAAGAATGCAAATATATGGAGCAAAAAGTATGTAACTAGATTCGACGGAATTAAATGTTCGGCACTTCAAAACTAAGAGCGAGGGGGGGGGGGGAAGGGGGGACGGACTACAGCCATGGTACAAAGGTGAGTTGTGTTTTTAACTCGGTTAAAATTATAACATGGGGTTGAAATAATTCAAACGCATAGATCGTTTTTATTTTTTTTAATAAAGGGGGGGGGGGAGGGTGATAAGATATAGAGATTTGATTTACGCTGCGTTACACGCATACATGTTACGATTTGGTTCTATCATACAAATAAACAGAATAGATTATGTGTAAGGCGTGTAATTCTTAACTAAAATGATATATTTATTCTAAAAAAAAACAAAGCATTTAAACGACTATAAATAAAGCAAGCAATATGTACCTACAAGAGTGGGATCCGCCTCGCATATTTTTCTCATAAAATTTCCCATCTACCCTGACCAGTGGCCTGGTCAAACGACGAGACATACTTGGCTCCTCATTCGCTCGGATCCTCGCAGCCTCTTTATCCACTAGAATAAATTCTCCTTGATACCCAGGGTTTTAATTTCCTGCAGCACCCAAAACAGCGCTCATAAGCAAAGGTCAGCCAAGGGCCCACGTAACAGGCGATGATGCCAATGACAACAGTGCTGGGACATATCCGTAGCATGCACAACATGCATATCCTCACGGCCAACGGCCCCAACTTCAGATATTATTAGATTAGAAACACTGGGTACATATCCAAGCACGTATATCCTTGAAGAATGGTTATTCAATGAAAAGTGTATATCCAAAAACTGTGTTCACTACCCAAATGGTCAAATTTTATATATATCCTAATTGTTGAATGGCTAAACCGTATATCTATGCTGTGTTGGAACTTTTAAAGCAAGGCACTATTCAAATAGAAAACACCCAAAAATAACTAGTTGAATGCATTCAATATTTCACTTAGAAAAACAATCTACTCCCGAGTAGTTATATATTCCCAGTCAATAATGTAGAGTTATAACTAATTAGCTTTTACTAGCCACTGAACCATTTAGTCGCACATCTCTTAGATTCACGTAGGGCCTACACCACTAAGATTCACGTACACATTTATTAACATGACCGTATACTACAGACTACCATATATTTCAATAACTCAGTGGAACACTTAACCATTTTGCCATACACCACTAATATGAACATTTACCAACATTATCGTAAACTGCAAAGTACTACAAACTAAAATGTTAAGAATGTTACATTTCAGTAGACCACTGCCCGTAGCTTTCACAAGACTGGCGATAGAAAAAAGTCCAAACGTCAAGAACGTGAGGTGACACTAACAACACCTCGTTTGATACTACACTCTACCTGACCTTGCCGTATCTAATGTATGTCGCGTACTATGACTTAATATTTTTGTTTTTCCCCCCTTATTTAATTTAAAGAATCCGTCAAAAGAACGGGAAGGGTTTACAATGACACTAATCTTAAACAACCAGTTGCCCTAGATTTCAACTGCTCTGGGCCTAAAAAAAAATTCTTTAACTTTAGGGCCATACCAGTTCAAAAGAGTAAAACTAAGGGGACTAACCCGAGTAGCGGGTACATTGCCAGTGACACGCCGGTATCAATGAGCAGTTCATAAAAGCAAGCTAGGGGTGAAATGGGTCGGGCCATTCACCCGCCTATCACAATGTACCACGGCTTTGTATCAGATTTATTACGTTCATGTTGTACGCTCGATGGCCATTCACGTGGGATCCAATTTATGGCACATAATTAAAAAATTGAACTGATATTCAGAACGCTGATAAAATATTGGTTTTAATTTTTTTTTAACTAAAAACTATTTCCTAAAATAGTGCAGCCACAAGTTGTTCGATCTAAATAATAATGCTTTCAATTAAACATTTCGTATCATTGTTAGTTACACAATATTTTGGGCTTACCTGCCAAGTCTAAAAAATATAAAAACCCAACATGCAATACCCAAGGCCGAAAATTGTAACATCCTAACGCTCATACCACTAGCTAATAAGTAATTTCTTTTTTATTAAAGGACAAAAATTATAACATCCTAACGCTCATACCACTAGCTAATAAGTAATTATTTTTTAATCAAAGGCCGAAAATTATAACATCCTAACGCTCATACCACTAGCTAATAAGTAATTATTTTTTTTAAATAAAAGGCCGAAAATTATAACATCTTATAGTTCATACCACTAGCTAACAAGTAATTCTTTTTTATCAAAGGCCAAAAATTGTAACATAAGCACTCATTCTAAAGTGCTAACATCATACAATGACACGTGTATCTAAGGCCTGAAATTATAACAACTAACACGTGATACAAATGGCCTAATACTGAATGAACCTAACACACTGTCACACACACACATGGCTACTGATAACATATTTTTAAATCGCTGAGAAAAAAAAAGGTTAACAATTTAAAGCCACAAAGCCAAGAGCCTAGTTATTTCCCCTTTCGTTTAAATCCATACCACAGACGTAGTCTGATTTTTTATTTTTTAACTTAAGCCATAAATCATACTTTTAATGTTCTCACGAAATAAATTCTCACACTGTCCACATCAACGAGAAGTTATCCATTCCGAATAGTCAAATTACATAGAAATACATTAATTCCGATAATTATAATGCATTTAATTCCCATTTAAGAACACAATATTACTTATTTTAAATAACTGAAATCCATATAATACAGAATTACTGACACGTTCACGCACTATAATACAATTGTGATATATTTGATTATAACACCATTATTTTAGGCCACACACAACAAGCCCAATGCAGGTACGGAGTGCAGATAATGTTAATCCAAGTGGTGATAAGTAGAGTGATCTCCCGTGTGTGCCGCCGCCCACAAAGTTTCAACCATTCACAAGCTGACTACGTCACGGCACACGTGGGACAACCGCGCTGAGGTGGTAGATGGCTTCGTTATTTCCGAACCAAGGAAAACGTAGCAATACCTGCCTGCGTATCTAAGTAATGCGCACACACAAGATGAAGAGACGAATTGTACTACGATTAAAATAAACGGTAGCGTGGGAACCCTCTGACGTTTATCTTCCTATAAAGGCGAGGGGGGGGGGGGGAGTGTTCAATATATCAACGACCATGGGGTGATCACCATTACGATCTGAAGATTTAAATACGAAACCTCACTAAAAACCAGTGTTTCTTCCCGACCTTTTTCTCCGGGGGTGCACTTGAAATTTTTTTGGGGGGGGGGGGGGGGGGGAGGGGGGGGGGGGAGGGCGGACACTGTCAAAAGTATATATTTTCTATATCAATTCAATTTCGTTCGGGGGGGGGGGGGGGGGCGGCGGTAGACTTTCTTCGGGGGGGGGGGGGCGGTGCCCACCCGAAGAGATGCCTGGAAGAAACTCGGTTAAAAACTACGACGACTCACTACAAGTGTTTCTTTCAGACTTTTTTTCTTTGTGAGGGGGAGGGGGGGTGGAGGAGACGCAATAGGAATTTTCGGGGGAGGGGGAACTGGCGTGGAGGACTAAATTATAATTTCGGCGGGGGTGGGGGGGGGGCTCTAATCCAAAACGAATAATTTGCTTGAATTAAGAACCAACTAAAGGTCAAAGGTTAAACATGTTTTGAGTTTACCTTTACTTGATGTAAAAAAAAAACAATTATTTTACTGTCAGCACCACATGTCTAAATCGACTGATGCTGACATCACACCATGTAAGCACAGGATATGATTGATAGCGTGACGTGAGAAAGAAGTTGGCCAGATAAATTGTGCAGAGTTGAACCAAATAATATAAATTTATCCCATGTTTACTTACATAAACCGAAATTATAAATCTATCACATGCTTACTTATGTAAACCGAAATTAAAAAATTTGTCCCATGCTTACGTCTACCGATATTATAAATCTATCTCATGCTTACTTATATAAACCGAAATGATAAATCTATCCCATGCTTATTTATATAAATCGAAATGATAAATCTATCCCATGCTTACTTATATAAACCGAAATGATAAATCTATCCCATGCATACAACAGCCAGAGCTTGGTTGAAAAAAAATGTAGTGAGCGAGATGAGATCGAACAGTTCTTTAGTCTGGCTGAACTAGACTGACCGCTGTCCAGACAAAGTAGTTAGGCTGCAGATCCTACAGTGGATCAGCAGGTTTACAACAGCAGGTTTAAAATGTACAGCAACAGTGTACAACAAGCGGTACGACAACAGCAGGCGAGACAATACTAAAACAACAAGAGGTATGACAACAGCGGGTATAGCAACAGCAGACACAATAACAACAGTAGCTACAACATCAGGTACAGCAACAAGAGGTATGACAACAGCGGGTATAACAACAGCAAGCATAATAACATCAACAGTAGCTACAACATCAGGTACAGCAACAAGAGGTACGACAACAGCGGGTATAGCAACAGCAGGCACAATAACATCAACAGTAGCTACAATATCAGGTACAGCAACAAGAGGTACGACAACAGCGGGTATAGCAACAGCAGGCATAATAACATCAACAGTAGCTACAACATCAGGTACAGCAACAAGAGGTATGACAACAGCGGGTATAGCAACAGCAGACACAATAACAACAGTAGCTACAACATCAGGTACAGCAACAAGAGGTACGAAAACAGCGGGTATAGCAACAGCAACCACAATAACATCAACAGTAGGTACTACAACATCAGGTCCAGCAAAAAGAGGTACAACAGCAGGTTTAAAATGTACAGCAACAGCAATTAATTCATCAACATCAGTAGGTACACAATCCACAACAAGAGATAAAACAAGTACTACAATTACCCCCCCCCCCCTCTCTCTCCTAATTCCGTACACAGTAAGTTTTAACAGACGCAATCAGGAAGTCGACTCAACTTGACGCACTAAAGCTTACAACTTCAACCATTGAACAAGATTTTTTTTTTACTTTACTGCTTTGCTTTCTATTTCTAAAAATAACGTAGATCTTTGATATTTAACTGGAGTTACTACACTCGTTGCGAAGGAAGTTAGAAATTAATACGACGGAACGAAGAATTTTTAACCAACTACATTAAAAAATTAGAGCTTTGAATAGGATAGAATTACAGAACTATCCTTGATTATGTGTGTACATGTATTATATAGGTGTGCGTGATTATAGCTTACAGATGAGTTTAATACTAACACTGTAACTGGACTATATGATTATTTAAATAAATGGAGTTTATGATTTGGCTCGCGATACGAGTTCATTCCCTTGTATCATTGTTCACCAAAAAAACGACACAACACAATTCTTCCAGTTCAGGGACTTTTTTCATACCAATTTCCGATAATACAACTCCAACAGACTGTTTTCGGGGTTGTTTGGTACCTAGAAGTAAACTATAAACTAACTTTTTAACAAACAGTATTATCGTGGGACACTAGTAGAGAAAAAAGATAATTTAAAAAAACGGTTAAAAAAACACTTCGCTTTTCCTCCATTCACACAGCCAAGTTGAGCTGACTTACTTAAACCACTAACTCGGCACAGGGCCGGCTTCCATCACGTGACACTTCCACCGTAATGAATGACCTGCTGGCGGTGGACGAGGCCACGTGACCGGCTGGGTGGAATGAGGAAGTGTTCCAGCTCACGGTGACCCCCGTACACCCGATGACCCGCTGTGACAGACCAGTGAACCCGGCTGACCCGTGGTAACGAACTGACGTGCCCCGGCCTACACGACCTCGACGCCGCTGAACCGACTGACCTTGGTCATCAACCGCCCTCGGTGCGGTTTATTCACGCTAAGATATATATGGGGTTATTTTAAAAAGTTGGAACCG